CATAAATAAAATCAATTTTGCACTGACAATTGTACTTGAATAAGTAAGCCTTATTCCATTGCCAGGTTAATTAAGCACCACAACAGCAAAGATCTGTTTTGCAGATGTAAATAATCTTCACTTATGTGGCAGGCCAGTGCACATGTATGTTAAGTACATGTAATTAAAAGTTGCTATAGAAACCTGATATCAAATTCGAAGTGCTAAATTAAATTGATACCTACAGTAAGCAGCTACAGTAAGTGGTGTGTATTTAGTGCCTGATTGACCAGAACATTAAAGAGTCGAGCACTATCAGGATGGCAGGCACACATGTACTGTAAAGTAAACTTGCAGGGAACTCTCAGCTCTGTCTCTTTTGATTTCCAATGACAAAGGCATTAATTCACACCTACTGCGTGTAAAAAATAACTTTCTTGCATTCTACTGACGCATGCTTGAAAAATTACGCTGCAGTGCTGACAGTGTCAGAATATTAGATGATGAGGAATATTCATAAACATCTGTAATTAAAGCCTCTTTTCTCTCCAGGTATTTGTAGATGACTAGAGCAATTAATTGTAGATGACTAGAGCAATTAATATTAGATTCTTTACAGTATACTTTCTTCATACATTATGTGTTGGAATATGTGTTGTAACGTTCTGTTGTTTTGTGGTTTCTTACTTTATATTCTGGGAGGTAAGAAATTAAGATCTGTAAAAAGTCTATTTACTGTTTTTGTGTTTTAATGAAAAAAAAAACAGCTATGGAACTGCAAAGACAAATTGCTTCCCCACATTGCTAGAAGAATTAAACATGCTTTATATGAAGGATCTCAACACGATGAAAGTATACTCTCATCTCCAATAATCTGTCACAGAATGAGTTTCCTGCTGAACTTGCAAATGAAAAACACTACTGAAAATCACTTATCTGCCATAAAAGGCAAATAACTAACAGATCATCTGCTTGTGGACTCTAAGTTAACCTTTTTCTATCCCTAAATTTGCTGTTGCTAATGGGTTTTTCTGTGATTTGTCAAAGAAGCCAGTTGCATTTTATAAGGTACTTTGCAGTATGCCCCAGGAGTAATAAGGTACTAATAAGGCACTAATGTTTGAAAGTAATATATGCAAGGGATGATTAGCAGTCCTTGATGTCTTTAGAATTAACTCCCATTGAACACTTTTCAACAACTTAGGATGCACCTTTTTTAGATGATAAATCTTAAATCTGCTTTGCTGTATATGATCAATAAAAATCGTAATCAAATCAATAACTTGTCCCTTGTAAATGCAATACTCCTTACAATTCACGTCTTTAAAGAATCACAAATGGCTGGTATGTTATTAAGCCATCACTCTTTAATGGATATACATATACATTTGTGAATTTCCTGTTAACTCTTACTGCCCCTAGAATTATTTAAGCACATTTGTGAATCTGCGTAGTATTTAAAACTGAAATACTGTATAAACTGTAATGCCAATTTGGATTGAAAAATTCACATTGTCAGCTATAAAATGGTACCATCATAAATTTATTTTTCGGTGTATATTTAATTATTTACACCTCTCCCCCCTCTTAGATACATTTAAGGCAGTATTACAGTAATGTAAAAAGTATACAGTATCACACTTCCACCTGAAGTCAAGGATTATGCTTGTCTGTAAATGAAAATCTTTACCAAAGGACCAGGTGGGTCACCTACAGTACAAGAAAGAAGGCAGATTGAAAAATGCAGAAAACCTGTTGACTGGATAAAGTATTTACTGAGACTGAGTGAAGAAATAGCCAGACTAGACTGTATGTAATCTCATACAGTACTTGTATGCAGGAAGTCATAAATGAGATTGTGATAAACAAATAATGAAGAATACGGAGCAAAATAAGCATGATTAGACAAAAAGCATCCCCTTTATCTTAAGATATAATTGCTTTTCAGATAGTGCTACAACAATGCACATGAAAATGAAATCACATTGATCATGAGATATGATAGATGTATTTTGGTGTTTTGACATTAAGCTTCCCCAAATTCTTTTCAAAAATCTTAATTTCGCTTTAGGGTTTCTGTCCTGGCAACTGACTGGAGAGTGTATTCATAAGACTCTGCTCTTCTGGATGGGGCTCTGGGATAATTCAGGGCTTCTGCAGTCCATCAAAGTCTGTATGTTTCCCTTGGAAGTAGCAATGAAGGCTACATCATTATTTGCTAAAACTAAATAAGTCCCTTTGCAAATAAGATTTTCCTGGCCACTATATTTGACAGTGCTCATACATCTACATCAAGCCTAGAAATTGATCTCATTTGAAAAATTGGTTCCACTTCCCTGTCATCTCCTATAAGAATAATTTAGCCTATTCTTTTCCAAATATGAGACTTATGTGCATAACCAGAGCATTTTTTCAGTGTCTACGCAATGAACAGTATCAAAAATGTGTTAATCTCTATTCATAATATGATTGAAAAAATGCATAATTTAGTATCTTAACCTCCAGGATTTTTACCTTTAGTTTCTATTTATAAACAATCTGGTGTATACTAATTCAAAATTTGGGGAGACTTTCATATTATGTCTGTTTCTTTGGTTTACGCAATACACTGATTTGCAATATGATAACCATTAATTGCTTATACTGTATTATGTTTCAGTCTTATTATCTTTTCAGTACTTTATAACTGCAATAAATAATGTTAAACAGCAGTCATTCAAATAGTGTTTTTCTAAAATTTGGATGACTTTGGATGAGCAAAATTCATCTTGGTTACTGTACTGATGCTTTATAGTCAAAAGTTTGATATCTCAATCTTTCTATTATGTAAATATATTAAAGACCTAATATACTCAAAATCTTTGACATGGTAGGGCACAAAAGATATGATTGAAAATTGAGGTTTATTGGCATGTTATTTAGCATGCTGTTAAAACTCAACAACAGCAGGCTGTCCATGACTGATACAGTAAAATACATCATCTGGAATTATTTCCTCAGGCTTTTAGTGGACAAAAGGCTTTTGCACTCGAAGTGCAAGCATCAGTGCAGTTAATGTCTCAAACAGACCAACACATAACTCCACATCTACATTTTACCTGGTACAGACACAAATACAAATATTGCACTTGTTTAAAATCTTCAATTACTTATGTGCATCTCTGTTTTGCCATATACAGTATGTTAATGGAGCTGGTGATCTATAGTTGATTAAATATGCTGCTCAGGCTGTGCAGAAATAACCAATGAAAGTTTTAAAACTAACTGAGGAAGGACGTAGGCACGGAGCAGAAGGTTATGTCGTGGAAGCAGGTGGAGGCAGTTTTCCTCCCCAAACAATGCACACTTCTTAGAAGCACACATCAAAGATACAATATTTACAATAATGAATGTTTCCTTGAATTAAGAAAAACACCCTTGGAAAACACTAATGTAGCATTGCAAAACGGAGAGATACAGAATATTATTCAAGAATTCATGCTGGACTTTTTTAAAGGCCTAGAGAGAAATATAATGCAAGCTCACTACATGGACAAGAAAAGTCAAACTACAGTTTTTCACTTCTGCTCTCACACATACTCCTATGTACTCCTACTCTGGCCGCCCACAACTCTGCATACATCTTTTCTAGCACCCCTCAGCTGCACCCTTGGTACTGCCTCCCTGGCTCATTCCTCGTAAGTGAAGGGGTGAGCACTGATCTTAAGCCGGCACTAGCATTTCCTTAGCCAAGCAAATGAACACCAAAGTATTAAGTATGCTATCCTATTACATTTTTCAGCTCATTCTGCCATAATTAGAATTTGACCAGACTACTGAAGTGTACATTTTGTACTCCAGATTAAATAAATCCAAGACGTTTGATCAAACATTAAACACAGGTCACTCATGCTCTTCCAGATAGAGCATTTGGTGTTATTCTAAATAACCTGTATGTAAAAATGAAAAGTAAAGTATTTGCACTCATAATGTACATACAGTACTAGTACTTCAGGCTTTTCAAACTAAGCAATGCTCTTCTTTCTGTTATTTCAATGTAATGCCCCCTCCCTCTCCCCATTGCACAAGCTTGCAGAAGGGAATGTCATTTGCTGAGGTTATAAGGTGACCTTTCCACATGAGGGTCAATTGAAAGAAAATCACAGTTTTTGTCCATGGTGCTATTAAATTCCCTGTAGAATAATATAGGCTTTTTTCTAGGGATTTTCCAAGAATTTAAAAAATAATAAACTATGAACATCATATTTTTGTTCACCGAATAAAAAAAATAACTCCTTAAACACTGACAATGGAAAACCTGAAGAAAAAGCATGAGAAGGAGGTGATGACAGTGAAATGACTAACATTTTAAATTTCGTTAAACAGTCTTTGTAATAAGACTGCTGCGTGTAATGTTTGCCATCTCTACATTTCTTCCTTCTTTCTCTTTTTCACCCTACACTCCCAGTTTTCATAAATACAGCCTTTCACCCATATCTCAATGCTCTCAGTTGTAAAATGAACTTCAGCTGTGTATTTATGAACACAAAAGGTGAATATGAAAATACATAGTACTATGGGAAGCTAATTATAAATAAAATAATTCACGCCATCACTGTAATTTAAAGATATAGCATACACACTTTAATTAAATATTACCTTTACTATAGAGCCACAGAAGTGACATTGAGATAAACTTGATGAGGAATAGTTTTCACGGTAACAGTTTATCCATTTTGTGCACTTCCTGTACAGTACCTGTATGTCTGTGATTTTGGTGTGTCACAATTCATTATTGATATTAGAATCATTATTATACCTATGATTTGGTAGTAATAAAAAAAAACAGAAAACATAAGAGAATGTTGTAAACAGCTACCTGTTCATAAAGTCTTACCATTCCTTGACAAACTGGCTAAACATCTTTGCAATATTACCTATGCACACCCATCACACTGGTTGGACGTTAGGGGGTAATTCGTCTCTGTGATGACAGAAATGAAGGCTGTACACTGTAGAATAAATTCCTGCTCACAGCCCACTCTGAGCTCATCATAGTCCCCCGTGTTACATATTTATACTGCACCCTGCATCTTAGAGACGCGCAGACACGCCGCTTTTTTAATGTGACAGTTGGAAGAAGTGAGGAAAAGCTAAACAGATAACGAGATCTCTCTCAAGGAAACAAACCAGCCTAATTCTGATAAAGATTACTAGAAGAGTTCCGAAAGCAACAGGAAACCTTTATTTCTAGAGAGGTTGTCTTCAGGAAAGGTAAGTTATTCTGACTTAATTTGCTGAAAGTAGGATTTGCTTCGAAACTGGCTTACTCTTACTTTATTATTTTATGTTTTGAGGTATTAATATCTTTAGCTGATGTTCTTGCCTTTTTTCCTGTCATGCGTTTGTCCGTTTTTTTTAAGTATACTACTTTTGGTCGCATTCCTCTATTCCGAAGCTAAGAAGAAAGCTTTGGACTGACGGCTTTTCCCGACTTCAGTCCTTAAGATCGTAATTACTTCGAACGTTGCACTGAGTTTGTGCAGGAGAATGGCAGTTGTCTACAAAATATGTATCATTGAAAAAAATTAAGCCTACTGAATTCAGATACCACAAACCGCTGAACACCTGTGTGCTCCCATTAAATTTACAAGTATGGTTCGAGCAACAATTGCATTGCAGTCTGTAAAAGTAATGTTGATTAAATTAACAGAGCATGTTAAAAATTCTGAATTTATCAACGTGTTTCTTTTATATTTTTACGATAATGGGTAGTCAAGGACGATTCTACAGCAATATAGTAAGTTGGGAATATTTATGAAAGAAAAACGTCCTTGACAATTTTAAACATGACAAATTCAGAATCGAATTCAAACATTCAAACAACGTGATAATCTCTAACTGGCTGATCACCTCTGGCAGAATTTAACTTGATAACTGTTTGCGATTTCTAGCATGTTTCGTTTGCGTGGTGTCATGTTGAAATCTATATTTCCAGCCCTTTTCTATCTGATGTTCCGTTTTTTTTCCAACAAATGGCTATTTTTTTCACATTAAAATAATTATTTTCGAAGATCTCTGTAATCTTATAATTTTTGGAACAATTATCTAATATGTTCTGAACATGGATATCACACCTCTACAAATATAACAAATTCACACAAAAAGCTTTATTATAAGGTAATGCATTCAATAATATGCTGTATGATTGGTTGGCTTAGAGATTGTGAAACAGACGCCAGACTCTAACACTATGGCTTTAAATTCAGTATCCGAAAAGATCTGAAAGAGAATTTGGAACGGTATGAAGGAGAGTAATTCACAGAAAAAAATGAGGGGGTGTAGTAGCATTAGATAGCTTAAATGTGGGCAATATTTTTTTCATCAGATGCTTTTTCTAACTTAACCCTTTTGAATGATATAATCTGAACAAACAACATAATATCAATAATTAATGTTGTATGTTTAGCTCCAACACATTTCTGCTAAATGTGAGTAGATGTGTGTAGGTGAAATAAAAAAGCCAATGGAAAAAAAAGGTTTGTTACTGATTAGAATTTAGGCACTTGTGTGGGTTTTGGTGACAAAAGGGTGAAAATGGAATAGCAAATGATATTAGTCTTATAGTTGTTTTTTTTTAAGAAAACATGTGAAAAGTTGGTGTTTTATGAGGGGAGGATTTTAATAAAACATTCTAAGAACACTTTTTATATTATTTATTTCTGTCTGAAGAATGCAGTTTTACTAACTGAAGACTGCTGGTGAATTATCTCAAGCACAATGTCTTGCACTTGGGAAGACTGGTATTCTTTGGAACAAGAGACATACTGTATTACAATTAGAAAAGATACAAAAAAAAAACGATGTGCTACAAATGAATGGAATGGACTTGCAATAAACCTAAAAAATATCGCTATTCTTTGAAATGACAACATAAAATCCTTTGTGGTTGTAAACTGAATTTTCAAGAAAGTCATGATGCGTCAAACACAATTTTTATGTATATGATGTGCTGTTTACTGAAGTTATACATTGAATGTGGAATACTAGAAAATATGATGAACATCAATGTCTAAAAAAACTAAATTATTCTAATTTGACAAACAATTGACAAAATAATTTTCCGCAATACTTCAATCAACAGTATTTCTTGAGGCAGTGTGCTTACTGCTGTCCATGGTGCTGAAATAACTGCACTCCTGCCTGAGACAGTTGATGAATGAGTATTTTATTCCAGGGGAGGCTGAAAGGGATAGGAGATCAAACTTGTTCAACTTTTTTTCCTTGTCTTCAACTGTTTCAAACTTTCAAATACACTTATACATACGTAAATTCAGAAAACACCCTTTTTATTTTTATTTTTAGTTTATTTTAGAGTCACGTGCCTAACGTGGACCTACACCCAGACAAGATTTCAGTCCATTGCAGAGCATATACATTCATATATGGAGAGGGGGGCATTTTGTGGTAGGTTGGAGGCAACAGCCGAACCAGGTTAAATCATACATTTACGCATGTGGGAGAATTGATCCCAGGACCCAAGAGCTGTTAGACAGCAGTACTGTCTAACCACCACCTCACTGTGCCCCTCTCAGAAAAATATGACAATAAATTAGAAATGCCTTTCAGATGTTCGTTTATTGAAAGCCAGGTGCTGATGTACAAATCTGTTGCTTTTTATTTTGTTGAGTGGATTTAATGCTCATTCTCTGCATACATCTCAGCTATCACTCCTGGTACCACGTTGTTAATCAAACCCTTTTTTAATATTTTAATGTTGAGTATTATTAAGTATTAAGAAGAACTTTTATGATTCCAGTAGAAAGTTTGAATGAGGTTGGTTTCAGTATTTTAGTACTATTTATGATTCTGCAATTGTAGAAGGTGGTTTATTTCTGTTGTTAAGTGTAACTTAAAATGTGATTTATTGTACAGTATGGTCCTGATGCACAACATGAATATGCTATTATTAGGAAATAGAGCAAATTCAAGAAAGCCCTGAGAAGTATTCTGGTTGATCAGTCATCTTAAAGAAAGAACACAGTAATTTGTTCTTCAATCTTTGTTCATTACAGGGAACGATAAGATAACGGGCATGAATATTGATATAGCATCAGATGTTATATAAACATCTTTAAATTATATTTGTATTTAAATATAAAATGACTTTTTAAAAAAATATAAAGTTAATTGTTGCCAACTGCCATTAATGATTGTAATAATCATACAGCCAAGTCACATCTGGGCTAAACATGTTTAGTAAATAAGATTCTTAAAAAATTAAAATCGTGCTAATTGTTTTTTTAATTATGTGGGGATTTTAACTAAGATGATGGCTTCAGATACAGCTCAGCATGCTGACAGAATCACTGCCTTACGCTCCCACTTATGTGTTCTGTCTATTTGATTAAATGGGCAATTTTATTAATTGGCAATTTCAGATCTGCAATGTGATTAAATAAATAGATAAATATTACTGTATTACAGTACATCATGAGGCTAATTCTTGTCCATCTCAATGGAATGCAGCATATACCAATCCTACAGGGGATCTGCGACCATGACAACCTTGTCTTGAAGATATTATTATCCACCTGGGTGTGATTTATCACTATTATAGACAAATGTAAACTAAGAGACTATGGAAAAACAAAAAGCCCAAAACAATGAGTGACATATAAGGATATGTACTTAATGAACTTTGCTTAATGATATTTGCTTGCCTGAGTGACTTCTGATCTTTAATCCTGTGAGCCACTGAAATGTTAGTATTTAAAAAAACATCTAAATGAAACTAATTCAAAATCTGTTTTTAATCATTACAGGAGGCCCTGGCGCTGATTTTACGATTTCTGAGAAGAATCAACATGTGATGAGTTATTGCAGAAATTAAATTAGAATCAATTTTTTGCTAAATAAACCAACCGGTACTACCAGGAAACTCACCATGGAGGATTTTGAGCCTTGTGTCTATCAGCTGCAGCCCAACATCATTTCAGTGAGACTTTTCAAAAGGAAAGTAGGGGGTCTCGGGTTTCTAGTGAAGCAAAGAGTATGTAAACCTCCAGTCATAATATCTGACCTGATCAGGGGAGGTGCAGCAGAAGATTGTGGTCTCATTCAAGTAGGGGACATTGTCCTAGCTGTAAATAATAAGCCTTTGGTCGACATGAGCTATGAGAGCGCTCTAGAGATCCTGAAGAACATTTCACCAGAGACGTATGTAGTTTTGATTTTGAGAGGTCCAGAGGGATATACTACTCACTTGGAGACTACCTTTTCTGGTGATGGGAAACCAAAGACTATAAGGGTCACCAGGCCACTGTATCCTGTGTCTAAATCCTTTGACTGTACCACTCAGGGCCTTCAGAACAGCAAAGAGCAGTTGAGAGCCATCGAAAGCCTCTCCTCTCCCACAGAGAACAGCCAGGAGCAAAACCCCCTGATTCAGATCAATGGGGCTGTATCCCCCTTGGTTGGACAGGACCATTCCTTCAAAGACAGCGGCTGCACTACGGATCACAGTGCCCTTCTCAATGGTGGAGAAGAAAGCAATGACCTGCTCAAAGAAATTGAACCCGTGCTGAATTTGTTAAAAAACAGCAACAGGGAAATCAATGGAGAAGGTCTGCATAAGATAGAGAAGAGAGATGTAGAAGTCCAGGTGGACAGGTAAAGTTTCTTTTCATGAACCATTTGGACAGAATGTCAGATATTATAAAGGACAGCTACTGTATTATTTTTCAGTGTCTTTGCAGCACCTATAACAGCTTTATAAACAACCCTCATTTTCAGTTATTGAATGATCTTGCCTTGTAACAGAAATGTGAGCCTACAGTGTTTTCTGGAAGGGATTTCATTCTTTCCTTGGGCATTTGCTGGTATATAAAGAAAAAAGGAAATGAGCATTACCACATCCGAGACATGAAAATAACTTTTGAAACTTTTAAAAATGAATCTTTTCAATTTTCATCGACACAGCATGCAGGTATTTAGGATAGATACAGTACATATTAGAGTAACAGCTTTGATAAAAAATCAATGATGCATTTTATTGGCATTTGCCTTCTCTATAACAGGAAAGCAAATGCTCAGTGCTGCATTTGAAAGTTCAATTTTTGGAGCGTGTAGGGCTTTGCTGTGGAAAGATATATTTGTAAGTCACATCAAATACATTTTTGTCGATAATGTTATAGCTACTGTCAAGTATTCGATTCCTCTATAAAATGTTCTGTGGATGAATATGAGATTACTTTGCATTTATGGTTGGTTTACTGGAGTCGCCTTACCATATCTATGTACCATTAGTAGGCCATACTAACTGCATGCTGTAAAATGAATCACAAAATAACTTGTGACTTCAACTTTTCTTTTAGACTGGAAAAAAGCCCTGCTTAAATGTGATTGTGGCAAAATAATCATTTGATAAACAGGTCGCTAATACAAATGGGCTTTTAAAACGAAACATCCATTTAGACTGTTAAGAAAAAGCTTTGACATTTGAGCAGCAACCAGAAATCTCCTAACTAGATTTCTTTGCTTGCCCATGACATTCATTATAAAAAGATGTTAGGAACTGGATGCATCATAGGCAGTTTATTAAAAGAATGTGGAGAATTAAGTGGATGTATTGATTTAGAAACAGCTGTTTACTTTGTGGAAATGTGCACGTAAAGCATTATTTGTATATAATTTTCAGCTTTCAAATTTTTATCTCAAAGAAACAGTGAGTAATGGAAAACAGCTCGAAAGAACCACAATTTATTATGACTAATCACAGTGTGTGTTGGAAGTATTGGAGTTTTGGAGCTGTAAGACCTATACTCACAAATATGCCATTAATAGATTGATCTATGTGTCGTGATAAAATAATTTATTTTGCTTGAACTGAGGATGATCATCATTTGAAAACATAGGAGGCCATCTTTAAAATTTAGGGTCATTGTAAAATTTGTGTACATTATTTGTCACCCTAAAATTTGTCATTTTCCTGCACAGAAATATTACCTTTATCATTTCACTTCTTTGGTTATGTTTTTTTCTGCAGCACATCTTGGATGAAGCAAAACTTACTATTTTTTTTAGTGTCGAATATGGCCTTCAGGTCATATTTATGATTTAGAAATGTAGAATCCCAGCTATTATACTCTGTAGATTGTAATCTATACTAGTGTTCTCTTGAACAATGGGGAAGAGTACAGATCAGTTGTGTGAGTTTAAAATTCTAAAATCTCTTAAATAGCCCATGCAATATAAAACCAAGAAACATTATTAAGTTGTGAACACAGAATAAACAGAGGCATAAAGGATTTGTCCATTTGAATCTGCAGGACATGATTCTGATTTGTCTTTAAAGTTGAGCTGCACAGGGGCACATAGAAACACCACTGGCTTATGTGCATGTGACTCTGAAAAGCCACAATTATGACCGTGAATGTAAAATAATGAACCTCTGACACTTGAGTTAACATTGCACTAATTTATGGGTCAGAAAGTGAAGCTTCAGATTTGCATGGAAATCTTCCAAGCCAGTGCTTCTTTTTCATAATGAACGCAGGATGCGAACTGTGAACGAAATTTTGTGTTTTTCCTTGCCGTGCAGAATATCACTTCTTGGTGCAAAGCACGTCACTTCAACAAGTTTAGCAGCCCACTGTCGACCCTCAAATGTAGTTTCCACCATATTGTTTAAAAAGAAAATCAAATCTTGTCTGCTACAAAGGAAGGAAGAAAACTCAGCCGATGCGCCTCTTTGTATTCTTAAACGAACCTTTCCTGTTTGCTTTTTCCTGCCACATTACCAATACAGTTTTCATCTCAGCGCAGCTTTCATCCTATGTTAATATTATATTTAAATATAAAGTTAGATGTAGGTTTTCTAGTGCAATATCACAATTTAGCCACACTTAAATGCATTTTTCAAACCAAGTTGATGTCTAATTCCAAAGCAGGATGCCACAGCAACAGCTACTGTATTGTGTTCAATTTTAAAAACATACTTGTCGCTTGGAAAGAACGGCAGAAATGTTAATTAAAGTATTCTGTGTTGGTTTCAGCGGTCTAGCTCAGGTGAGCGAGAAAACTCTGCAGCTAGCAGCGGATAATGACAGAGTGTTTGATGACCTGTGGGGAAAGGACAATATGCCTGTGGTCCTCAACAACCCCTACTCTGAGAGTGAGCAGGTAGAGTGCCAACAACAGGTGGATTAGAGGATATTGGATGGACACTTTTTTTGTTGTTTTCAGGTGGCGAACCTGTCATTAAAATATTGTGCTGTCCAGGTTTCATTATCCAGAAAAGAGTCGTTAATGCATGAAAATCAAGCTGCAACATTCATCATATTAGGTCTCCAGGACCTTTAGAACATCAGGGGTTCCAGAGCCAAGGAAGTTATGAGCTGTTTGATTCCTGGGAAATATAAATTTGGTTCAATTAATCAAATGTTTCTGCTCTGTTACAAACTGTAATTGATAGAAAGGTGGATTGAAGATCAGATGATCTTTGTAGACTTTGACTGTGAGCACCACTCTGTGATAGAAAGAAAGGATGAGATTTGTAAATAAGGAGGAGCACAGCATGCTAAATCATGCTATTGTCACGGGAATGCTGACAGCATGATTAGGTAGTACATTTCAGAATTACAGCCTTCAGTTGTCTATGGCAGCATACTTAAATTAAGACTGACATTCTTTGGAAAGAATACTTACAGCTTGTGTTGGATTTAATACTACTGCCAGAGATTCAAAATGCAGTCCACCCGGACTTGCCCCTGGTATCTGAAACATTGATCAAGATTTTTTTGTGTGACTCGGACAGTTGTCACAGCCATTTCAAAGTGCAGTTATTGCAGGACAGCTTTTAATATAGGCCTAGATAGAATTTGGCGGTTCCTCAGTTTCACCCCACCATCATTTGATTCTGGTCTTGAGTTAGTGTTGTGCCTTACAAAGAAAATGCATCTCAATATGCTCTTCCACAAGCAGTCTTTCAAGACATGGCTGTAGTGTTTCAACAGAAATTTAGAGCTATTGAACCAAGTTCAAGCTGTGCTAATCGGATGCTGTTAGTTTTTTCCCAGTATTGAATATCACCTGCTATTCCTTGATATTTAATTTCAATTACTCAGAATTTAAATTAGTAGGCAGGATGAAAGGTGTGTACCAAAATTAACTACATCAATTTAAAAAAGCAGTGATTTTCCCTGATATGGGCAATTGTGAGCAAACTGCCCATTTAATTGTAAGTGAAAGAGATTGGTAATTTTCTGAGTTTGTCCAATGATGAAAACTGGTCAAAATGTCATATCATTTAGGATTGAGAAGATGTAGTTTTTCAAAAGCCTCAATGCATTTAAAAAAATGAAATATATATATATATTTTTGGTTACAACTGTACTACACATAAACCGCTTAGTAATTATTATATTATTTAATGACAGTATAATATCTCAGAAATGTGAGACAAATGTGTTTTTGGAAATCGAAAAGATACTGTATAATTCCATGCCTTCTTTTAGGTTTGATGGATGAGAGGGTATTTAATATTAAGAAAGCATATCATAGTACAAGGTAAAGTTCAGAAAACACGTTTTGTAACTTATCATTTAGTTACACTGTACTGTATGTCTGAAGTTTGTGTTGTAATGAAACCTGTAGATGCTGACAAATATTATGCTCTTTTTGATCTCTGCACTACAATAGGGACATAGTACAAACCTTAGAATCAGGCCAGGAGTTAACACTTTGTTACTGAGTGCTGGTAATCTCACATAGATTCTATGTTAATTGTGTTTCTGTAAAAATTATAGTTAAAATGTGATTCAGAATAAACCCATTGATTTAGGGAGACATAGAACAGAGTGTAATGAAATTAAGATTTACAGGTTTTAATCCATTCCTTCCTGTCTTTTTTATTGGACGATAATGTAGTCTTGCAAGGGTACCATATAATTTGGCTTTCTTCCTTTAAATGTGAGAGAGGTATAAAAATAAAATGACAGGTGCCGTTAACTTATAGGCAGGTGTAATAACTTCCGCAGTACTTTTATTCCATGGATTTCCTAGAGACATGCAGCATGCAAAGAACATGCCTGTATCTCTATGTATTTAAAAGAATGAATAACTGAATTAGATGAGTGAGAAGAAGAGCACTCCTCTGCATACTGTGTGGAGCAGTTCTACATCTACATTATAACTTTCTGTAACCTGTACTAACAATTAACATTACATTTGCTGCAGTTTAACTGTCCACACCTGTTATCCTTTATTTTATCCCCTAAAGCAATCAACAACCCATTATTCAGGCTTTCTTTCATTCTCTGACTCACGATTTCAGTTGATGGCTGTGTAAAAAGAACATACATATACTTCTAGGCCTGGAGACACTAAATCAATTTTTCTATACATCCTTATACCAAGAGGAAGACTAGGAACATCATTAAGTCTCAGCTGATTTTTGTGCTCACTTTTTTCTTCACTAAGCACTGTCATTACAAAGTAGTTAGGGCACCTTTGTGGAAGGCACTTAATGTAACCTCACCTTACAATGATGGCAGTAATACTAGGAATGATTGATTTCCTTTTGATTTACAGATCATAAGAAGGTCCAGCTGCCTTCAATAGAGTTGACTCCCAACTACTTTCCAGAAAACCCATTGTGAGGATGGATTACAAACATTCAGCAATCAATAGGTCTACTGTATACGGCCCCACCAGCATCATTATAACCATAATATGATATTGTTTAACAATATTGATAACATTTATTGAACATGTTGTAGAATATGTTCAGCACAATATTAGTTATCATAGCACAACTACATGCTCAAAATGAATTGAATAGTTAAATGTCCAGCCTCTGATTATTATTTATATGAAACAGACGTCTTTCTTCATCCCACGGCCTAGTAGCAAAGCTGTTCTAGTGTCTTTACCTGAGGTTTTCAGGTCATAAAATTGAGTGAAATCACTTTGTATGAACTTTCTGTTACATGAGTAGCAAGCAATTTGCAGAGTAATATGCTCCCAATTATCTGAAAGAAATTGTAAAAAAGTGAAAAGGGAACATCAATCATGGCTCGACAAAAAAAACGTTGAATCTCATTTTTCCTGATATTTAAAAAAATGTAATTGGAAAGTGGAAGAGTGGAGCTTTGAACATTTTGAATAATATATATGTATATTTTTCATGCCTAGCATCTGTAACTCTTCGTTTTGTTCACATTTTCCTGTGTTTTTGCTAATCTCCTGCTTACATCAAACGTAAAACGCTTTTCTTTTGTGACCAACAGGTTTCAAACCAAGTCTAGTGCTAGTATATTTCAAGTACATTTCTGACATTCCAGATTCTGAAAAAAAAACAATGTTTTGCTGAAAATGAAGTTCTTCTTTTCAATGCTGTGTCACAATTTGTAAGGGCAGATTTACAGAGCTATGACTCACTCTCCCTCTTCTCAGCAGCCACCTTCTCAAGGCAGAATATCACCAACCAAAACCCTGCCAAACGGCAGTCCTTCCAAATGTCCTCGCTTCATGAAGATAAGGAACTTGGAGAGTGGAAATGTTTTGAATGACACTTTACATTTTACCTCCAGTAAGGTATGGCTCGGTAATGCCTTCTAAAATGTATTGATCTGCTTGCATTTCTCTTTTTGTTTGCTTTGAAACAGAGCATGCACAAAGCATGTAAATCTATAGAATTTGTGTAGAGCATGTATATGGTACAAATCAAATGCTAACATTTGTGTTCACTGGGTTTAATTTCTATGGTGCTTTGGGCATAGATGTACATTCCAAGAAATGTAGTGATGTTCTTATGATGCATTATATATCACAAGAAATATTTGATTACAATATGCAACTGATCAAAAAGACATCTGGTCTACTCAACTATTTAGAGCCATTGAGTAAATAATTCTGTTGAAAAACAATTTGTTTATTCAACAGTAGGTTTAGTATTAGCTTTGCCCTGCAATGGTCATAACAATGACAAACGTCCATTACAGTGTTTTTTAACAGGTCTGGTGCTCTCAGTCAGGATGGAGCTGCAACTATTACCAAAATTTAAGTGCAGAAATGTTACATTGTGAGGTGCCCCTTTTAATTGGAGAGTGTTATTGTTAATTTCCTGCTTTCAGAACATGATCATTTATTGTTCATCTAACAAATACATTCATGCCTCGCTAAAGTGACAGTGCACTTCACATCTAATTTTATTACGCTGACCTTCTGCCTGATTCCATATGAAGCTGCTCTTGGCGATGACTCCCTCTAATTTCACTCTTTGCTTTTCTGCAATTAATTGAAGGCTACCACTGCCTAGCTCAATGAGAATGACTACCTATTCATTACCACTTATCCTACAATAGCCATTTAATTTACACGTGGGAATAATAAATTGTAGGTTAACTGAATATACCGAGGTCGTATTTATTTAGGTTATAGTGAGAGGAATGGTTTTAGGAGAAACAGGCCTAAAAGTATCCTGGAAATATAAAAAGCATTCTCAAAGTACATGTGATAAGGGATCTGAAGCACACTCACTACTGCTTTCTATTTCAAACCCTGTCTTCTTCTAATGTCTAATATTCATCATGTAACAGACAATATATCATTGACCTTTGACTTAAGACCCTTTCCTTTTACAGACACCGATCTGCACAGAGAGTGTTTGTATAGGTTCTATCATGATACCTAGCCAACATGCCCGCAAACCAGAGGAAGTGAGAACAAGGGAAGAATTACTACCACTTGCAACTGATTTCATTGATCAGTACTACACGTCCATAAAAAGGCAAGCAACATTACATTGACTCCTGAAAGGGTTTATGTGACTCAGCTATTTGAAACAATTGAAGACAAGATCTTGAGAACCTTTGATGAATAAAAACTTGTATACCGAGGAGACACTTCAATGGTAAAACAGACTAAGAAATTCTGTCCACCAATTTGTCTTTTTCCGGAGCTGCAGTGCAGAATAAATACAAGCAAGAGCTCCACATTTCCCGTGCTTAGCATGTCAATGAAAAATGTGTTAAATTTCAAAATTTGCTTTCACGATTTTGTGGAAGAAGGAACAGCTGAGAGAACACATTGTGTGTACTTCAGCATCAAGTGGAATTGTTTTTGTGCCATCAGGGAGAATGCTATATTCAGACACAAGGTCCGACACCTGTAAAAGACAAAATATGTTTTATTTGCTCTTCGGAGTACTGCACTGTATTTATTTTGTTCATTTCTTTGACGTTATTCGTTTGATTAAAGATTTGGCTCTAAGGCACATGTGGACAGGCTTGAAGAAGTGAAAAGGGAAATTGAAGCAACTGGGTCTTATCAACTTAAAGACACAGAGCTTATCTATGGAGCCAAACATGCTTGGAGGAATGCAGCCAGATGTATAGGTAGAATACAGTGGTCAAAACTTCAGGTAAGAATTGATATGCTTATCCTGCAAAATCTAGTTTTGTTTATTGTCACATTTATAGAAAATGCTATATGCAGCTTTAATGAGCTTTAGAAATATTATCATTATTTTATACTAACAAAAATGTAATATTAATGCCAGTAATGAATACTAAGAAATATTATTTTCTTCATGTCACATGTTATACAATTATAGGTGTAATCGGATCTGATGCTGTATGTTGCAATCAATAACACAAACCGGTGATATTTATATTGATCCTCCCCTTCTCACTGTCCATTTCCCTCCTCTGATTAGGTGTTCGATGCCAGGGACTGTACAACAGCTCACGGGATGTTTAATTACATCTGTAATCACATCAAGTATGCCACCAACAAAGGCAATCTCAGGTGAACCTCTATGCTGTGAACTGTGAATTCTCTATTTCAGAGTACCACACTCTGTTTACAAGTGGATGCTCCTCATGCATTTTGAATCCACTGCTTCTCTTGTTTAACCAGATCCTTTGTAGTCTGTTTAAATTAACAGTGTGCTACAGCACTTAGATCTAAAACACATAATTATACATGACAACTAGTATGTAGTGCTGACTAATTAAAACCAATCTATTTTAAAATGGTCTCAGTGCTATGGTAACCTAGCAAGGAACAAGATGCTCCTTGTGTTGGTCTTTAGATATAACATTGCCTCAGTGTGATTTCTCAGAAGTGTAGCAGATACAAGAGTGAAGAACTGCTTAGAAAAAAATGTTTGTTTTCCTCATTCATTTAGTAAATTATAGCTTTTGTTTACAAAATGAATTTACAGAGTGAATATTCAAAGGAGAAATATAACTGATGATGTTAAGATTGAAGTTAATATTCAGCTGAAGAAAATCCATGTAGATGTCAGTAGATGTCTGTTTTGTGTCAAGTCTGTTGATGCAGGTTAACTGTATGTGTTGTTTTTTGGACTACTACATTTTAAAGATAAATGGAGTTTAATAATTGATTTAAATGAGAGTGCCATATGTATATATGATGAATTTCTGAAAAATACTGTGAATATTTCAAGGCTAAGTGTGTTCCTGTTCAGTCTATTTATAGAAACAGTGCCAATATTAAACAAAACCCTCTTTGCAAAGAGTGTCATTGAACACTGTACTATGCTGATCCTGCATTACTTCATTTTAACTGCATTTGCATGAGTTAATGATCTATCCTGATACCATAGTCATGACAGATTATAACCTGGAGGGGACTTAAAGAATTATTGCCACATTAGTTAAATTCACACTTTCATTTTGAAATCAACTTAGGGTGCAACTCCTTTATGGTCTCAGATGATATTCTTCCACATCATTTTGATCATGTTATTAAAGTAAGAGACTCACACTTAGAATTTTGGAGTTCCTTTAATTTTCCAATTAAAGGAGCATTTTGATTGTATATAAAGTACTGTCACAGTAGAGTGAAATAGCAGTGGTAGTGTTGATGATATCCATAAGGACATTAACAACCTGTAGTCTGTGTTCATAACCTGCTGATGATCATATTATTGAACGTTGGCAGATAGGGCTTTTTTGTCCCCAACAAATATGTCCCAAAAAGTACACAGATTAGATAGTAATATCTCTGATGGGAAAAGATAAATATCGCCATATTCTTTATATGAATCCACGCATTAACAAGTAATGCTTTATTTTTAGGTCTGCCATCACCATATTTCCTCAACGGACAGATGGTAAACATGACTTTCGTGTCTGGAACAGCCAGCTGATCCGCTATGCCGGCTATAAGCAGCCTGATGGCTCTATTCTTGGTGATCCAGCTTCTGTGGAACTCACTGAGGTCAGCACGTTATGGTCTTAGCATTTTAAACATGTTGGCAAAGTGGTGCAAGAAATTAATTTTCACTACCATAGGACATGGCAGGGACCTTTAGTCTTTTCCCTTTTCGCTTGAATAGGCTTCTCCTATGTTTTTTTTTTTTACTATTTTGCCTGACTTAATATAAAGGGAACTGTATTTAGTGAGAAAAAGGCACCTATGATTTTCATAGATTGTTTTCATTATCTAACTTTTGTATACCACTGTTCTATAAAATTAAAATATATAGCCTATTTTTTAAAATATTCCCACAATATTTTATCTTTGAATTTTTCTCTGTAAATATGAATGAAATCATCTGGGTTAACAAAAATACAACCACAGTCTAATTTTTGTTGTTTTTTTTCATCGTAGCTCAGATAAGCCTTCCAGACCGTGCAACCACTGGACATTCTTTTTGTGAGTTTGGGGAAGATTAACTTTGTGTTATTTCCGTACACAGGTCTGTATCCAGCAAGGTTGGAAAGCACCAAAAGGTCGATTTGATGTCCTTCCTCTTTTACTCCAAGCCAACGGAAATGATCCAGAGCTTTTTGAGATTCCAGCTGACCTCATTTTGGAAGTGCCAATCACACATCCAAAGTAAGTTAAGACAGGTGCCACATGGCTCCGTCATATGTCTTTGTGGAAGAGTACTTCAGCCATAACGTGCTAAAACATAAGTCCATTATGTTAAAAATATTACAAATGAAGGGAGACCATTTGGTCATCTTCATAAATTGGTTGCTGGTGCATGATGAATCTGAGGATCTTGTTCAACCTTATCTTGAAAGAATCCAAGGTATCAGCTTCAATGACATTGCTTGGGTAGCTTGTCCCACAACTCTTTGTGGAAAGACATGGCTTCTGTTCTTAGACTTAAATGCACTTGTCCTTAGCTCCCACGTTCTACATAGTTCATGTTTTACTGTTTACTATTCAATTAGTCAAACATTTAAGCAGCTTCTCTGTGACAAGGTCAGCCATTTTAAACCCCATCTTTATAGATGAAGATGCCTCATACTTCAATTGTGAATGGCAGGTTGATAACAGAAAATATATATTTTAAAGCAGAGCTTTTGCTGCCAGACTCTTAGCTAACAGCTGCAGAAAAAATGTATTAGTAATCCTTGGTACATCAGCCTGCTTGGAATGTTTGATTGTTATAGCCGAGATTACATTATAATTCTTATTATACAGGCAGCAATAAAGATATTTAGATCAATTCAATGGACACATAAAATCTAGATTTGGATCAGACAGATGGTATGCAGGGAAGTTAATTAAACTCAAGATACACTTGTATTATTTTTTAGGCTATAGCTGCCAGCAGTCATTTATGGCAAATGCTGCCTGTATTTTCCAAATAAAAAAATTCTGGTTTCCAAGTCTCCTTAGGGCAGTTTCCAACTGTTTCTTGAGTGTAAAAAGAATGTCAATCCAAATTTGTATGCTACTTATATTTTATCATCTGTAGCTTTTTATTGGAATGCAAAAACTGAAACAATTTTATGTCTTAATATGTACTCAGTAATTTTCAATGCAATAAAAATTCATTGTATGGGAAAATATTGAATTTTTGCTGTATCAAAGATGTTTTTCCTTCCTTATTGTTTAATTCCTTATCATTCCTTTTAGTGTAATAATGTGCCTGTATATCTAATTTGATGCAGGTTTGAATGGTTTAAGGATCTTAATCTCAAATGGTATGGTCTCCCAGCTGTGGCCAACATGCTTTTGGAGATTGGTGGACTTGAGTTCACAGGCTGCCCTTTCAGTGGCTGGTATATGGGTACAGAGATTGGAGTTCGTGACTTCTGTGACAGCTCCCGTTATAACATTCTTGAGGTACATCAGGCTCCTATAGTGGTCAACATTATACATTTTGCATCATGATGCTGGAACTGTTGCTCTTTTTCTACCAGTGTATGTACTTGTGTACTGCATGTATCTGTAACACCTTTGTATGTAACATCCTTTAATGTTCCTGCTACAAGGTGAAAAAATTTGCTTTTGTGTTCCAATCTTTTAAGTTTGTTTTGTAAAACACACTAAATGCATGAAATGTTAACAATTAAGAGAATGGAATGTTTTCCTCAAAGGAATCTTATCATTAGTCTTTGGCAAAAGTGGTGCATAACCTCTACCTTCAAGACGCCTACTTTTCCCAATCTTAGAATTTGTATTTTGCATTAGATTACATCTAATTAGTTACATTAGTGGCAAGGTGATTGAATCATCCTACTGCTCTGATTTTATGTATGGATTGCATTATGAAACAGCACAACAATGACACACTAGGTATCTCTTAGCAAGAGCTACTCTCCACCCACAAGCACAGATCCTAATTAGCATGGAGACTGTATAATAAGAAAATGGATGTTACTGTGTATCTTTTTTTGTGAAATTTCAACTGATCAGGCCACGAAGCCTGCAAAATTACTGCCAGATCTAATTACATTTTAAACATCATCAAAGACTTTATTAATAAACATAAAATGTTAAACAAAATTCCATTCTAAAAGTTTTTTGTGGATTTTATTTCCTGAGCAAATGTTCCATTACAACTGTCTTATGCCAAGGGTGGGTGTTCACCAACAGCAAACTCTAATTATTTTTTTCTCACGCACACAAAAAGGAAGTTGCCGCAAAGATGGGCCTAGATGCCAGAAAGACTTCCTCGCTGTGGAAAGATCGGGCACTGGTGGAGGTTAACATTGCCGTTCTTTACAGTTTTCAGGTACTGATTTATTTATATTTATTTATTATTACAGAATGCCTACTGTAACAATCATTGAGCTGTTCTACTTTAGGGATTATCACACTGTGAAAGGTTTATTGCTCTCCACCCCAAACATCTTCTGACCTTACGTCTGATCAAGAGCTCTGTTCTTAGCTGTACATAATAAATCCATACTGTACATAAACATGTGTAGATACCTCCCAGTTATGAAATTACAAGGTTTGAAAATCAGATTCCTTAAAAACCTTCTTTCATTTAATTGTATTAAAATGTGGTTACATTATTGCAGATTACCATCAGGAATCTTACTACTATTAAGTAAAATGGGATAAGAGTTTCTCAGTGGCAGGCAATAAGTGGTTGGCACTGGGATCTATAAATGGACTTCCACTGCCTTCCATTGCCAGAACAATTTCCAGATCTCAATCCTACAGAACCGGATAGAAAGTGGGCTTCAATCACACCCATTGTTATCCACATCAACATCCAGTTCAGAATGTAAGGAATGAGGTGGGATTGGGTTGTAGGCATTTCAAAACCTTGTGGATTACCTGTCAAATCCTGTTAGAGTCATCTGTTCTTGCATCCTGAAAAGGCTCAGCTTCCGCAAAACATAGGTTCCAAATATTTTGGCTAGCAAGTGTATACAATTTGCATTATTTCACCTCCACCCATTTGTAACATTGTTACTCCTGTTTAGAGTTCTAAGGTTACTATAGTGGATCACCATTCTGCAACTGAGTCCTTTATGAAACACATGGAGAATGAGTACCGGGTGAGAGGAGGCTGTCCAGCAGACTGGGTCTGGATTGTACCCCCAATGTCAGGGAGCATCACCCCCGTGTTTCACCAAGAGATGCTAAATTATCGACTGACACCTTGCTTTGAGTATCAGGTAAGCCTGATGTTTGGACCAAAAGTTTTTTGTGCATTTTATTTCCTGAGCAAACGTTCCGTTACAACTGTCTTATGCCAAGGGTGGGTGTTCCCCATTTGAAGCTGCTGCTTCTTCAAATTTTCTGGCTTTTCAAAAGAGTAGGGGTGTTAACCCTAGTGTCCTGCCTAAATTCTGCTTTGTGTTTGTACAATCTGGATTCTCTATACCGTAGTTTCCCTTTCTTTTGGGAAGCACTATATACATTTGAAGAACTATTTCATTACCAGCTGGATGTATCGTAGTTGATTCTCACCTACAGTATGGTACATACAGTATATATGTTTTTATTCCAGCCTGACCCCTGGAATACTCATGTGTGGAAAGGGATTAATGGAACGCCGACAAAAAAAAGAGCTATCGGCTTTAAGAAGTTAGCAAAGTGAGTACATAAAGAGGCGCCTGTGATGCCTTTTGGTACTTATTGCTAGTTTTTTTGATTTACCAATTAAGATAGGAGTGGGCTAGGCTTTGGTAAATAAGCACCAGCTGATATTACATTTTAAGCCTCCATTTCATTCAGCATGTTTTATGAATTTTATAATACAGTGAAGAGCTTTGGTGTTTTATATTTTATTAATTTGATTTGTATATTTTGTCTCCTTCTATCTAAGTAGACTATCTCCAGTAGGCTACCAGTGTAATAGCAGAATTTTATCCCAAACTGGCTGAGTTGAAAATATTTACTGAAAGATCCCATTTCCATGTAATAGCATTGCTGGTCCCTTTTCATGTAGCTGGGTTGGCTGAAGCAACTCATATAAAGTACCTCGCTCAAGGCACAGCATCAGTCTACATCAGGAACCACACAACCCATAAGTTATGAGACCAGAGTAACACTGCTCCACCACAATTCCTAAAGGGAAAGTATCAGTGTATATATGAAAAAACTCCCATATAATTCATACATAAAAATATCACATGGGATTTAATTGTTCTTTATGAGAATAAAGGTGATCAGAGGTATCATAGGAACGTCATGGAAGTCTCCCCTGTGACAGTGCCAGTTCTGCTTTCATTAAGTGTTTGACTCCTTTCACAGGGCAGTCAAGTTCTCCGCAAAGCTTATGGGACAGGCCATGGCAAAGAGAGTGAAAGCTACTATATTGTATGCCACGGAAACAGGGAAATCTCAGGTCTACGCAAAAACCTTATGTGAAATTTTCAAGCATGCCTTCGATGCAAAGGTAAATTACCACTTTCTATTATGTTACAAAAACTATTCTTCTTGCTGGTTGTTGCCCATGGTGATTTATAAACAGTTGTAAAAATATGAATACCTGGCATACCCGGTGTTTATAGCACAGATTGTTATAGTCAGAGGAAACAGGAATAAGCATTTTATACAGTAAAAAAGAAAAGGTACAACTAAGGCAATAAGACATCTCTGCTATTTTTATGTTAAGTCATAGTCTAGGTGGCCCAGGGGATGATAAAATCATTTTCACACCCATTTGAGATTTAATCCCACTTCTGTTCAAATGTTTCTCATATTTCTTTTTCTTTTTCAGAAAAAGAAAGCCAGAGGATAAGACTGAGTTTGCTCAGTCAGGCTTGAACAAATGTTAAAGTGGGGAGCTGTGTCAGCCTGCAAGCTGTAATGGAACAAGTGAAGGTTCATTCCATGCTGAAAAGTAAAAAGAAAAAAGTAGAGAAGACACACTTTGATTGTGAAGCCTTCCTTAGGTGTTGTCTTTGCACACCTAAAGAAGACTCCGCAGCTGAAACTGTCTTTCTGATTATTTTTTTTTTTTGGTGTGGAATTAACCTCTTTTTCCTTTGTTTGTTATAAGATCAGCAACCACCTGAGCTTTGAAAATAAAAGAAAACACAAAATTTCACTATTCAGCTCCAAAGAACTTGATAAAAAAATGTCTCCTCGATTACATGTTTTTGTGGGCTTTTAGGTTTTCTGACAGGAGGAATTCATCTAAAAAGTGCAAAATAGTCTTCCTACACAGTGCATGATGAAGAAAAGAGCACAGTTAAGGGGCTTATGCTCGTCTCTGAAATGTCATGTCTCCAACAACAGCACTGATGGCTGTTCCTGCAGGAATTAGAACTTGAATGATTTTGCCAAGAAAGCAAAACAGTTATTGCATCATAAAGTTCCAAAGCAAATAGAAAGTGCCATTTATTTCATGACGCTTGACTGAAGGTCATAAAAGTACAGCTGCTTACTGGATAGTGTCATGCTTCCTTAGAAAAAAGATAAAGAGGTTTTAAAGGCCACAGACAGCATCTGAAATTAAGTTTTTGCACAAATTCTTTTTTTTTTCCATGAAGCGCCTATCATTTTGGCTGCTGTAGCTGCGTCTGAGTCATATTAAACTATCAGAAGCTTCTCGTGGAGAACAGAGTGCTTCAAGGTGCAGGTGCTGGATAAATACATGCAAATGCATTTAGTGAACAGCCATTCTGTTGACGAGCTCATTATAGTTCTATGACTGAAGTTGCCCAGGTTTTCGTATTATATTAGCTGCTCCATTACGTTCAGCAGATTTTTATTTATTTTTTTCCTTTCTGTTTTCTGTATAATTTAGGTGATGTCCATGGACGAGTATGATGTTGTGGATCTGGAACACGAAACACTGGTTTTAGTGGTGACCAGTACATTTGGCAATGGAGACCCTCCAGAAAATGGAGAGGTATGACAAAATACTGACCTACTGTATGGAAAAATAAACGAATTAACTTCCTTTACGTTCTCCTTCAATTTAGATGTATTTTTCTCATTTCATTTGCACTTTTTTGAGAAAGCACACAGCCCCACAATTACTAATGATATTTTTTGTGCATAACACATGGTTTTCAGGGCTGCTTTTTGAAGTTAATGACTAATTAATTGCCTGGGTAATGATTGCGATACTTACTCCATTCTGTATTAAGTGTTTTTTATGAGTATGTGGGAGGCACAATTTTCAACAGATCAAATTTCCTTTTGTTTTAGAAAGTGAGACAAAGCTATCATAACAGAGCCTGCCTGGTTTCATAATTGCAGAACTGTCACCTTTTGATTTTATATAGAATCAATGACAAGACCTTTTCACTACATTGTCATCGGGGTCATGTTTATCCTTCTTCTTTCTAGAAATTTGGTGGTGCTTTGATGGAAATGAGGCACCCCAACTCCAATTCAGAAGACAGAAAGTAAGTTAAACTAAACCATGCATATATCCCAGTTATGCATGGTTTACAAAACGTTTTTGTAAATTTTTGTTAATTTAAATTACATGAAATCACATCCTTAAAAGTACCTTCATTACCATGCATGGTATTTCTTTAACAAAGCACAGAAAGGACTTTACTTGTTTTCTTTGGTGTCCCCTTGTCGTCTTTATTTAAACTTTAATGTTTTCTGTATTCCACACCAAGAAAGAGATTGCTGATCTAATTAGTGTGTACATCCTGTGAGTTTGCTCATTCTGATTTTGATCTAGTAGGTAGGGTAATCATTCTGTCATGTTGTGCTCCCACAGGAGTTACAAAGTTCGCTTCAATAGTGTCTCATCATACTCCGATGCACGCAAATCTTCAAGTGATGAACCTGAGCCCAGAGACAACTTCGAAAGTACTGGACCTCTAGCTAATGTCAGGTAATTATAAAAAACGTACTCTTTCTGCAAATGAACAATGTGTTGTGTGGGTGTAGGGAACGAGGGGCTACATTCTGTGTGTGGGCATAGAAAAATCAATATATGTTGCATTTAAAGACTAATTTATTATGACATTAAAATACAGCACAGTCTAGTGAGACTGGGAAGGAATAGGCTGTATGAGCACCATGTGAGTCAAGCCTGTATGTATTTTCTAAAGAAAGCTCTTTTAAAGTATATAGACCAATCACAAACCTAAATAAACATTAGACCAGAGTATGATTTAAAAGCAGTGAACAAGAGCCTTATTTTACCTCAGGAAAAAATGTACCTTATCCTTGCTGGAGGCTTGAAGGAACTGAAGTCACCTGCTAATTGAGAATGGTATTTCTTCACTTTGATTCGTAGGTTTTCTGTGTTTGGCCTAGGATCTAGGGCCTATCCACACTTCTGTGCCTTTGCTCGTGCCATAGACACTCTCTTGGAGGAGCTCGGAGGGGAGCGGATCCTCAGAATGGGTGAGGGAGATGAGCTCTGTGGCCAAGAGGAGTCATTCCGCACCTGGGCCAAAAAAGTTTTTAAGGTAGGACGCACAGGTCTGCAATAGATCTGTCAAATTACTTTGCAGTGAAGGTCAAAAAAGCATACATAATGCGATCCTATGAGAGGAGCAATTTCTGTCATGAATATTTTTGGACTATTTTAACTTTTTGGACTGTCTGTTGCTAGAACAGGCTTGCAGTTTTGCCAGGATTTTAAATTCCAAGCCTGCCTACTACACTGCATCCTTCCAAATTAAAAAAAAAGCCCAAATCTTGGAGAACACAGTTTTGTAACCTGTTTTCCTTCACGTCCCCTCAGTAAAGTTCACATGAGAAAATAAACTTCAAAATATAATCTGTAATTCACGGTCAGTGGCATTTTATAAAACTTCTGATGACTGCAAGTTTGGGTTTAGATGGTACAGTAAATACCCTTCTTTACAGTAGCTTTTACAGTAGTTTACGCAATTTACTTACAGTAATTTAAAGTTTTCATATATGTACTGTTACACCTGCGATGACATTGAAACTGCTTCTTTTTATGCTTCATTTTCTTTTCTACTACAAAATGTGTAGTCACCTGCCTGAAATTAGCATGTGGAAAGATTTTATATATGTATTTATATTAATGACACTCTAACATTTGTAAGGTTAGCAGGGAGGTGTCTAAAATGTTGCTGGTTAAGAAAGCTGAATGTTCTAGTTGTACTCAGTCTCTTATTGATGGGTGTAGAAATTTCAGTTCAAATACTGAATCAAGTACAGTCATGCAGATTCTGAGAAAAAGAGTTGACTTAAGGACATAGTGTGAACTGGCTGATTTCTGTCCTGTTTAGGCGGCCTGTGATGTCTTCTGCGTGGGTGACGATGTGAATATTGAAAAGGCAAACAATTCTTTAATCAGCAATGATCGGAGCTGGAAGAGGAGTAAATTCAGACTGACCTACACAGCAGAGGCGCCTGAACTCACACAAGGTTCTCTATACACATTCCTGCTTTGTGTGCTTAGAACTTATCAAGAAGTAGAACTGTTATCAACTTTTATTTGTAGTTTTATGTTTCTTGTCATTCAGCATGACTGACGCTGAAATTCTCTCTTTCTTTGCTGCAAAGATTAATATAATTAGTCTGGGTGATTGATAAAAAAAAACACAACTAGAGTGACACTCATTGAAACAGTTTATTTCAGTCTTGCATGGCCATAATTATTTTAACGTCTCCACTGTGTTTACCAACAGCACTATACAATATTCACAAGAAGAAGGTCTCAGGAGCAAAACTGCTGACACGGCAAAATCTTCAGAGTCCCAAATCCAGGTAAGATATTTTTTACATGTACAGTTCGATAACAGGTAGAGTATCATATCGATATTTCTTTATATCAACATAGAGCTTACTGCAGAATTGCAAAGTGTATCGTTTTGATGTTATTTTTTTAAGATTGTAACATGGCCATAGCAATTTAGTTTACATATTACCCATACTTCATTGACGTTTGTTTTTTTTGCTTGTTTGTTCTCAGACACTTTACAGTCTGACAGGGTGTTTCTTATAACAGGTCAAAGCACAGTTATAGTACAGTATAACACACTAACGACTTCATATAACAGAGCAGCAGCTGTCTGGGCTCTCTCATCATGACAAAAATACATGTGAGGCAGAATTAAAAGCCTCTTTAAATGTTTCTGCAGTGTTTGGTATATTTCCCTAATACAGTTCAGTGTGTGTATGTACAGTCTATTTATAAATGTACCATATCCAATAGTTTTTTTTTTCTGTCTAGCAGTAGATCCACCATATTCCTGCGTCTCCGTACTACTAATCATGAAAGTCTAAAGTACCTGCCAGGGGACCATCTCGGGATCTTTCCCGGGAACCATGAGGATCTTGTCACTTCCCTCATTGAAAAACTGGAAGATGCCCCTCCTGTCAACCAGATTGTGAAGGTGGAGTTTTTAGAGGAGAGAAGCACAGCCTTGGGTAAAGCTTTCTTATTAAAAGATTGATTTTTGTTTTCTGGAATACATCAGGGTTTCCAAAGCTTCTCATACATGACCCAGCATTAGCTATGGCAACATGATATGGCATCTGTTCAGTGGTGTAAGTGGGCACAACTACAGTTATAATGATTTGCAATTTTTTTATAACCGAATGGCCTTGAGCTGAAAGAACCAGCTCAAGTCATCACCTCTTCTAAGCGATGAGCTTATCCTAGATAGTTCACAACATTTCTCCCTGTGGGTATTTTATGCTACTCTGGATATTGACCAAGGTGGTTCATAGTGCTGATACATGCTACATGCAGTTTTTCACGCCATAGCCTGAAAGCATGCCATATGATTAGTGTTCCCCATTTTTTTATTCAAATATTAAATGAGATTTAGTGGGCTTGAAAAAGGGAAAAACAGTAATGCATAATTACTTCCCTTGTTAATTTGTGGATGTCATTGACAAATTTATTTTCTAAAGGTGTCATCAGTAACTGGACTGATGAGATCCGCATTCCCCCCTGCACCATCTTCCAAGCCTTTAAGTATTTCCTGGACATTACGACCCCACCCACCCCTCTCCTGTTGCAGCAGTTTGCTTCACTGGCAACCAATGACAAACAGAGGAAGAAACTCGAGGTTCTCAGCAAGGTAGGAACCAGCAGTAATTTAATTCTTTTGTTGGATTGCTATAATCATTGAGTCAAAGAATGTGGCAAATAGGGGATTATGGAAAACCATTTAAATAGCAACATACTGTACAAATTTACAGCTTAATTTTAAGGTCTTGATTCAGGAAATCTGTGCCACCTGCTGTACCGGTTATAACACACATTATGCAAGTTAAGTCAGTTCTCTTCCCAGATCCCTCTCGTTCTTGTGAATGGAAAGTGGTGAAAGGCTGGGTTTGTAATTTGCCAATGGTTTGCAGGCATAAGGCTGAAATGGTTGTCTGGTGCTATTTTCCAGGGCCTACAAGAATATGAGGAGTGGAAATGGTATAACAATCCCACCATCGTGGAGGTTCTGGAAGAGTTCCCCTCCCTGCAGATCCCTTCCACATTACTGCTTACCCAGCTTCCTCTGCTCCAGCCCCGCTATTACTCCATCAGCTCCTCTCCAGATGCCTACCCCGGAGAAATCCATCTTACTGTGGCCGTTGTTTCATATCGCACCAGAGGTAGCTATCATCCTACCTAATGGCAGTAGTAACATGTCATAGTCTTCAGTAAAGCCTAATACACACTGCATGGGGATTGAACCATTGTCTGCAGCCAGACCTGCGTCACCACAGTGCACACTTTGTGACTTTTAACGGAACCAAAGTGTTCTGAGTCAATTTGTGAATGAAAGTCAACATGCCATTAAATTAACCCGTGTATAAACATACATTTTTCAAAACAACATAGTTTGACTGTTGAAGAATTCATCAAGCCTCTTTGTCTGTTGTTATTTTTTTTAATATGGATTTTTCTCTTTCAGATGGTGAGGGATCTATCCATCACGGTGTTTGCTCTTCCTGGCTCAACAGGATTGAAACAGATGAAATTGTTCCATGTTTTGTCAGAGGGTAATTGATCAAATTGTGATTGTGAGATTTATTGGTTTATTAGTTTTGGTTTTCCTCCTTGTTTAAAGCATAAGGAAGAATACAATTTGACTAGGGTGTTATTTAAAAAAAACAGAAGTCATGCTGTCAGAAACAGAATGAGAAAAATCTGAACGTATTCATTTTAGACACATGGAGATATGTCTATTGGTATACTGGTGAAACATCTGTTTCTCCTCATGTTAAGCGGTGTTAATAAGTGAACAAATGTGTTTCAACAATTGCTTTGCTTTAGAAATAGAAAACGCACTCTCAAAAGTTTGAAACTTTGTTACCAATCTTTCTCACAGTGCTCCATCTTTTCGAATGCCCAAAGATCCCAAGGCTCCGTGCATTCTTGTGGGTCCTGGAACAGGAATTGCTCCCTTCCGAAGTTTTTGGCAACAGAGGCTGTATGATTTTGAACACAAGGGTATGTCGTACCCACTGTATACACCAAAGGTTTGTTCATTGCTAATGATTTGGCAACAAACTTCGCAGGCTGATCCCAAATTTCTGTTTTTTTTTTTCTTCAACAGGCATTAAATCCAGCCCTATGATCCTTGTCTTTGGGTGCCGCCAATCCAAAATAGACCACATTTACAAAGAAGAAACGATTCAGGCCAGAAACAAAGAGGTGTTTAAAGAATTGTACACCGCATACTCAAGGGAGCCAGGGAAACCAAAGGTGAGGTTTTTAAAAGAAAAACAAACAGAGACGAAGCGATGAACGGGCTGAGTGCTGCACACTGTCAGTTTGAACTGCTCTTGCCTCAGATGCTTTCTTTGACGTAAGGAGAACATTCCTTGAATTGTTTCCCAGAAATACGTACAGGACGTGCTCCGTGAGCAGCTTGCTGGGACGGTATACACCTGTCTGAAGGAGCAGGGCGGGCATGTGTACGTGTGTGGGGATGTGACGATGGCTGGAGATGTACTGAAGACGATACAGCAGATTGTGAAGGTGCAGGGAAACATGTCACTGGAAGATGCTGGCTTTTACATCAGCAAATTAAGGGTAAGCAACACTGGGTGCGTTTGAATTGCCTGTCGGTTGAAGTTTTATAAGTTTTTAATCAAAATGACCAATACTTTCCTTCAACCCACACACACAACCTCTTTGCATCATTTAAGATGTTCTTTGCTGTAAAACTGTGAGCATTGCTTGCGTCTTTACTTTCCATTTTTATTTCCAGGATGAAAACCGGTACCACGAAGATATCTTTGGAGTCACGCTGCGCACATACGAAGTTACTAACAGGCTGCGATCGGAATCCATCGCTTTTATTGAAGAAAGCAAAAAGGATTCAGATGAGTGAGTGTGTAGTTTGAGTTTCACTGGACGAGAACACCTCCAGAGGTTCAGTGTGTCTGGAGGGCATTCGTCTTAGTTCTGTGACATACTGTAGGTGGGACCTGGGAGCTATAGATTGTAGATCATAGCCTCTAGAATAATATGACAAATGAAAACTGGTAACCATGGAAACTGCACTTTAAAGTATTCCTTCCAGATAGGATTATTTATAAAATGGTTCATCTCCAGGGATATTTTAAATGCACTTATGCATTTAAAGACAAGCATCTTGCTAATACAGTATATGTCTTGTGGAGCAGAAAGTGCTATAACATTTTAACTTAAGCTTTTCAATTTTAGGATAATAGAATAAAGTGAGACTTTTTGACTTTTTTTTCTTAAAATGGTGTTTCACATTTCCATTAAAAACTCAACGCAGGTGACTATCCTAATACAATTTTAATTAATATTTTTCAGGGTTTTCTGCTCATAGGATCGTTGTTCCTGTGGAGCCTTTCGAAGTTTAACCACTAGTGGGCGCTGTTTGAAAAGAAGCGACGCGCTGCAGCTAAAGTCAAAGTATACTGTGCCGACTTTTATACTGTATACAGTACATACCGACTCTTTCTTTTCTACAGGAAATGCTTTGTAATGGTCAGGCTGTGCAGTTGTCCTGTGGCAACCCCTTTTTTCCCCACATAAAAAAACACTTTTATTATTTTTGAAAGACATCCGCCAATGACTGTTTTGTAAACACCGGGTTCGCGTGTGCACAACATTTAAGCTCGGTATTAATGCATGTAAGACAAAAGTATTTTATAATATATCCTATATTTACTATATCAGTGTAACGAACGATGCCTTCTCCTTAAGTGCAGCATTTAAAGATTTGAACTCGTGAGCAAGAATACATATACAGGCATTAAGCTCAGTTCTTTATTGTACCAACAAGAGGATTTGGAATAGTATAATGCTACATTGCTGGCAGGGTGATTTTCCTTCTCAGTATAGCTTTGCTGTGGCTTCGACGTTTTCCCAAGAAAATTGTTGGATGTTGTGTAGACATGCTTTACTGCAAGGTTTTCCAGCCTTAGTTCTGGGGAACCCCACACTTGAGTTCTCTGCTTAATTGAATACTTAATTGAGCTAATAAAGGGATTACTTTGAACTCTTCTCAAGTTGTTTTCAGTTCCTCAACAACTGGTTGGATGCATTTTAGCCATTGTGTTTAAGAAGCAGCCTGAGAACTCAGCTGGAGCAAAAATCAGAAGAGACTGAGATTACCTGCTCTCATACATCACTTTCCAATCCTGGTTCTAGACACTGATGTGTCTGAGCACTGCCATTCCACTTTACAGTAACTCTTGATAAGCTTAATCAGCTTTTTAATAGCTAAATTGGACCAACTAATCACTGCTATTTTGAGGTGGTCCTAGAGACACTGCAGGTCCTGTTGGCCCTCCAGGACTAGACACCCCTGGCTTATAAGAAAGATCATATATAAACTACAGAAGTTGCTGGCAGGATCTTTTTCAGTGGCCTCTGATTTTAGTGGCAGTGCTCATATAGTATACTGATTTTCTGTGAATTATATAGTTTTTGCCATTGCTGTTAGGCAAGACTATTGTTGAATAAGCAACATTTCCAAGACAACAGGCAGTGTTGACAACACAGCATATGTTATATGCAACATGCTCCGTATGCAGTAATAAAAGCTTGCTTATTATTTTGTCGACAAACTCCCATCACCTATCTTTCGGTGAAAATGTGTCTGTAGTGTTTGTAAGCCAATACCAAACAGCCATGCTTTTTAAGAACTGTGATCTTGCAATGCTTACAGGTCTGCTCATCGTGGGACTGTTTTCTGAAGTGAAATGATACAATTCAGGCTTATTATTTTTACTTTTGCAGTCACCATGACGTACCTTTAGAAAAAGTAAATAAACAATGAATTTAGGAAATAAAATTCAGCAAAGATGATAATGCATATAATTTCAGTCTTTTGTGGCATTCGCAAAAATCAAGGTATTTGATAAATCTCTAGTATTTCCTTGTCTGAGAGGATTCTCTTCCCTTTGAGTAGACATTGCTATTACTTCAGCGAAATGCTGGGTGCTCCTCACAAATCATAATAGATAGTGCTTGAATTATCCCCTATCTTTCTGTCGAAGACTGTCGAAGACTTTGCCAGGAGATAAAGGATGTACTGGTATTTTCCTCAGTGATCAAATCAAGTCAGATTACTAAAATTATATTTAGTTTTAACTAAAGTTATAAACGTCCTAGAGTTATAGTTTCATGCTCTGCGTCTTGAGTTGTCCTAGGCAACACATATTAGGAATATGTAATAAAAAAAGAAACCTAATAAAGTCAGAAAAAAATATTAAATTAAAAATATTGCCAAACACTAAAGTTTAAAAGTATATCTTTAGCTGGTGGGAGAAATTGTACTGTAAATTAAAATGCATGACAATACACACAATATAGTGCTTACCAAAACTAATCTCTTACAAGCTAACAACGTACAATAACAAGAGAGGTTAGAAGGTAATAAAAACAGAGGTTACATAATTTATATGGAGGGTGTATTGCTCTGGCGATAGGTATTATGCTGATTTCTAGCGTTCAAGTGTAAAAGAATGAACACTTTCTACATATCTGTGTTTCAGAATGTTGGGCCCTTTTGTCATTCGCTCTGCAGGCCTTTTCCCTCCAATTTGACTGGATTAGAGTGATTTTCTCTGTAAGAGATGTGCTACAAAACTGCTGTAGTGCAGTGTAGTGCAGGCCTGGTGCTCATAGAGACAAATTGATATCATTTCATGTCACCTTTTCTACAACAGCATCTCATTGCTAAGCATAACATACTGTACCACTCCACTTGCAGTTACTTGGAAAGAGAAGGCACCTACAGTAACCATTAGCAGTTCGGCCTACTACACAGAGCATGTTACTTCTTGTCCCCCATAATCTAAAGAGCTTCCATATTTGAGCAAAGAATGGATGTCTTTTCTCTGATTTGCATGTTTGTGTTAAAAATAATTCATAATTTTCGCATGACAGACAGTAGGTGACAAATTGCATTATGATCCTCAGATCTACAGTAACTTTCATGTTCGTTTAAAGTTTTTTTTTTACTTTTTCCTTTTGCTGAAAGTTGCATAATGAGAAGAATGTAGGGATGACTGACGCTTGCCTTATAGTACAAAAGTCAGTGCTAGGTCCCCATTTTTAACTTTTTTTCCTGCGCTTGCTCGTTCTCCTGAGCTAATAAAGTCCAAGCACAGCGCGTATGTTGGTTTTTCACATGCATGTAGCTGTCTCACTTGCAATTGTATAGTCCTTCTGCATGATGTTTGATCACTCACTCTCTAGCCACCTGATCTTTGATGCTCTCTTAACTTTTATACCGGGGTATGTGATGTTCATTTTGTACTGATTAATTACCTCACTTTCAAAAAATCTTTCTTAATAACCTTTCGCATATAGACATTTTTTCATTTTACTGTAGGGCTGTTCTTCAACACCTTCAAGCCCTTGTCCTTTTTGAGCTCCAATGCAAGACAACAGAGTTTTGCAAGCTTGAAGGTCTGTAGATGTGCATGGACTCTTTCCATTGCCTCCTCTAAAAAAAACACACATGCACATTTACTTTGCCAGTTAGTATCACAAAGTCATAAGCATGTAACCGGAATAAGGAAGAGCAGTGTATTTTTAGAAGTCATACTTGTGCTTTTCTGTTACCTGGCACTGTACAAGGGATAACCAACAAGAAGTGGTATAACTGATTTTTTTTCAAAAAATAAACTATATGTATTACAGCTAAAACACCTACATTGGAACTATAGTTGATGCATTATTTTAAGGCTGTGCCTTTTAGAGCTACACTACAGAGGTCATATTACTGTATGTGACTGATTTTATGAATACTTTTTGTGAATGATCACAAAGGCTATACTATTAGCCAATGCTTGTATTTTATTTTTACCATATTGCTTTCAAGTTATTGGTTGAGCTGAACTGCAGAAATCCTTGTTGTCTCTAAAAGGGTTTCAGTGCCAAATGATTCAGCATGCTGCAGACAAGAATAGAGCAATTTGCCTATGACAGCGTCTTTATTAAAAAATCACTTCATTAATTTGCCATTGTTGGATTTTTTTAGTGTTCATTTAAAAGGAATGCAAACCGTTTACACTCTGTGATCTAAAAATGTGCAAAAAAATAAAGAACTAGCTAAATAATTAGATCTTTTTTAAGAATGTATTTTTGGTTATATCAATTGTTTGTCTTTCCTGCTTGAAATATTTTGAAGAAATGCATTTCGTATGGAAAAGTGGAATACTGATCCAAATGCATGATGTATCCTGTGACTTTAAGAATTCTTATATTTACTAACACTATAAGTATAAGTAATATTGTACTATTGTAACTGATTGCAGCTCCTATGCTTGAATGCCTGTGTGCTTGGGGTACATTTGTGTTATATCACTGCTGCTAATATGATCTATAAACAGGCTTTGCAGTGGTCTTTTTGTTGTGGAATCTACTGACCTTAATTATGTGTCATTTTATGTTTACCTCCAAAAATTTGCTTAATAAAAACATTTCTATGTTGATGCCTGGGTGAAATTATTTTGTTTGTAAAATTAACTCATTGGTGCCTGTATAAACTGGTAAGATTCAAAGCTGCTAATGTTAGGATAGCCCAGAGCAATATTACAGATGGAAGAGAGTAAAGTCAGTATTAATCCCACATAGCAACATGCCTCCCACACAGAGGGACTTCAGGACTGGACTGAAACAATTAGGTTAAAGGTCCTTGTTTAAGGGCACAGATAGCATTGTCTTCAGTGTCCAGTATCACAAGGTATGATTTCCAAAGTACATAAATCTACTTAATAATTATAATTATACCTTATAGCTAGAGATAAATAGAATCATCACTGTGATTACCTTTCAGGATGACAGTTGTTTAACAGGAAACGGTAGTTGCTTCATGGGATATACTGTATGAATATTAAGTAGCTCAGTCTGTTTCATAACATTAGGAAATAGAGTTCTCTAAAGAAAAAACACTGAGTTTTTCTTGGTGTTGTTAGTGACCTCTTAAATTTTGCAAACAAAGATAATCCCCATTCTTAACATCTGTTCCCAGTGCACTTACTAATCATTACAATATCATTTGCATTCAAGATCTCAAAGGCTTCACAATATGTCCAGATACTGGGAGTGTTGCCACATCACCATAGCAACCTGACAACAGAAATGGATCAGCCTAACTTTAACAGCTCTGCTGCGTTATGTCCTCACTGGTTGGAAGGATTGCGATTAGTTACAGAGCATTCTGCTTTGCCATTAGTTTAATTCTCTGCCAATCAGAGATTGATTAGGACTCCCCTAGTAACAAGGTAGGTTGTGAAGTTGAAAAACTCCCTGCCTACCTGTGATAATTGCAGTGATTTGTTTCCTAGAACACAAAAAGCTGTTTTTCTCTTTATTTTTCATGGATGATCACACAACTACTAATTGTGTTGTTTATTATTGTGCATGTTTGTAGGCTTTTGAAACCATTGATGTTCTTAGGGTGATTTGCATTGGATACATTTTGAGAGTTTGTCTGGATATCATGGTTTTTAGTAAACAGCTAATGAAAGAGTCCATGTTGCCCTCAGTTTTAGAAGTGAACGATACTGAGCCAGAAAGTGAATCAGACAGTGAATGGGACAATCTGAGAGGAATAGGAAGCAGGCCAACCAGCAGACCTCAAAAAGCCTTCAGTCGAGGCAGTACTGACAACAAGGTGGGTAGGAATTATGGATTTTTTTGTTCCTTCTAGATTTAAATCTACAGCATGTGTAGTTTATCAGTAGTAACAGATCAGTCAAATTTATTTTAATGAGCCTACTGATTATTATGTTTTGTTTAAAGTAAAACACACACTTCTCTGTAAACATCTCTCTGCAGTTTCCTGATATGACATTATTTGGCTCTGTTTTCAATTCAGCTAATGCTGTGATTGTGTTCTTTGTCATGTAGACTGTCTCAAGAGCAGGCAAAGGTCAGTCCCCCGCACTGAGCAGAGCTCTGAGTTCAGAGGTGAGCAGAGAAGAAAACGTACCCAGCGAGCAGGATGATGATGACAATGCCCTGGAAAATAAACCAGCTGACAGCTCTGAAAAGGAGACGGTCAGTGCAGAGGAGGAATGGGACACAGATTTGGAATTAGAAGGTACCACCTCCCTCATATCCAACCCACTGTTGACTTTCTGCTGACTTTACGGCACAAAAATAAAAATAGCTTAAAGGTGGATGCTAGAGTTTAACTGTCCTCCTTTATTAAAACTAATCTGCTTCTGTGAAAACTCGCACATATAAACTTCAAGGAATGCCTTTCACCTGTAAGGTATTTTCAGTGTGTTAAGTAATGTGATCACTACATACAGGACTATGCAATATAGATATGCATCCTGACTATTTACTGTGTGGAGTGAGTTTCACAATAGTAATTACAATCCTTGTTATTTTTTTTATGTCATACTGTAAGTGGATGATTAAATAAGTAAACATCACCTGTGCCCATATCGAAGTACTTAAAAGAAGAATGGTACTGCAGTGCTATGATTATAAGTTCAGGTGTTCTTGATTTATTGAAGACATGAAGGAACCTTATGATCCCACTGGACATTCATGTTACAAGGCTGCCTGCAAGGTCTTTGGTGTGGTTCCGGTGTCATACTTCCTGCGTCACATGAATGATACAGAGCTCATAATGATGCATCATGGCCTCGGTCCACAGGTATAGCTGGTGAATCTCTTATAAATCTCTAGGTCTGTTTAATTTATTACTTACTCTTTTTCTCCGAACAAATACAGTACATATCAGGCTTAAGAAACAGGAACTTACTTTCAAAATGTCCTTTTCTAGAGTGCCAAAGCTCTTGCTGTTCCCTTGGTAACCAACACATCCATCCTCAAGTTGAACCTGAGGGATAATTGGATTGAGGGGCTGGGCGGAGCTGCGATTGCAGAGATGCTGAAAGAAAACTGCTACATCACAGGTTCTGTTCTGGTTGTAAGGGCTCTGCCATCCTGTTCTGACTCATCAGAAGCGTTTTTTAAATGAAACCTGCTCAGTGTATGAGCCATCAGCAAGAATTACATTGGCATTAACTGGAGAAGGGGGGCTTTAGCTAATCCTTCTCCCCCCAAAATTCTTTCTTTGCCAGAAATCGATTTGTCAGAGAACAAACTGGGAGAGAGAGGTGCCCAAGCCCTTTCCAGTATGCTCCTGGAGAACACCACCTTGGTCACTATCAGCCTCTCTGGGAATGACTTTGATGATCACGCTGCCAAGCACTTAGCTGAAGCCTTGGTGAGCAATCAGAAAGTGGAAAGCATGGTCCTGAGTCACAACATGATGGGAGACGGCGCAGGTACTGCCCGCGACAATGCCATGGGAAAATGAATAGGACAGTAATGTTTCCACATTAGAAGATGTTATTTTTTAACCTTCAGCTTCGTGACTCAAATAATGAGCCCTAGATTACGACTTAATGCTGAAGAACAAGTGTAAGCACCACCTTACTTTCCTTACTTACTGTGCCCTCTGTGGTGATCTGTACACCAGAACCAATGCTCACCTTTTAATTAAGTGTGCTGTAGGTAGTAGCATTAATTGTTGTTGGAAATGACTATGTTTATAACCATATATATATGATTAGTGCACAGGCTAAACAGAGTCATTTTTTACATGCTCGTGGAGCAAAGGGTTACAAGACAATTTAACATTAAAACATATGTAAACTACAGGAACCTGCAGGAAAGGAAAAGGCAGGCTTTTGTTTCTTAGTAGCACAGTGGATTACTGTCATAATCACATACAGTAGTGAGGGTTTCTGCCACTGCTTTTGGATCACTGCGTGACATGGCATACAAACATCTGTAAAGACTGTTACACAAATTTTACACTGTCCCAGAGCTCAGATGAAACGTGTTCTGTGCAACATTTTAAGACTTGTGAGCAAGAAACAGATGCCATGAAAGCATTATTGTTCTTCCAATAAAAATGTATTGAGAGGACTGAATTGGGAAACAATTAAGCTGCATAGCAACATCATTTAAGAAAGTTGCTTTGCAGATTATTGGACAACATAACAGGCTATCTTTCAGTTTGTTCCTTTTATTTGTTTTTTTTTATGTGCTCACTTGTACAAACCACTAATATTATTTTGATTAGATGTTAAATATTATTTATCCCGTTCTTTTTCAAAGAAGATTCTTCAAAATCAACCAGAAACCAAAATGTCAGATGTCACTGGGGAAGTTCATCTGCTGTTTTGTGTTTGTTTCTTCAGGTGAGACACTGGGCAATGCTATTGCTGAGAACACTGGATTGAAGACCCTCAATCTGAGCTGGAACTGTTTACGGGGAAAGAGCTCAATAGCAGTGGCAAAAGGTTTAGGGGTACTGTCCATTATCTGTTTTAATGCAACTTTCCATTTCTGAAAAAGCTCAGATGAAAATATTTTGGGGAGCGGAAGCATAAGACTACATACTTGTCTTTATATCTTAGTACTTTGGAAAATAAACATATTACATCTAACATAATAGTTTATAAATACACCTTATTTGACTATCATATTTTCATTTTAGGCAAACATATTTCTTCGAAAGCTAGACCTGTCGTACAATGGATTTGGGAAAGATGGAGCTGCAGCTCTCGGTGAAGCTCTTAAGGTGAACAATGTGCTTGAAGATTTGAACATCAGGTACAGTACAGTATGTGAAAGTAGAGTCTGAACTCAGATGAATGCCCACCATCCAATGAAAGTGTATTTCACTGTAAACTTAACTTTTGTCTCCCTCTTTCTGCTGATTTTAGCATAGCATGAAGAAACATGTAAAGTCTTTAAGTACCGACTGACATTATTAACTTACTGAAGAAAACTGTGTGCTTGAAAATGTCTATCCGGTGTAGATGGAAAGTTTTATACCTGTGCAACTCCTAGGAATAAATGCTGTAAATAGGTGTTTTTTCTGGTGAAAATTGAAGCGGACAGGCATGTCTCAGTAGTTGAATTTGAATTTGTTATAAAATACTACAACATGTTTCTATGTTTTAAAGAACGTGTTTCTAAAACAGGTGCCTGAGGGGTCTTGCATCTTTATCACAGCCAGAGCAGCCAATTAAAGAAACAATCTAATTATTTTCTTATTTCAAATCCATTGGATTTTTCCTGAGGTGTTTTACTGTTTATTACTCAGAGCATTCATGTCATTATGTGTGCAATTGCTGATAAAACACCTACGGATCTAGATAAAAGTATTAAAATTACATATTTAATTAATTAGACAGACTGTGCGACACAAGAGCTGGAAAACTACGAAAAGACGACATAATGACACCAAACCCTCCGGGAACTGAAGTTGAAACCCCTGCTTTAAAGATTTTGTCTTGCTCCCGTTTCCAAAGCTATCATTTTCTTGCATGTATCTGTTTTAGTAACAATCAGATCCCTCCTGAAGGTGCAGTGCGCTTTGCCATGGGACTCAAAGAAAACAAGACACTGAAGATCCTTAGTGTAAGATGTGAAATCTCTTACTTTTGAAATAATTCCTACGGTGTCCCCCGTACAGTAGATATGGGCACATAACACACCTGTTATTTTAGCTTGACATATCAAGCCATTTGTATTTTCTTTTTAAATAACCCTCTATACAATTCAGCAACAGTTATAGTTATAGGTACAGTTTTGAAAAGTAAGAATAGACTGACGTTAAGTACATGGGCCCCCTACAGAAATCTTAGATATCTACTTTACCATAAAGATTATTTAGGGATTAAAGGCACATTTCTTTCCCTTTCTCTTTTCTAGATGTCTCGAAATCCAATGCAGAGTGCTGGCTGTTATGGGATACTAAAATCAATGGAAGGGAACCCTGAATCTGCCATCGAGACCCTGGACTTCTCTGTACTACACCTTCGGCTTTAATTTGATTTTAGAATTATTCATATATATTTACTTTTCGTTGATGGCACAACTGTTGCTCTCAGTTACTGTTTTCTTCACGTCCTCATGCAAAACAATACACATCCTACAGAATGTTACGGATAACAGACATATTACATATTAAAATAGTTTGCTGTTATACTATTACTGTCCTTGTTTGAATGGGTGTGTGCATACTAATCAACGTTCTGTGTATATTTTTTCTCAGGACATCATCGTGAACAAGGATTTTGATGAATTGTACAACAAAGTCAAAGAAATGTTTCCGAACCTGCAGGTGAAACACGAAAGAAATGCAGACAGCTTTTCTTTCAAAACATCTAAAGTCCCAGTAAGTTGCTCAGCGAACAGCTTGTTGACGGACTGCAACTACTGTACAACACTCCACCTCGGGGAATATTATAACAGAATATGAATATTAATCTGTACTGCTAAAAACGCATAAAGCAATTTTATTTGTAACAGGGTAAAACAGACCCCCTTCTAGCGCAAGAATGATACTCAGAAGATAAAACCACCTGTCGAATCTATGAAAACGGTATATAATTATAGGTCAATGGTTTTTGTCGAATAAATACAGTCATCAGCTGACAAGGAAAAATTAAAGGTTAATTTCATCCTGAAAAGTAGAAAAAAACCACAATGTTTCGGCTGTTGAGTCTTAGTGTTAGAGTTATAGTTCTATATCTTTCTACTTGGAATTAACCTCCACTTGCTCCTTGTTCTCAGTTAGATTTTTTTTGTGTGTGTTCCAAGTGCCTGTACAGCCATGCATAGATTTGAGATATATGTAGATGAAATGATAGAAAAATCTGTCTTTTTTTAAATTTTACATCAAAAACATCCATCCATCCCTGCAATAGAGTATCAGAAAACCGCTTATTCATAACGAGGATCAACCTGTAACCTGTCCCAGAAGAATAGGGTGCAAGGAGGGAAGTTGCAAAAAGATCTGACATAAACAACATACTGTAGAAACTGTCACATCAATGCATAAATTACTGCAAGAAATATGGCTGTATTAAACGATAGCAGCTACAGAATCGAATCAATGGATGATTGCTGGACCTGCAATGAATGAGCAAACAATATCCAACCTCAAGTGCTCCTGTCACCTCCAGAAAGATCCCTTAGGAAAACTGAAGTATCACATAAAAAAGAACAACTTGAAGCTTGAGGATTCTTTTGACTCTGTGGAAGAGGGTGGAAGTGCTCTCATCACTAGAGCAGAGTTTCAGCTGGGACTCAAGGTTAGTAAACGCACAGCGCCTCTGTCATAAACCTGGAATGTGTAACATTATTACCATATAAATTGCCATTGCTCAAAAGCTCATGAGTGTTTTTTGTTTGATGCAGGGGATAGGAACCTGTTTAACCATGGAAGAAGTGCAGCAACTCATGGATGATCTTGATAAGGACAACTGTGGTGAGATTGACTTCAGGTACACTGAAATAATCTTTGTAACACCTTTTAGAGGAGTCTTAGCTGCACACTTTTGAACAAGCATATATTAATATGAAGAAAGCTAATGAGCCTTCTGAAGATACTGATTAGTTAGGATGTGTAGTCTAAAACATTTTTATGTTGTGTAGTATTTGAATGTGTCTGAGAGCCATGTGCTGTCCATATACTACTATAGTGTACAGTATTAGATAGAGGCAAAAAACAAAACAATATTCTTTTGGTAATACAAATAATCCAGATGTGAGGAAATGAAACTGATTTCTCCTTCCTTTCTGTTTTTCTTGTGTTCTCTGGTTTAGTTTTATAATAGCCCCAGAGTGATGTGAGTTTACAACTGTTTTTGTTTTTCTGTTTTTCAGAGAGTTTAGCACATTGCTGAAGAAAGCTTAACACCGCATACTGTATCTGTCTATTATCGTGGGTACCTTGGACCGCTCTGGCATTTTGCACGAATAATAAAAAGATCACAATGTTGACTGTTTCTCCTTGTCTCCTTGTGTTTGAATCTTCTTTCGTCCCTTCACAAGTGGTGCATGTGTTTGTAACAGATTTAATGTTTTGTCCCCACAAAAAAAGCAACAGAATTGAATAAGTCAATAAGAGCATAAGAAGTGAATAAGTAAATTAAATTATAAATTGTTTCAGATTCATCTGAAAGTGTGAGTTATTTTCAACCTTACACAGGATAATAAAACACTTTCAAGTTCTAATATGAATACTGTATAAATTATTCCTCTTTATGATTAGCTTAACGTACATTAGGAAAACACATCTTATTTACTTACTGTAGGTTATTGGGGAAACAGCAGAATGGTTAAGTCTGGGTGCCGAACACAAAAACACAGAGGTGTTGCAGTTTGTTAACAATAGTGCAACAGAAATTATACTGTACATGATGTTTCATATTAACAATGATAAGGTAGAAAAGTAAGCCTAGAGCAGGGTATGTGGTTTTGTTAAAAATAAATTAAGATAATGTAATGGATAATATTATTTGTGGGTGGGACTAGTTAATATTAGAATGACCAACATACATACAGTACATCTAAGAAACATAATTTTCTTAGTTATCCCGTGTATACGACAAATTAAAAAACATAATGCATACTGGCATGATAAGAGAACAGTATTTACATTTAGTAGCAGTACAAAGACTTTTACAAATCAATATACAGTATGATTAAGGACGGAAATAAATACATTCGTGTGCATCATTCACACTGTAAATGTATTAATAATTTGTTTTGTTCATAGAACGTGTTATTTTGATTTTGATTACATAACTTGTTTATTTTTTATTATTGTATATTAAAGACCATAGAGAGAGGTTTATATTACACACAGTGGGAAAAAAACAATAATTATAGGACATTATAAAAAAACAGTTGTTTGTAAGAGCCAGGCATACAGCCATTGGCTTGTTATTTTAGAGTCAATGAATCGATCTCCGTTGCGAAGATATTTTGTTCCTTAGTTATATTCAAGATCACGTCACTTGAACGTGTGCAACCTTTGAGCAGGAACTAAACTCGAGTGATTTGGGTGAATGTGACACACGGATCTACACGTGCGACACATCCAGAAACCACTGCAATTTCAGCCAGTATTTTTCTTTTAAATAAAGCACAGCGTTTTTAAAACACTAGAAGATGGCGGCGACGTGGTTTTTAAAACTGCCCAAACCCCAGCAATTACTGTGTAAGAATACTTTGGGGCTGTTCATCTTTAAAAGGTAAAGCCGAACTAGTTGCAAGGTTTAACAGAGAGCATGGTTTTGTTAAATATATATGTTTATTCTGCTGTTTATAGACTCCTGTCACTGCAATGTTTTGTGCTTAGAAACGAAGGTGAAAGATGTGCCTGCAGGTGCATTGCAAATGCTCGTGTCCTGACGTTAGACAGGACGTTACACGTTTTCTAAAAGAAAAAAAAGAAAATGTATGATATTTGTAATTATGGCAGCTTCTTTGATCGGAAGGGTTCAGGCGCTCCGGTTGTAAAATACAATGAATGATGTTGTTGACCAGTTGTTAACAAAACAAATGGTTTCTGACCGTAATGGAGTCGATTCATTTTTCATTTTCCTATTTAGTAGTTGGTGTTCTAGGAAATAGCACGAAAGCTCACTAAATTACTATTCCGTGCACATTGAGAAAGGTCTAATGTCTAAGTCAATCGTTTTCCTGGTTCCTGAACTTTGCCCCTCGGGGCAGTAGGCGCTATCACATGACCACTACAGTTGATGTACTGAACAGGGAGTAGCCAGTGCTGAAAAACATCTGAAGTGGGCAATACTCAGCAATCAATTAGACTTATTTGTTGTGAGCTGCTTATTGGAAACATGCCGTCTTGGCAAACATACCTTTGACTGAAGCCTCTGAGACAGGCAAAATCAGAAATCGGTGTTTGTCTTGAAACATTGTTTATAAATATGTTTCTCACCCTACACCCCTTATCCGTCTCCCCATTTAATAGAGGTCTTGCAGACAAAAGCTGGTTCCAGTCTTTGTTTGTGCATAAAGTTGATCCCAGGAAAGATGCCCACTCCAACCTGCTGTCAAAAAAAGAGACCAGCAACCTGTACAAAATACAGTGTGAGTACAGATGACCTCAAATGGTGCTGCTGTTTCTTCAGGTAGTTTTTGAATTTATGCAGAATAATGCCACTGTTAAAATTCTGTAAAGCACTGTGTGCACTGGATTTCTCAATAACAACAACCCAACCATTCATATACAATATACACCCTGCACCCATGCAAACAGACTCTACTACAAACTCTTTGTGACTAAGCAGATTCTTTTCCTTCCTATTTCAGTTCACAATGTGAAACCAGAGTACCTAGACGCCTATAACAACTTATCGTAAGTAGTACATTGTATTTTATATTTTGACTCATTCACGCTTAGTTTAATCACTTCAGAGGATTATGGAGTCACCTTCATGGTGGTGAATGTGTATTTTATACATTTCAGAAGGGTCCACTGTGGTTTAGCTTATGCAGTTAATTTTTTAAAATCCGCCAGTAATTAGCAATGACTTCATGATTATTATCAGTATGATTTACTCAGGTATTTCTTGCTCTGATCACACTTTCGGTGATAGAAGGAGTTCAATTGTGGCATTGTTGTCTGTGGCCTGCAGAGCTGAGGTTCAGAACCGACTGCACTGTGACAAGGACTATCCTTGTGAGATAGTGGGAAGCTGGAACACTTGGTATGGGGAACAAGACCAAGCTGGTAAGTGTTTTCTGTAGCTCATTCAGTACTGCATTGAGCTCATGGCATACGTATTATACAAAAGCGTAGGAGATTTGTCATATGTTCACTATCCATCCATATTTATGGCACTTGACCAAAGTTGTAAAACGGACCCTTTTTTGGAGCTTTCTGCGTGATCAGTATGGTTATAGTAGTTCAGGTGGGTATTAAATGGTTATATGCTGATCTGCTGTTTCTCCTTGAAACAGAATACAAAGACGGGTGAAAAACCCGTCTTTGTATTCTTCAAGTGGTAAGGGTAAGTAATAGCGACCCCTGCTGTTTTCCAGTGGTAGGACAAAGCCATAGCGACCCCTGCTGTTTTCCAGTGGTAGGACAAAGCAATAGTTACCTGTGCTGTTCTGCTGTTGCAGTGCACCTCTGGCGATACTCTGGGGGTTATCCAGCCTTGACTGAATGTTTAAACAAGTTGTGGCAGGATAAGGTATGGAACTGGTTCTTGTTTTTTCCTTCATATTATAATTGATGGTCACTGATATTTGTTTCTGTTTGTCACTGTATGTGGTTCTTCTGTTGTTGGTGTGTTGACTGCATACAAAGGTAAGAGAAAGTTAAATCAAATTAATTGGTGAGGTTCTGGCTAAGCGTGTACATACAGGTACCTCTGTTTTGGTGACTTTACTGGAAACAATTCAGATATTGGAGAAACAGCATCATAAAGTTGAACATTAATAGTTTTAGGTAGTTGTCTTCAGGGATGAATTGATACATAACTACTAAAGATCCCAAGGTGTATAAATAGGCTTGCTCACTGTCACTTCTCTGGAAAGGATTTATAAAAATACATCACACCCCAGAAAATGCACTAAAAACACCAAGTAAACAATATGCAATAGTTATCATACTGTATGAGGTTACATAGTATACATTCTCTCTTCCTGTGGATTAAAGATATTTAGGCAGTCCATGTAGATTTAAAGAATGTCAAGAATCTCTTGTGAATGGAACATTGGTCTTCTAAAGTAACCTTGGGTTTTTTTTTTGTGATTTTGTTTTGCTCCTGTGATGATGCTCGTGTCATGTTTAGAAAGTGTTAAAGAAGTCAAATAGTGAAGTGTATGCATTCTGAATTACTCTGCTGTGCAAAAGTCTTTGGTGTCTTGGATGACAAGAGTTAAAATATGTGATTGTTATGAGCATCAGCAATGTACTGATGCCTTCATTAGTGTTTTCTTCTATGAAAATTACATTGAATGTTATTGAGCACATTGAATGCTTAGTTTAGATGAGAAGAAACCAAGCTTGTCACTTATTTTTCAATTCACATTGATTTTTAAAAAACTCACAGTGGTTCAATTGTAAATGTGAATATCCAATATAAAGTGTTGCAATAGCTATTCCATCATACAGTATCTATCAGTCAAGTCTAATTGATTCATTGTTCCCTATCATTAACATATTTGTTTTCCACTGTACATCCGAACATACTGTTTGTAGTGCCAAATACAGGTCTATCAGGATAAGCTGGTTAGTTTAAAACAAATTAGCTCAAATATCAGTAGAATTAAGGGTTTGCATTAATAAGATTTTAATAGGATTTTTTGCACACCAATGAATGCACATATTTAATTGTAGAAATTATTTTGGAATAGAACAAGATGTACATGCGTGCTGTACTGTATGAAAAATTCTTACAGCTGGTTCTTGGTTGCTTGTGATATTCCATCTGCTGAATCCCTATAGGAGTACTTGGAGTTCCGGAAGGAGAGGAGTAAAATGCTGATCTCGCGCAGAAACCAGCTGCTTCTGGAGTTCAGCTTCTGGAATGAGCCGCTCTCCAGGGCAGGCCCCAATATCTATGAGCTGCGTACCTACAAACTGAAGGTTGAGTCCCGTCTATTGAGCAGCTTATCACACTGAAAATAGTTTTCTAATCATTCGAGCCCTTGGGAATGCCTATACACACATTCTTTTTTGCAGTTTCTGTAGTTTAATGTTATCGGTATCTTCATTTTATCTTCTAGCCTGGAACAATGATTGAGTGGGGAAATCACTGGTAAGCCCTTTTCTCTTACACATTTACTGCTGCCTTTCATGAACAAGATCCAGAGTGATAACGAAAAATGACTTTCACAGATACAAAAAATATTCTGTTCAAACTCACGACCTAGTCATATGGCTGTACAATATGCAATTTACAGCACCTTTTTACATTCTTTCCCGTCAGTGTTCCTGTATTTTGCCTGACTCGCGCATCTCAAAGTTTCTGCTTTAAACTTCAGAGGAAATCTTTGTTTTCTTTTAATATAAACAAAATTTCATAGTATTGCAAGGAGAGAAAACTGATTTAAAAAAAAACTAAGAACTCACCAGGTTCCACAGAACTAATGCAAATAATAGAAGAGTTTAATTCAAACTTTATACTGTATGTAAATTTAGGATGTCAGTTAAACTCTGTTTCCAAGTACAGTACATGAATTTCTGCAGTATAGGAGCAATTAGTACTAATGTGTGTGAGGGGTGTATTCTGAAGTGTTCACATCTCCAAAACCTACAGAAAATGTTCATTTTCAAATGAGTTCTGGATATGATTTAGGAGGTTTGTCTTCATTCCCTCAGATCACTTATAAAAGACTGTTGTCCTTGCAGATGTGCAAGGCGATGAGCTTTAACAAAGGCTATTTTTTGCTAGGGCTCGAGCCATTCAGAAACGTCAAGAAAACCAAGAAGCTGTGGGTGGATTCTTCACGCAGATCGGAGATCTGTATGTGGTCCATCATCTGTGGGGTGAGTTCAGAGAAAAGGCTAGGGTTCTGAAACGGTTAGTGTAGTGGAAAGCAGTAGACTTCGACCATAGATCAAAAACTGTTGTCTTCATTGGACTGGGATCTCAGTAGTTGTGCCAAATCAGCTTCAGATGGTTGTGCATTTAAGCTTCCTGCATTGAGCGTTTGAGTAAATACCATCCTTCCATTTTCCAAAAGCTGCGGAGCGGTGGCTCTGTGGTTAAGGATCTGCGCCTGTGGCTGGAAGGTTGCTGGTTCAAATCCCGCAGCCGGCAGAGGAATCCTACTCCGTTGGGCTCCTGAGCAAGCCTTAACCCCAACTGCTCCAGGGGCGCTGTACAATGGCAGACCCTGCGCTCTGACCCCAAGCTCTCTCCCTCTCTGTGTGTCTGTGTGGCTCATGGAGAGCAAGCTGGGGTATGCAAAAAGATAATTCCTAATGCAAGAAATTGTAAAGGGTTAATAAAGTAATGTTATTATATTATATTCTTGGTGAGGGTTGTGGCAACCTGGAGCTTAACCCAGAAACAAGGGGAGTAAGGCTTAAGTAAATACAGTTAAATGCAAATCAAGTTTAAGATGAGAGAGAGTATTGACAATCTTAAGACAATGCCAGGAGACTAGATTGATAAAGGTATGCATGAAAAATGATGGCATGGTAATTAGCACTTCTTGACTGTGTGGCGTTGAATGCTCTGTGTTCTTGTGGGCTGTATCTGGGTGCTGAAGTTTCTTCTCGCCTCCCAATGGTTTGTGTGGGAGATTTTCTTGGCTGTCCTAAATTATGCCTGTGGGTCCTCATTGGCATGAGGAAGATGGCTTGACCCCTCGTCTCATTAGCCCTGATCTCATTTGAAGTGGTTACTACACTGTGTATTTGCGGTATGGGACCAAAAACCCAAACATGCTTGAAAGGAGGCTATTCATCTATTAAGCTTTGGTTCACGTTTTATATAAAGTGACTATCAAAATGTGCAAAATTGTTTTTAATGCTGGTTTATTTTTTTGTGTGTTTATATTCACAGCTTACAAAGACTTGCAGTCTCGAGAAGAGACGAGAAATGCTGCGTGGCAGAAACCAGGCTGGGATGAAAATGTGTATTACACAGGTGGGATCAGGACTTCTACTGGGCTCTGCAGTTTCCATGGTGTTTAAAACAGTTAGGAGCTAGATTCATAGTGGGTGTCAGTTGAGGTAAACAGAAGCACAATCATATGGAGATGAAAAAACACACGATTTTTTCATTTGAAGTACAAAACAAAATCCAAAGTGCTTTGCTGACTCTTGAACTCCCTCTTTAATATACAGGCTAAAAACTGGGACAGATTCAGTGTGACTGCAGTACTTCATAGCAGACATAATTGTGATTGTGACAAGCAGACTTCTAACCCAAGGTGCTAAATCCAGCCATGATCCTAACCTCCTGCCCTAACTGTCACAGTAACTTAATTAGCACAGCTACTGTTGATGTTTGGATTCTGTTGAGCATTTTCCAAATCTTTTCAAGGTTATTGTTTATTTCTTCTGCCTGAATTGATGTAACCGTGAGTATTTGTTGTAATGCTGCACCACTTTTTAAAATTCTTTTCTTTGTTTCTTGCAGTGCCACTGATTCGAAGCATGGAATCCAGAATCATGATTCCTTTGAAGAACTCCCCTCTTCAGTGAAGGTGGAAAGCAACATCTCCCTCATTTACCACATTCCACATCGTGAATTTCAGCAAGACAGAATCCTTCAACTACACTGTAAAAATCTGATTGTACTCAAATCACTTCAGGAAATATCAGAAGTACTTTTAACACTTAGTTTCTCTGTTTTAACTCAGTTTATAAGCTGCTGTGAAACACCTTCAGTTACATTTCAGATATTTTTATCGTGGTTTACAGTTCAAGAACTGCCCAGTGAACTGGTAATTCCTCTGGCAATGTACCTCCTGTGCTAGCCTGTGGTTTAGAATAGCTTTATTAAAGCTTTCATTATCGAACAGCATGCTCAGTGTTTAGACTAGTGACAGCTACACAAGTTTACTTTTATTATGGAAACAAATATTTCCTGTCATGTTCCTCAGGCTTAAAATCCCAAACTGGAGAGTTTCCAGTTTAATATTAATCCAGCAAAACTACTGTAAGTAAAAATGGTTATTTCATGTTTGTGGTACCTCAGAATAGAAACCATTTTTCCATGTTTTTTTGTTATTCAAATCATAACTGATTACAAGCGTTTTGTAGAACACGGTACTGTACAGAAAATGCATAATACAGAGCAAAGTCTGATAAAAGCCTGATCCTTTCTCTAAGAAACAGTACTTTCAAAGACATTTTGAATTCTTTCCTCTTTAAATTATTAGTTGATTTTTTTGAGAATCAAAATTGTCAGCCTACCGAACGGTCAAATGAACTTACATGAATTTTGTTGCAGTATATATAAATATACAAATTCATATAAAAAGTACATGTCCTGACTTTTTTCATTTGGAATCTGGCAACATTACAGGTATACCATTCAAAACATTTGAATATAAAAACCATGAGAGGTTATTTAAGACCTTAGTGTTCCTCTGAGGATCTTGGCCATTGTTGGTTAGCATTCCAAGGAGCTGCCTTTATCAATATTTGAATTAATCCGATAGAATATTAGAGGTAACATGTTTATCACACGACACACGGTGGGGAAGCATTGTGAATATACTGTATATGGGGAATGTGAAACATCTTGGGCTCTGTGCATTACTGGTTCCATACAGACTGAGTTCTGTCACTTGCTCACATTAGTCTATCATTGTTTGCCTCTCACTAATTTATTTTTATTTCAGGCCCCTAAATGAACACAAGATTACATTCTCTCTTTGCACTGTGAACTGGGGCAGGAATGTTACTCCACATTGACTTTGTTTTTTTCCCCCACTTCTTTGGCTTTTGTCGGGCCAAATGGCCTCTTGTTTTTTTGTAAGCTTTCTTGTATTCTTGTGTCTTCCGTTTACACACATTAATTTTAAATTCCATATATATATATAATAGTAATTTCACTTGAATGCCACTCCTTGAAAAAAGGAGCCATCACTCTGGCTAAAGTAGGTTATACATTGATAATTTATCCTTAATTTTTGTGAGAACAATTTTATTTGTGTGATGTCTACTTGCATTCTTTTACCTCAACAGAGATTTGAAAACATAGGTCATTTTGAAGCTGTATGCGGTCTCCCCTAACCCAAAGCTTAAGCCTGATATTCACTTAAATTCAAAGCAACTGCAGAAACTATGCCACTCCCATACAACAGAATTATGATTACCAAAAGTTATTTTTATTTTTCATTGGTGGCTGTTACATGATTTTGCAAATACTTTTATGATGAGACAACATAACATTTGCTACAAATTCCCTTTCAAATGTAAATTTAAACCATCCTTTCTGTAAAACTCAAAATATAAGCCATTTGCCTGCTAAGTAGTGCTGCTTTTGTGAAAAACAAAATCGATATGTTCTGTCTATGTAATGTGTAATTTGAATACTGTATTAGATTTGAATTGTTTTACTAATCAGGGAGAACAAAGTGATCCATTGCTAGGAATTCTAATTGATATTCTCACACATTGGAATATCGGTGATAAGTGTACAGTATGTCTCTTCAGAGTCTGAAGATCCTATCTGCTCTCCTTTAATCTGTATGTGTTTCATTGTAGAATCATGAAATTCTGTGGAAAATAAATATTATTTTATAGCATTTATTTCTCATTTTATTATGTTATTTATTCTGCACAAGTGATTCGTGAACACACACTCTGCAGCAGAAAACATTGGCATTAAAGACACCAGTGACCACATATTCTAGAAAATCCAGTGGCTGTCATGTTTTTGAGCAACTTGCTCATCAAATTTCAGTAAACTTAGCAAGCATCAGGGAAGCAGACATCTCTCAGTTTCAACTCATGAGTTCTGCTTTCCTGACCTGTTATGATCTGTTGTTGCTCCTATGAACAAAGTGGCATTGAGGAAAAACTAACGAGGTATATTTTCATAAAAACAACAGACAGCCTTCTTCTAACCATTAATTGATTCTTAGTCCAATTTCGGGAAATAAAGGGAATTGAGTAACTCCTTAATGGTCTTAAAGTATGTCATGAAAAGATGCTTTTTTGTCTTCCTTAATCCTCTTCCTACAATATTCATATAACACTTTTAGGTTGCTATGCATAACTGAGGATAATGAAGCTTTAACTAACGGTAACAAACTCATTTGAAGGTATTAAAACCCATAAGGAATACTGAGGCCTAGATTATCCTTTCTTTTTTGTTTACTGTCTCAGTTGATTATAGATTAATTTATGGTTTGAACAGATGGCTCTATAGATCTCCCAGAGAACCATTCTACTGTCTTCTTGCACACTTTGTTTTTGAGCAGAGAAAGGGAAACAAAATGCCTGCAGCAGATAGAAATACTGATTAATAATAAACCAGACAAGTGTGTGTGTGGGGGGTAAATTTAAATCATGATGTGTGACATACAGTACTGTAGCTATTGTTACTTTGAGCGAGGTACTTAGATTTCTCTAGTAAAATGTCCAGCTGTCTACAGTACATTTTGTACTTTTCCATTGTATACAACTCAGCAAAATAACACAAATGTAAAATAATTTACTTACAATTTGGAAAGGACAATTTGTTTGCAGTGAGTCTACAGTGCTGTGTCTTAGGCATGAAATGGATAATAGGCATTTATTCTAAAAATGAACAGAGAAAGAATGTCGCTGTAGTAAATTAAAAAATATGCTCTATCAGTCAAAATGTAGTCTATTCTACTAAAATAGTATTAAAAGAGAACACTGAAACGTTTAATTGTATTCAACTATTGCATGTAGTGTATTGTCTTCAGTGGCTGATCGGGGAGATCAATATTTTGTACTTAATACTGTACATATCTTTAGCATCTTTTCAAAACATGAATTTATATAATTTATATTAAATATTGCAAAGGAAAGTAGATTGACTGTACTATAAATGTTGTATATGTCAGATAGTATTTTTGAAAAACTGTTTCCCCCTGTATTATATAAATAAAACAAACATTGTAGTGAAAAAACAACAATATTTATTTAGCTCATTAAATAACATAGAGTGTGAAGGATATAATGTTTATAATGGAATGTTAAGATGTTCTCGCAGCAGGCCAACACCCTTGTTTGAACAAGGTCATCTGACAAGGCATGGTACAAACAGTATTTGGGTTTTGGCGTCGAGGACAGAACCCTGCAGAAAAACCAGAGAAAAGTTAAAGGCTGCTCGCAGCTTACTGTAACACTCGCAGGTGTCAACATCAAAGCCATATCCAGGTCACCGGGCTTAATACCCCCGTTCTATTAGCTTATGAAACTATTGGTTTAGTGAGTACAAATAAGGCGAAATAGATTTCTATATCCAGCACGATGAATACAGTAAATTATTTGAAAATGTCTGACAATGAATAGCTGCCTGGACTGACTCCTTTTTCACTCAATTCATTTTTTCTTTGCAGTACTGTAGTTCTTTATGAAGGACTACAGAACAAAACATGAAATTCAGCACTCTGTAACAGTACTGTACATGCACCGTTAACATACTGTGCTGCAGCTTGTATAGGGGGGATGACACAAAAAGAGCAGCAGCAGCTATCTCCAGTCCCTGTCCCTTTAAGTGCGAGGGGGCGTATGCAATTTCATAGGCCTGTCTTTTATTTAAATGTCTTTGCTTCGGAGTCGGATTGCGCTGTATTCTTATTCGCTGAATGATGCAAGACGGGGGATGGCGATCGGGTGCTTGCAGGGGAATGCAACGCAACACAACACTACTAGACCGTTGCAAGTCTTTAGAAACGGGGAGTCATTTCCAGAAGTCCCCCGCAAGCTGTGCTCTTAGTGACTTAGTTAATTTTAGGCACCGTTGAAAACAACAAACAAGAGCATGGATTTGCATATACTAGACCATAGACTGAAAGTGACTAGCATCTGTAAAGATGGGTTAATGAATTTCACTCACCCATTGATCAAACTCATTTTTCTTCGTAACAGGACGAGGTAAGGCGAAGAAAGACATTTTTTTTTAACCAATTAAGTTTCCAGCTGGATGACATCAGTTGCTGGTAACATTTACAATATTTGGAAATGCAATGTTGCTACATGCCCTAGTATCGTTCACATCGAAATATAAACATAAGCATATCATCATCCAACTCTCTGTAGCTGATGGAAAGGCCTAACTGCTATAGTTTACAAGGGGTAGAGTGCTTAAAACGATGTTACCAGTAGCACACTGGTAAAGCAATATATGACACCCATGAAATTGATGAACGAAAAGTGTTATGCATGTAAATAGGGTCACTTTTTTAGTGGACGCGTGTGTTAATTAAGCGGAGAAGTTACCTTAAAGTATCAGGTGTTGTTTAATGCTTTGCAAATACTGCTTTGTCTAAATGCCAGGGATACCACTTCGTCTTTTTGTTTTAACTGATCAGGAGGATAACTGGACGTTTACACACTTCTCGGCGTGTTTGAAAGTGTCATTTGTACAGGTTTTACTTCTTTATTTCATTCGTTTTTTCCCCTGCTTTGGTTACGTGTCGATAAGAGGGTTTGTTTGACTTGCAAGGACATGAGAAAACTTGTACGTACTGTCCTTTCAGTGTGCCAAGTGTAAACGTTTAAGATAATTATTCTGTGACATCTGCCTGTGTTTTGTAACTTAGTCTATGGAACTGCAGAAGCACAGTATAGTGTTTTAAATTATTTACCGGAACACCTTAATTAGCGTTTGGAAAGCTCGAGTGAAACAACTAGAAGGGACGCCACTGACAAATCAGTAGAGTTTAGCAAACAGTACAGTATATAGACCGTTTTTGTTTTAAGTACAGACTGGACAAACCTATATGTCACGACTTGTTTTAACCCCACCTGACTTTAATATGATGGTGATGCAATAATGTCGTTCACAAAAGGATTAATTAATTTCTATAACTGTTAACCTAACTTTGAACTGCAAATATATGCACTCATCACAAAGTTGTCTTCAGCATTATTTATGTTTTACTCCAACGTTTTTTTTTAAATGGCAAATGGCAAAACTGAGCTCTCAAAATCAGTGCGCTTTTATCATAATGTAATTTCTACGGAGTTTAGAGGGGATCTCTAAGCTTTCTCCTAGTTTTTAAAGGTTAACTAAGTTTGTGATTGTTATTGACCTTTAGTATAATTGTTGAAAGTTGGTTTATTTTTGGTCTACAAAAATGAGCTACGCCTTGCTGAACAAAATAAATTCAGATCTGACAGACTGCTGTTTATGTAAAAGCCAGCTACATCAGTGTCTAGCTGGTTTCTCCAGTAATACTCAAGCATTAATCTGGCAGACAGCACATCTGTTTGCTTAGTTGTTTTTCTGCTGTTTCAGGGGTGAACTCTTGCTTTCCAAACCTGTATATAGGATTTTTTTTTCTTCATAAAAATAAGTAATCTGTATATTGCAACGACAGCATTGTTAGGCGTTTCAGGAAATAAAGCGTGGACTGTCCTCTGTGTTGAAAGTATTCTCAGAAGAGATTTTGCTTTGTATCTATGTATACATTTGTTAATGGTAAACTCTGGGGGATAGGTGAAATTCTCCTATACAAAAACTTATTTAACTATTTTATTGATCATATTTAAAGGGGGAGACGGCTAAATCTAAGCCCATAAAACAATTAAAATATTGTGCAGTATATTGTAGTTATAAAAAAAGTCCCTGTCTGTTTTAAAGGTAGTGTACCTTGTACTCCACAAGGATCATCTGTTCATGAAAGTTTTTCTTTGTGTAAGAATTTAGTTGCAAAAATTCAACTTGGAGAGTTAATAATTAATGGGCACTGTATTTAGATTTTCCTGTCTTTGAAAGCAGAAAGCACAAAACAGATGATGGCTTTAAGTCTAACATTTTGGAGAGACTGGGATATTTGCCCATTTAATGGTGGTGGCTTCAGTTATGCAAGAGTTGGGGAGGGAAAAAATTAGAAATTATTTTGTTTTACAGCATATCGCCAGCTACTTCACTCCTTGAGATTTGCTTTTGATCCTGAATGTGAAGCCTGCGGTTTTTAGAGCATGATCTTATGACTTATTCCATGAAGGTGTTTAGGTAGAATTGTTATGTCTTGTTTATTTATTTTTTTATGCACCTCTCTAAGTTTGCAGTGCCTCCAGGTAGATGCTGTGCTTGCACTATAAACATGTTTGCATAGCATCACTGTTTATACAGACTGCTGAAAAAGAGAGAGAGCAGTGTTCACTGCAGGTGGCCTGTGGAGCAATTTTTAGAAAATAACTGGAAGTCCTTTCTTTGTTACACAATTGTTATAACACTGTATGTTTAACTGCCTCCCTGCTGAACAGCTCAAACACCTGGTAACTTACTGGAATCAAATGGGAAGTACTGGGTCATATAGGCAGACTACTCTTGTCTGCTCTGCACCCAAAGGTACTATACTACAAAGACAGATGTGAATGCTGAAACATAGCTCTTCTTTGAGCTTGCGGCTCTTAACCTGTATTGATGCTCAAAACAAACACCACACTCCAGTCTGATGAAACATTTGACGAAAATCCAACACATCCGACAAAAAATGGCAGATACTGTGAACACAAAATAGATCAAGTAAACATGCCGTGTTTACAGTAGGGAATGTGACCCTCTCAGAATGAAGGCTTTACAAAGTTAGTATCAAGTAAGCATTAACTTGATCAAGTAACCTGTTTGCTCTCTGTAAAAGGCTGTGTGTGTGGCCAGTGATTATTGATGTGAAACTAAACTGTTTTCATCATCAGGAATGCTTTCCCCTCCCTGGGTTAAAGTGGAAAGGCCTTTTATTGAAAGACCTTTGCAAAAATATTTAAACAAGGTTTTATACATTTTTAGCAACCTCTATAATAGAACAAGTAATAGGTTTATTCCATGTTGAAATGAGAAGAAAGGAAACACAACGTTTCGGCAATGGAGCCTTCTTCAGGTGTGAGCAGAAGGCTCCATGGCCGAAATGTTGTTTTCTTTCTTCTCTTTTCAGCATGGGATAAACCTATTAATTGTTCCTTTGCAGCCTACGGCTGCTGACGCAGCTACCCACCTGAACTACTACAACCTCTATAATTACTTACTAGTAATGGGTAACATTAGCAGCATTACTACAAATCTCGTCAGAAGCTAAGCAAGGTTGGGCCTGTACTGCACTGAGAGAGCGCTCCAGGGATGTTCAGTTTGCACTGTAAGTGATGTTGGTGAACCAGTAGGACAGAAGAATACCCAGAATTCCCAAGCCAGTGATGGAAGCACTGTTGTAGTAAAGGTGCCACCCTTCAGATTAGACATTAAACTGAGGTCTAGATAAAACGGACATTAAAGATTCCTTGGCAGATTTCAAATAGGGGTTTCCTTGAAGCAAATTCTCACCTCGCCACTTGATCTACATGTACTTTATTTGTAGTGTGGCTGCTAGTGCGGAATTGTTGCTGCACATTACACAGATGGAGCAGCAACTTCGCAAGTAAATGCAGAGGGGCTCAATTCTTATTGCTTCAATCATTTAGTGGTCCTTTGGGATCAAATGTGCAACGTAAATGTAAGGAATTATTAATAGAGGAAACCGTCTGTTTTCTTAGGCAAGAATAGTATTTGCTAAAATACTTTTGATTTTAAAAATCCCAATCATTGTGCCTGTAATGGAAACAGTCTCTTTACTCCTGTTAAAGATGTGATATTATCCCCAAAAAAACTTCCCAAAGGCACAAACTATTGCTTAATGTTGGCTGTAAAAAGTTATTCAGCAACTTAAGCAGGTGTCATTTGAGGCTTTGTAACAAAGCTTTAGTGGTTAATAATACTTGGATTCACTGGTGGGGGGTTATGGCTTACAACAGCTTATACAGGTTATAGTGTATTTTGTGTTAAATCTCTTTATACATGTGTAAATATAATTCTGTCTCGCTGTCACCCCTGTAATTAAATCTACAAGCTTTTTTTATTCTTTGTGATATCTTAAGTTTTTGTTTTCAGGTTCAGGGCATGGTGATGGAGGGGCCAGAATAAGGAGGGAGGTTGTGTAATTTCTGTGAACTGTTGAGTAACTATACTGTATAAAACATGTCTTCAGGAATCGGTGGCAAAGATAGAGGGGAAAGTGATGGCTGAGGCCAATGCTCTATTTGTAAAACATGGTAGATTTCAGTGTTCGGTAGCAATAATAACGTACAAATTAACCTCCACCTAGACAATTTCTCATAAATGCAGTTCATGTAAACATACATAAGGCCTGAATTATTAATGAAGAGCTGGCGAAACCGGTTGATTCTTACTTGTGGCTGTGTTACAGTACTAAGGGAAATGCAGTGGTAAACGACATCTTTTATGCCTCAGTATGTGGATGTTTGTTCTTTAATAGCAAGTATCTTATAAAACATAACCAGTCTAAAGGCTTTGATTTTTTGCCCTCATTACTTTGGCATTCAGGAAGGATAATTTTTGTCTTCTTGCCCTTGGTATTTCTAGGATAAGATTGTAGAAGGTAAGAGTTAAGAGAGACCTTAAAAGACCTTTAAAATTATAAACATCTGCTTCATCTAGAGAAGAGGCCATTGCAGTAACAAAACCCTTCATTACTGTTATATAAGTGTTAATACTGCAAGTGGTCTGTAAATAGGTGAGCATTCAGGCTGAAACATCGTCTGAGGGTACTTCCAGGACACACTTAAAACCATGTCGCTTTCTCTGTAGGTTACATAAAGGAAGGACAGCACGATGAAAGAACTTCAGTTTTCCATTCCCTTGGTTTCGTACTTGTACTGTGCTTTGAAGGCCAAAGGTCAGTGTCTGATGTTTTTGTCATACCAGAGGCACGTCTCCTTTGGAGTCTGAAGGCCAGTCGAAACAATGCAGCCTCTGATCCTGGAACAATAGCAAGCCTTTGCAACAGCCTGTTTTGGCAGAGGGTAGGAAGCTTTGCTCCCAGACAAACCAGCGGGACTGAAGCCCTTAACCTCATTTTCGCTCGGCGGGCTGGGAACACTTGTTTGTTTCTTGTTTTCCATTCTGTCCAGTTGGGGTGGGGGGTGGGGGGGCAATAAACTTCAGGATTAGATCACTTTACCTCCCACCTTCACCACCATCTTGTTACCTTCCATATGTGTGAAGACACTAATGGGGGGGGGGGGGACTGGTGAGACTTGTGATGAATGGGGAAAGAAATTGAAATGGATTTGTTTCGTGGAGAAAAAGAACCTTTAGTGATCGCACCGACCTAGTTTTGATGCCTCATTTGTGATGAAATAGTAGCTTTTGGATCCAGTCTTTTCTGTTGCTGGGTTACTGTTCTGAAGTGGAGAGGCAAAGGACCGCAGCTTTTATTTCTAAAACATTGGTGTGGCGTTGGACCCAAAGTCTAATTTGTGAATGTTAAATTGTGAGTAGGTACTGTATGGTGAGAAACCACAAACATTAAACTCTTCAAATTACTGGTAAAGATTACCTTGCCATTTTGGGCAAGCTAAGGTTATAGTCTGAACAGTTGGAGAAGTCTCACAAGGATGAAATGGACCCAGTAAATGCTATAGTGTATTTATCTTGCTAATGTCTTAGAGAAGTTATAAGTTTTTTGCTGCATGAACAATGTATATGTACTGTATATGCAGAACTGACCACAAATGAATGTTGGAGAGAGTTTATCTAATTCTGTTAAACCACTTAAAACGTTGGTAAGATCTTGTTCTGTGAGAACCAGTGATTTGTTTTGTGTGCAAGCCATTAACAAGTTAACACAGACCAATGGCTGGACAAGTCTTGACAGCTCTGTATGTGGCCTGCTTCCTTTCACTGCCAAGATAATGCTTTCCACATGCTTTGTCCTCTTGTGGCAAAGTAATGAACTAAAAAAAAAATGAAAAAAACTTCATATTGTTTTCAGTACTCGTATTAAGGTATAAAATATATGGGTTTAGTTTTTCAAAGTGCTTTGCTTTTCCTTTAAAATACTTTTGGTCTTTTTGATGCTAAGAGGATAAATGTTTTTACTTTAGTGTGTATTCATTTATTTCCCCAGTGTTATAGCCAGTGGTTTCTTATCTTGGTGTTTCATGGTGCCACATTTCTGTGCTTTGCCTTGGATATATTGTCTTGCTCTTAAACAGAAGTTAGATGACCTTTCTGTAGTGCTACCACTTAGTGTGCTTAGTGCAGGTGTTAATGAGAAAGGTGAATCGGTAAGTTCTCTAAGACCTGCTGAAAAAATGTTATCAAACTGTTGGCACTTCTGCATTTTGGTTTCCTTTTTATTACTTTTATGTGCAGATACACAGACTGTCACATGGTTCACACCTTCTTGAGCTTGCTGAGGTGAGGCACAGCATAGGAGGAGAAAGGAGAGAAAAGCAGTCTTTTTAGACATTGCAGAAACTATTGCTGTTACAATTGCTTTACAAGTCCATATGTATACAGTCCACTTCACAGGATCAACAGTATAAAGATGTAAGATAATGTAAAAGCAGGACAATTGAAACAATTTCTATCAAGTGCCATAAAAAATATTACATAAACAGGAAATGACCCCAGTAAAGCTGTTTCTTACAGGAAGTGTTAGCTTGCTTAGAGGAAGTACAGCTCCAGGGAGGGTTAGAGGTTATAAGGAAGTGGCAGGATAGGAAAAGACAATGGCCTGCTGAGTTGGCTAATGGGTGGAGTTGTTTTTTTTTCCCCCTTTGGATCTTTTCTATTAGAAGTGACGTATTTGTTGAGTATGGACCAAAGCAGGAACTGAACAGCAGAACACCTGTAGGGCGGTGGAATAAGTCATTCTTTGTCAGAAACAAGCAAAGGCTTTCTTTTTAACGTTGTTTTTCCTGTTGGAAAACAGTGCGTTGAACACGCAAAACATTCAGATTCAATGAGCTTCTGTTGCTGGCAGTGTCTGTGTGATTCAGATGTGCTGAATGAACTCTTCGCTGATAATAGCAATGCTGAATAAACCAGAATGCTGGGCCCCGGGAGTCTGAGTTTTTGTAGCAAAAAAAATCCACGTACGTTTACATTTGTCCTTGCCAAAAAGACCTTACAGCATCCTGTTTATCGTTGCACTGTAAAATTAAAAGCCTTTCCTTTTGTAAAAAGTAGCTTGCCATTCACATTGAAATAAAACCGTGAGCCATTGAAGTTGAATTTGGATGCAGACTTAAGAGCAGATGCTTGGTGATGTGGCCTAATCTGTGCTTGGCTTTGCAGTGCCAGCTTTCCCGATGACCCACTTTTCTCAAGCCATCAATAATAAGAAACCTTTAGACTGAATTCCAGTAAATTTAACCCCTGCGGTCAAGCCTCCTTGAGCTCGGATGTCCTCTGTTATACACGTTCTTCCCTGTAGTCTTGTGTATTACCTATAAGAAATAAGAAATGGACATCAGTGAAGCACATTAATGTTAAAAGTACATTAAAAGTACAAAAACAAGATCACCAAAGTCCATTATTAAAGGCATTTTAGTCATTGGGTAAGTCTTAGCAGTTGACTTTAGACTGCTAAGACTTACCAATGAGTGACATTGTAGCTTAAATCCTCAATTAATCATTAGTTGTTCAGAGACTTGAATATTTGTTTGTACAACGGCTTGTAACATGTAGGTGTAAAAGTGATCTGTTAGTACTGTCATTGCTACACTCTTAAGTCTTGCCATTGCAAAATGGTGAGCAGAGTAGCATCTGATATTCTGCAAATTGTGACGTCTATTGTGTTTTGAAAAATAATTTATATATTTTTACCATTTTTCTTAGGTGCAAATTCTTCAGCCTGACAGAAACCCCTGAGAATTACACAGTAGTGCTTGATGAGGAAGGCTTTAAAGGTACTGTGGCTGTTCTGTTATTATGGGCATTTTGTCTGTACATATTTTGGGCATTTTCCATGATTTGTCCATAAATCTGATCTGCCTTGAACATTTTTTTTTAGCAGATCACCTGAGCTTTACACAAACCAAACATTTAATGCTAAAATCTGATTGTGTAGTTCTACAAAGTTAAAAATGCATTCCTAAAGCCCTTTTACTGTATTTGCTCAGTTATGAAAAATGCAAAATCTAAATGATTAAACTTTTCTCACTTCTTTGAGTCTGTTGATGAGTGGCTTGTGTGCATAATCACTGGAGAAACTGAATATGTGTCTTTGGTGTTTGTGTGCAATAATGTTTTATGTTAGCAGTCAGATGTGAATGTATTTGTAAAAACCTTAAAGTGGAGACTGCACACGCACTAAGTACTGGATATCATTTTTACAGACAGAAAGCCAAGACTTAGTTTTAAGGCACATTTGAAGATCAACCCACTCTTTTGCTGACACAACAATTGGGGGAGGAACTCGATAAGTAGCCTGAGCTCAGTTTTACTGTTCAACAATGTTGTTTAAGGGTGAAGATATACAGTGAAGTAAATAAAACTGTTTACAGGAGCGATGTGAATTTATAGTTCTCTGTTAAGCTGTTGTTTAAAGACTATTTTTTATGAAGAGTCGAAATCCATTTAAGAACCAAATGCATTGAGCCCTTAAAAAATAGGTAATGCATAGATCTGTTGTTTTGCTGAAGAATGTTTTAATATTCTTTTTATCTTTACTTTTCCAGCTTCCTGTTCCACACATGAGTTAGGATTAAACTGCACACACTGTGCATAAGTTACTCAACTTAAAGATGTTTTTTTTTTGTTAAAGCCATATGCGTTTTGTTCTGGTGAATAATGTCCTTGTTCATGTAGAAAAAATGATTTGTTTAGTATGGTTTTCATTATTGCAATGTTTTAGTGCACATTAACGTCGGTATGCATGGTGTAGCTTGTCGTTACTGAAGACAGATGTTGAATTTCTTGCTGTTTTTGAAGCATCTAGAAACCTCTCCGACTATTTCCTAAGCTTAATTAAGGATGGTGCAGAATTCATAGCGGTTTATGAGGGAGATGGAGGACGATGGAGGCCAAGTATGATCCATTTACTGTATTCTGGTTTAATGAAGGTTTTAAACAATTACAGTTTTATTCTGAGCACTGAGTTACTGAATAACATATGCATGAATCCAGATCATATTGAGTTTTTGTTTTCTATGCTTGATTTGTATTGCATGCATTATGTTTTTAACCTAGTGACCTCTCTCTCTATACCATGTAGCCCATAGCTTCCTTTTGTCTATTTAATATTTTTTCATGGACATCATGCACTTGAACTGCCTTTATTTCTTCTGGGACATGCTTAATTCAGATTTTCCAAATATATTTTTATTTCAAAGTTGTGGCTTTCAGATGCCAGATCAAGCTTTATTTGTGATAGTGGAGTGATATGGGCTGTGAATAAGCAAAATGTAATATGTTATTGAACCACTGGGAGCAGATTTGTCAAATGGAGAAATATGGTGTTTCAGAAGAGAATGAGTTATTATTGGCAGATGCCTCTGAAAAGCAGAATGATTCATTGTTTCTACCTGACCTTTGTGTCACATTTTCACACAAGTAAAGCATAGTTTGCAATGTTTATGAAGTAAATTACATACAGTGGATATGTATCTAATCTCTTTCAGAAAAAGAAAACATAGATTGTTTCTATTATAGACTTTTACATTTTGCAGTTCTTCACATGAGAATAGAAAAGTGTTCTCTGCCAGTATGCATGAATATAAGCCAATAATTTCCTTTCCAGTCCCTCCATTCAGATCTTTCAGTTGGTCCTCTCTAGACACAAGAGCTTCTCTCTTCTCTTTCACTATTTCTATATACTAACACTAAGAGTGTCCTCTAGCTCTCTACAATGCACAACATTAATGCAGTGTGATGACCAGATGCACAGGTAACCTCAGGAGCTCTGCACCCACCTTCTTACCCCTGACAGGAGTTGAAATAATGCACTAATCAAAAGCCATCTGCAGTGAAGGTGTTCTGGTCTCTTTCCTCTTGGTGACAGTTGAGTAGGATGATGGGCTTGCCAGCAGGTGGTTACTATTTTTTTACAGATCACAATTGTTCTGAGCATTAATCAAGGTGTGCCTCCCTGTCACAAAAACACAAATTTGCCGATAGTTTAGAAGAATGGGCCAGAAATGTCTCCCGGCAGCAATAAAATAAAACAAGGCCCTGGTAATTCCAGTTTTGCAGTGGCACAAAAAACAAAACTGCATGTAGCTTTAAAATGTATTTATTTAGTGTTTATGTATTTGTAAAGTGGTTCCAGTGTTTATTGTATTTATGCATGAAGTTTATGTATTCAGTGTATAGAAAGATAATGTTACAAGGCATTTCCCTGTAGTGAAGCATAAACTATGTTGCATAAATTATGCAAAAATATGCTGCAGCTCCTTGTGCTTTACATCTCGTCTCTGGCGAGTGGGGAAAGTACATTATGAATTTCTTGAGCGCTACCCAGAAAGGGCAAGCCCGAGCTGCCATGTTCTCCTCACTGAGCCCCGTCTCGGTGCGTTCCAGATCTCCCCGTCTCTGAGCACCTGCAGGTGGAAGGCGCCACATGGCTGCCCCTGAACGTGGTCTCCAATGGCCACACCTCCAGCAGCTCCCAGGCCGTGGGCGTCACCAAGATCGCCAAGTCGGTCATCGCCCCGCTGGCCGAGCAGCACGTCTCCGTCTTCATGCTGTCCACCTACCAGACGGACTTCATTCTGGTGAGCCCATGTGGCCTCTTTCCTCCATCAGCGTTCTTCCGTTTGCCTTTTTCCGGGCCTCTGTACTCGGTTTTTTCCTCCCCTCGATCTCCCTTTTTTTTTTTGTCACTGTGTGAACCTGAACCTGATGTCTGTCGTCTTATTTCTCATACACCTTGTTTTAGTCAGACCCCTGGCCTTTGTGCAGTAGAAATTGGCGTTTACTCAGTGATCTGTTGAAGCACACGAATACAAGCAAAGTAAAATATCAGGATTTGCAAAGGGTTGTGTCAAAGAGGTCTTTTTTTATTACCAAAAGTCTTGTTGTTTTTCCTGTTATTTTTAAAAAGAGAATTATTTTCAAGGGAACGGTGCCATACAAGATAATTATGTACAGGAGTGAAATCAGTTTATGGCAGACTGAATGTGGCCTATTATTAAGTTTCCTCTGGGAAGACTCTTGCTATGCTTTCAACAGTGTCCTGAGGATTTAAGAGTAATGTATAGTGACAAGCCTGAGCCTCTTGTTCTTTTTTTTTTTTTTTCCAGGTGCGAGAAAAAGACCTTCCTGTGGTGATCCATACTTTGGAGGAAGAGTTCAGTATCTACCGGGAAGAAGGTGGAGAGCCCATCCCTGTGCACGGAAAGGATGTGCAGAATGGTTTTCACAAGAACGGCAAGGAAGGTAATGTGGGAGAAATGGGAAAACCTTTTGATTTCCATGCTTAACCAAAGGAAAACCAAACAAGCCCTACACGGGAATCCACAATGGCCCAAGTTTTTATTCTTTGAATTACCACTGTTGTAACAGAAAGAATAAGGTTCTGGATCCCGAGATGAAGTAAAACAGATGAGTTTATTGCAGGCAAGGAACAATAAAGCCGAAGTCTTGTTTCCCGCAAGAAACAACAAAACCGAAGTATCGTTCGATGTGCCAATACAAACTCTTGGTTATATAGTCCTTCCTTGCTGCTTCGGACGTCATTCGGTGTTATGGTGGCGGGGGGGTCATGGTATTTGGCCAGTTAAGAGACCCTGGCCAAATGGTCAGTTTAAGATTGTGTTCCTTGCTCCCATCTGGAATCCTTATCAGTTAACCCCCTTTCCTGCCATAAACCCCTGTTGCTTAGAAGTCTAATTTTCAGGCAGAACTGACTTAAGTTAACCCTTTTTACATCTTGTCTCTTACTTCACCACTAAATAAAGGAATGTGATTTTAATGCTTTAAACAGATTTTTTTCCCATTGAGTGCAATTAACATGAAGTCTTAGAGTAAGAAAAGTTTCTGGTCCAGTATTAATATTGTCATATTCTCATTTCCCTTTAAAGCTATAAAGCTCACTGTGCATCCAGTGCTAAGCCCCCAGAACCAGTTTTGTGTGATGAGTTTAGACCCTGATACCTTGCCAGCCATAGCTACTACCCTCATTGATGTCCTCTTCTATTCTGGCAGGTAAGTGCCAGTGTTTTCCTTTATTGCCATAGCAGAATGAAGGCAGCATGTTGTTAACAGTGTGTCTCTTTATAAGCTGTTTTTCAAATAATGGCTTTTGTGAATATTGACAAAAACAAGATGACAAATCCGTTTTGCATTTCCTTTGGTTGTCCTCTTATTGAGACTATGTTAGATGTAGTAATACAATTACTTTTAATAAGTTTATTAGAATACGAGGTATAGTGTTACATGCAATAGTATTCATTGTGATGACAGGTCTTGAAAATCTGCTCAGTGTTGAATTTGGTATTTTTTGTAAATATTATGTTGTTGCATTTTTCCTAAACAGCTCAAAAGATGGTGCCCATCCCACACAGGCTTTAGACTGCATCAAATTCTTCTCCTTCTCTTTGATTGACGGCTATATTTCTCTGGTCATGGACACAGAAACCCAGAGACGGTGAGTGAGTCTTCCCATGATGACTCCTTAGTGGAATTCGAAAAGCGGAAGCTGTTTTTGAGTTGCTGCGCACAGAAAAAAAAATTCTGCTCTAAATAGTTCATTCTTTCTCTCTTCTGGTAAAATAGGCGTGTTTTTGTCATTCCCCCACCCCTAGATACTGGTATGTGTCTGGCAATGTCGGTATTTTAATTCCAGAAAACTTTCACAGCTATCAGTATATTTTAACTAGTGAATTTTTTTATATATTTGAGAATGACACAAAACACAACAGAATAGGAAAAGACTCTCCCGGATATTTGCAGTTGCTCATTTGTAGAAGAACAATGTACATACTGTATAAATGTGGTGATTAAATTTTAAATATAGACTTTCATATATAACAGGATATATTTACAGGATAAGCTGATTGATAAACGCAACAGTTGGACAACAGTGGCAGGTCATTACAAGTTATACACTGCAGAATGACTTTACCGGGGGGGTAGTTGTTTGCATAGCCTGCTCTTTTTAGATGTTGTGGGAATCGCTGCTTTGTGGTTGTAGTTCTACAGTATATAATCATGCTTGTTAACACTTTGAAACCCTTTAACCTGACTAAATGTTTGCGCTGGTCCCTTGGCAGGTTTCCTAGCAACCTCCTCTTCACCAGTTCCTCAGGTGAATTGTGGAGAATGGTACGAATCGGGGGACAGCCTCTTGGATTTGGTGAGTGAAGCACACTGTCGTAGGTTTGGAGCGGTTTATCTGTTTAATCACTCCGATTCTATCCTGGTTTCCGCGCGGAGACCCACATCATTATGAAGGTTCAAGATGCATGTTTTTTTTCCTTTAACTTAACTGATTCATCATTGAAACCTTTTTTTTTTCCTGATGAATATGGAGGGGGAGCCACCTTGTGATTAATTTTGTTAACCCTTATGCGTGTTTCTTCGTTTTTCAGATGAATGTGGAATTGTTGCTCAGATCTCCCAGCCACTAGCGGATGCTGACATTTCTGCCTATTACATCAGTACTTTCAGCTTTGATCATGCCCTGGTGAGTTCCACTTGTGTTGCATTTTTTTGCATCTGGATAAGAGGTTCTCTTATAGCATTTATTAAGTTAATATTTTTAACATCTAAACATTATGGTTTAAAAGGGAACTGCAGTCCCAATTTCTAAGACTGGTTTTTAAATCTTGGTAACAAATTCATTGATGGTATTGAGACATTTTACAAATTTCGAATTTCACTATTTTACTCTTAACTTTGTGAAAGTTACTGTGTGGTTGCCAAGTTGTCACAAACCACTGATCTCTCCAGGGGTGAGAGCAAGAGTTGTGTGAAAGTGGCCCTTCCTGCTCACTAGTCATTGTAAGCAAATGAGAAAGTGGTCTCCTAACAACATAGTTGTTAACAATTATGATGAGTGTTTTTTAGTTGGTTGGCAGGTTGATCTTTTTTTGTAATACTTAAAAGTATCTAAAAATTTCGCCTCATATGTGTGGGTTTCCTGAAAGTATTTATAATTAATATAGTAGCAAAACTCACTTGGTTTAAAGCATGTTTACAGTGTGATAGGGCCGCTTTTGAGCCATCACATTTTGCCCCGTTCTGAATCGTAATGATGGCAATATGGTGCAATGCATACATTGAAACATCATCTGTTTTGTGATGTAACGTGTACAACTGACCGTGTACTTGTTAGTTTCGTTATGGTTTGAAATGCACTCATGATTGCCGATTTATTATCCCCTTGGAAAGGTGAAGGATGGATCTGCAATGCTATTTTTGTTTGAAAGCATGGGATCTGCCTTTTAAAAGTTGTTTTGTTTGGTACTGTAAAGATGTTTGCCATAAATAATGATTAAAGAATGTGTTCAAAATATATGCAGCAGCTCAAGACAAAAAAAATCATGAATTATTCTTGTGAATGTAAAAGTCAATGATCAGTCTTAACTACTAGTTCACAGATATTACTTTCAGGCACTAGATGGCAGTGTAGACTACAGGATGAGTATATCCAGACCCTCCCTCATTTTCAACTTAATTTTAAAGGCTAATATAGAGCTATGTAGTATGTTAATATTATATTTAAAATATACTCCAGTGCAAAAGCAAAAAGCAGTTAGGCTCTTGCAGCACATCACAGATTGTCTTTAAACTAAATACTTTGAAACTGAAAATTAATTTGATCAATTTAATGCATAGTGAGCATTGAAAGACACATCGCTGTTTATGCATGTATATTTTAGAACAATGGTCTACAGATATTAGATGTTATTTTTTTATTTAAATGATTAATCATTCATAAGTGACTGTGAGAAACTCCAGTGACAGTTAGTGTACATAAGAACTGAAGGACCTCAGTATTGGTTGGGCCCATGTAATGAGCTGATTTCACATGTTAAATGTGAAGCTTGGTGGAAATCAAGAAAAGAGCAGGAAGGGCCTAATGAGCCTTGCTAATCAAGAGAAAACCACCTTTGTGCAATTGGTTTGTTGGAGGCAGGACTAAGTCAACTCAGTTGAACTCGCTGACTGTGAAGGCAAGTACTTGTTAACGATGAATGAGTGCCCCAGTCACTACACAACGCCACTTGCAACTGCTGACTACCTGACACCAAGTTCTTAGGACCTCTTCTGCTGCCCTTCTTGTGGCCTCATTCTATTATGACGACACTCAAGGCAGGGCAGCAAACATCTTCATCCTGCTCGTGTAACAATGGCTTTCCTGCAAAATGTGAATTTATGTAGAGCGTATGAACGTGCCTGTTTATATCTCTGTATTGGATCTTGCTCACTTTCAAGGAAGTAAATGAGACAAAATGTAAATTTAAAGATTTGTCGCATCGCATCACTTTTATTAACAGCTTGTCCAATTCAGTGTCCTGGTGGAATTGGAGCTTGTGCTGGGAAGCAACGGGGGATACACCCCAGATGGGATTCCAGTCCATTGCAGGGCACACAAAGATGCAAAGATGCACACACTCACACCAGGGCCAATTTTACAGGAGCCAGTGAACCTACCAGCATGTCTTTGAACTGTGGGAGGAAACTGGAGCTCCCAGAGCAAAACCTAGGAGAATATGAGTAAAACATACCAGCCCCAAGCAGATAGCACCCTGGGAGTCTAAGACAGGGCCCCAGCACTGCATGGCTGCAGTTCAAACCAGCTAAAAAGTGCTGAAAAGTCTTTAGGGGGGGGACATTTTTCAGTGCGAGAGTGACCCTTTCACTCGTCAGTCTGCTGTCACTTGGAATGATGCCTCCAGAGCTTAAATTATATGCATCCATATATGACCATTTCTGTTTTATTCAGATGCCTTTTTAAAAGTAGTATAAAAGTGCTTAAACGGGAATCTACCTCTGTATGAGAAGTGACTGGACTGTACAGCACTGACAGTTTTGAAAGAGCTGTGGTTACCCTCCTTATCTGACATACCAGTAATTCATTAGAAGTAAAAATGTTGACGTTTTACAACCCCGAGAACTTTGAATCTAAAGAAGATCTAACCACAGAGAAAGAATCATGAAAGACCGATAAGACAAATTGGAACTCATCTTCACAGACCGCTTAACGCGTATGGGTATGTTAAGATGTTACATGATATGAAAGGGCTTATGATCCCTAATAAAGATAATCTACACAGTAGTGCATGGAGTGAAAATTCAAAACAAGTATAGCTCTTGCATTGTTTTCAGGTTTTTCCTAGAAGGCCGGGTTCAGAATTCTGGACAGGGTTACCTTGAAATTACTCCTCAGTTTTCATCAGTTTCCCTTCGGGATCAATAAAGTCTTATCTATCTATCTAGTTTTAATAAAGGTAACATTTAGTTTCGGGTAGCTGTTTTCTTGGAGCTTTAAAATAAACATTTACTTAGTAAAATAACATTAGTCAATGTCATTAGTTAGTAATGTCATTGACCATGTTTAAAACAACAGATTAGACAAGTGACACAAAAACAAATGGGATCCATTACAAAAACAAATTATTTTCTGTCCTTTCTGCCCTGTCCTGGAAATAAAGTGATAGAGTTCAGTACCAGCAGCTAGTGTCACAGGTGTTGCTTGAGGAAAACTATATCTCCATCATACACTCGCCAATAACAATTACCAACATGCCTTCAGCTCTTCCAAATGAGCAGACAAGGTGGTTCTATCACTCAAGTGACTTCATCATGAAAAGTTCATCTGGGGACATCCCATTGTGCATACCATTCTCTCACTCCCTTTCCATTAACTACTCCTCTGCTTATGACCTTTAACCATGCATGGATGGATTTAATGATGGAATAGCTGAAGTTTATGTCCTTCTTCAAAAAGGGGGGAGCAATATTTTGATTTCATAGCAACTCCAATCCAAATCTTGACTCACATGGTCACACCCGCATGGTTTGACTCAATGGACTATTTTTTTCTTTAGAGTTTCTAAAAATAGTTTGAAAAAGGGGGGAAAACCATCTTAACTCCTCCCAGTTTTCTTAGAATACATATAATCTCCTTGCAAAGGAGGAGAGTAGTGTCCTTCCCACACTGTACCTTTTCTAAAGAAAAATATTAGAATATTGCATAGTATTCTTTTATTAGCAAGTGCAAAAATAAGTGTTTTTTTCCCTGTGCTGTCTAAATGTCTCTATTTTGTTTTAAATTGTAAAGACTGTTATTCAAATGCACATCTTCTGTTTTTTGGTTCAGGTACCTGAAGACGATATCAGCAGTGTGATTGACATGCTTCAGCAACAGCGGTAATAGACCTTGTAATGGTTGGTCTAACGCAGCTCCTCGTTCCCTCCTTCGGAGGTGGTAATGAAAGAGATACAGACATTTTTGTGGTGCCTGGAACGGCACAAGAAACAAGACTGACAAAGCAGTATTATCTTTTATAATTTGCCATGACTTCAATTCCTGATCCTCACAAACTGCCCTTGACTCTAGCAAGTAAGCTGACGTGTACCCCAAAGTTTCAGTCAGAGAAGCGATGGTGGGCAGCTGGCAATGTACAGTATCAGTTTGGGAGTGGTCAGAGTTTTTGGAATGCTGTGCAGTCTTCAATTTTTACACCTGAGTCTTCCTGCCAGTTCATGTCGGAGTCTATGTAGTGTCCTTTCTATTTCTTGGGTACTTTAGTAATGCGTTTGGTTTTATTTGCACAGTGGGCCAAGATGATTTTGAAAGAAAAAAATGACAAAATGGAAAGAAATAGCTGCTTGAAATGTTGAAACTGTGAAGAGGGCATGAGCTGGAAGTTTCTGATTTTCATTTTTATTCTCGCACTTTTATCTTTACAAGTAATTCCCAATATGCGAGTGTCGATATATGCTGATATTGGATGTGTTGGATTCATGGGACAGAGTTGTATTCCAGTACTATAAAGCTATGCACAGTGTGTGAAGTTTGTTAGCACAGTGTTCTGCAGTAATGTACTTATAACTGATCAACAACAACAGTGAAAATTCATTCAAGCCAAAGTAGGCTATCTTTCTTTTCAGCCCCAGAAATATTTTTTTTTTCAGAACAGGAGAATAAAACTGAGGGCTTGATATTTTTGAATAGTAGAATCCAGTCTTTATGATTCTGAGTCTATGCTATGACAAGAATTGTTCCGCAGCCTTTTCTTTTATAAAATCCATACATGACATTATATTCAATATTTTACTTTTTTGCACTTGTTCATATCTGGTTTATAATTTAGGTTGCATCCCTGTATAACCTTTATATTACATCCTCCATCCCATTTCCCCCCGATATTAAACTTTCATTATTCTTTGGTGCAAATGTAGTGTATTCGCTATCTGATTTTAAGTTTTAATGTTTAAGATGCTGACTTAACAGTGTGCGTATTTTAGTTTTTTGATGAACCCACTGAGTTACAGCAGGTTGGTTGTTAGTACATTCCCTTTAAGATTAGATCAGTGTAATTTGCACACATTAAGAAGTTAACTTCTTTATAGTGGAAGTGATACATGTATAAGCAAAAATGAAGCTAATGTTCAAGATGGCTTGTTCATTCTAATTTAGAGTGTTAAGTTACTGCATATGTTCACTACTGTTTTTTCTGGAATTTTGTTCTGAGATAAATACAAAACACTGAAAGTAGGTCTTAATTTCAGAACAAAACCTTTTAAAATTTCCTGAGTATTAATATACTGTACTTGCAGACTTTATATGGCCTTGCATTTTTTTCTGAAAAGATTCTACAAATGCCAATGTATGATTTAGACTAGTGTATATAAAGACTTGACTTCAGTTAATACTACACATTGAGAGAATATTGTTTTTGACTTATGATTACTGCAGAGAACACCAAGAACGTTTTGTAATAGTTCACCCCATGTAGGCAATACTTATTTTGGTATAATATTTTGTACAAAAAGTATTAACATTTATAAATGTACTGATTTAATCAATAAAATGTGTTGAATTTAAGGTGGTAGTCTTTTCATTAACTGTACTTTTAACAACAGACTTGAAGTCCAAATATGTGTGACAAACATGATTGAATCTGCTTGTCTGTAACATTTTCAAAAAGCGTGCTTTTCTATTTGGGTTTTCTTTTAGGAAAAGCAGATTCTGAAATCCCGTTTATTTTGGTTAAACCCCTCTTATTAAGCAAGATGAATATGGGGTTGCAGCACAGTATTCAGAAATATTCTGTAAATAAAACTTCCGCCTTACTGTGTACTGGCACACGTTGGCTGCTGGCACATCATCCAGGTGGGCTACACATTGGTGGTGGAGGGTCACCATTACCCGTACAGAGCTTTGAGAGGAGGGTCCAGAAAAGTGTAGCGTTATTATTATATAATGTTTTTCTCCATTAAAAAAAAATAATACAAATGTAGATATATCTACATGCCCACATAGGTAATTGCCAATAGGAGGAGACGATGTATTTTTCACTGGAGGTTTAGGAAGCCACTGCAGTTTGTTCTTCATATACAGTACGGTGGCTGAACTTATTTAATTGGATATATGTAATGCTTTTACTTGCTCTCAAGCAGCTGGACATTAAAAGACCTATAAAACCTGTAGCCTTCAATGATTGCAGTGGTTCTTTTGGTTTAGCGGCTCTTTCTTCTTTGCCGGTCATTGGGAACACAACAGAGCTCTTCATTCTCAGCCAGCAAATCCCAAAAGGGATTTGAACCGGTGTCTGCTTGCTCAAGCACACCACTGTTTATTTCAGCGAGGTGAGTACCATTGCTTCTTTGAATGTGCAGTATCTTGGACAGGAGTAGTCAAACCTCCATTCATTGTTATTATCTGGCATTGAATGTTTCAATAAGGTAATAACTGAATTGAGCCTTAATTGCTTAATTAACTAAAGAGCAGAACATTATATTGAATGATTGACTGGAGCAAAGACTTACAATGGAATCAAATTGAAGTATCAATTGATGTAAGGTTGATTTACCCCTTACCTAAGCTGTGAGGTTAGTGATCATAAGTACAAAGAAGTTTTAGCCTGAATGGCTAAGTAACTCTAGGCTTGATGGAACTATTCTTAGCTTATTTCTATTTTTTCATTCGTGCAAAAAATCCCTCGTCTTTGCACGCTACAAAAATACTAGGAGGTGTCCCCAGTGAAACTATTCCACAGAACATTGTCTTCTTGCATGCTCTGTTGTATTCCGGTGCTACTTCATTCACATTCCTTCCATAGAAACTCCATAGAAGAGCCTCTCGCTGGCAGGATTTGTTTAGGAATGAATTGAATTTTAGACTTCCCTGAACATTTTTGCCATTTTGCATTGTGTTCAACATTTAACCTTTGTCCTCAGAACTTTATATAATATTAAACTGTGAAGGTGATAAATTGTATTTCGCAGAATCCTCCTTGTAATGTTCTACTACATATTTAAAAAAAACGTTATTTCAGTTAGAAAGGAAAGCTAATGGAATATAGGCTATCCGTATTCCTCAGTACCGTGCTTTCTCTGAACTTCATACACACAAGAGATAAGAAAATGAAGTTCCATAGAAATTAAGCTCTAATAGGAAGTGTGCTTGATTTAGATAGTTGATTTCTGCCAATGCATTTTTGGCTCCTGTGGGATTGTCTCTTGGTGTATGATGTGTGAAGTGAAGCTATTTTAGTTTTACTTTTACTGAAATCCTTGGGCCATGCCATAGTGCCTTTGTATGGTCCTTTCTTCTCAAAGGTCTGTGGTGCCAAATAGAAACAGGAATTAATTTGAAGGTCTGTTCAGACAGCTGCAATATGTGCTTATTATTTGCATAAAATAACTATTTCTGTATAAAACAGATTACAGCTAGTAGTAGAAACAGCTAGTATCGTTAAAAATCATCGTATTGTTACTTGTTTAAATGCTTTGAATGAAAGTCATTTCTTCCTTCAGGGTCAATGATGGCTGTCAGTGACAATGTTCTCCAGAACTTTTTCACCAACTTGGAGATAGTTGAAGGACGTAAGTAACTATTACAAGAAACACATGCATATATTAAAATAGGAAAACTGAGTTTTAATACTGTTTGAACAGCAAAGTGTTTACACCCCATGTTCATTTTTTTTGTATTAAAACATTCTCTGTATGATTAATTATGCTGGGATATGTACGTCTTGAACCTTCCAGCAGACATTTTCTGAAGTTATATGGGAGTTTTTTTCACCACATTCATACATCTAAGCTTAGAAAAGTTTGTAAGAACTGATTTACAAACTGATTTAGAAAGAGTTTTCAAAAAATCCATTGGTTAGACTTCTTTTGTTGATTTTGGTTTTAAAAAAATCTCTGTTCTTTTTGAGATCTAATCTGAAAGTTATATTAGTTGAGAAACTTTATAAATTCGTTGGTAGTTCAGGTAAATTCTTGCTTAAGCAAAATCCTGAGAAGACAGGTGCTTTGATTAACCAAACGCACTCAGTAATTCTTTTATTCTTAGAGCAGTGACAAGTCAACTGAATGACAGGAAATTTCTTTGATCTCTTTTTCAACACCAAGAGTATGGGAAATCACAAATCTTGCATCTGTCTGCCCAACAGGTAAAAAAAAAAATACTGTAATTTTAATTTCCTTTGATCTATTAGCTTCTGCCTTGTATGAGAAAAGACACTACTTGTATTCAAGCTGTCTACATTGGCAAGAATTTTCTTAGTAGTTCTAAGAAATAAACGTGTCTGCATCACGACATAGCACTGACTCTTGAAGTGGTGTTCATTGGTTTCTCTGGAAAGTACCTTTACAGGTAATGGGGACTCACCACAGAACGCTCACCACACACCAGCTCTCAGTGGGGAGGAGAGCAGAGTAATGTAGCCAATTCCTAGAGGGGGATTATTAGGAGGCCATGATTGGTAAGGGCCAATGGGAAATTTGGCCAGGACGCCGGGGTTACACCCCTACTCTTTTTGAGAAATGCCCTGGGATTTTTAATGACCACATGTCAGACCAATGACAGAGAGTCAGGACCTCGGTTTTTACATCTCATCCGAAGGACAGCACCTGTTTACAGTATAGTGTCCCCATCACTATACTGGGGCATTAGGACCCACATGGACCACAGGGTGAGCGCCCCCTGCTGGCCCCACTAACACCTCTTCCAGCAGCAACCTTAGTTTTTCCCAGGAGGTCTCCCATCCAGGTACTGACCAGTGATATGGTGATATGGCTGCTGGCTTATCAGTGGAAAGTATTGCCTGAAGGGTTTTTTTACTATGAAAAACACTGTTAAAAGCCTGGCAAATGTTTAGAATTCCACTAAACAGACTCTTTTTGGTGGACATCAGAGAAAAACTCATATCTAAAGTGAGAGAAAGAAACCAAACCCAACACAGGTGTCTGAACCAGAAGAAGGGGAGTTTACAATAAGTGATTTATTGAGTGTTGGAAGGAACACCCATGCATATCAGAGAGTTTGATATGAGTGTACAAATTTTAAATCCAAGTCATCTTAGCCACTGTTCATTTACTTATTGTTTTTTTTAGAAAACATGTCCTTATCAATATTTTGTTTTAGAATTGGAATTTTAACTTTAAATCAGTAGCTTGAGGTTTCTCTGTCATCTTAGCAGTAAGATTGTCTAGCTTTCTTCAGTAATATTTTAGTTCTTTTAAGACTTCTTAATTAGTATCTTTTAGTGGGTCTGGACCTTCTAAATTAAGAATATGTCCAAGAAATTAAACAAACTTTGAAGGTGTTTGAGGGAAAGTCACTATGTATGGGATGGATGATACCAATGTAAACAGAGATGTGTAAAGATTTTTACTCTCTTAGGATGATGATATTTTGGGCAAAGCAATCATTTCTGTTAATGACACCTTTACCAAAGTCTTATTCATGTCTCACACATGGTGGTAATTTGTTTTTACTTGAGCAGACAAAAGACCCGGGTTCTGCCTTTAATCAAAATGTCAACTAATACCAAGTAGATGGGCCACAAAGAAAATGCTTATACTGTAGATGAAAATACTTTGTGAGCCTTATACTCAGTCCATGCATTAATCAGGTTAACTCATTTATTATGGTATAATAAAATAACACATGATAATATTAAATAATAACCTTTGTTTAGTCATAGATGGTTATGTTTGAATATTATGTTACTTTTAATATATGTACTAGCAGTTTAAATGTCCTGGTAACATAGTTTATTCTGAGATAATTCTTAATAAAGTAGTTTGCCCCACACTCACTGGCATTATTAACAATCAACAATCACAAATTAGCTGTGTACTAATTTATTTATTTCAAAGTATTTTAGAACATACAATGTGAAAGTATTCAGATCCTTCCTTTGGTGTCTCATTTTGTGAATTTTGATACACACATTTGAAACATAATATTTGAGGAAAATCCTGAATGCTCAAACTGAAGACTTCTAAGATAAGTTACAGTAAATGTCAGCCACCACTAAAGTCTAAAACTGAAATGTGTGCAGCATGACCAAATACGAAAACCAAATATTTGGTGGAAGCTCTTTTGATTAATTATATATATATATTAATTTGTACTAATTACAGCTGCAATTCTTTGTTGGTAAGTTTTTATCAACTTTGCACACTGGCTTGGTGCTAATTTACACCTATTATTCTTAGTAGATTCATTCAAGCTGTCTTGCATTGCTTGGGTATCACTTATGGACAGTAGTGTTCAAGTCTTTTCCAAATACAGTATTATCAATAGTGTACCAGTCCAGACTTTGACTGCTTCACTCAAGGACATTAACTTACTATTAAGCCACTCCAATATACAGTGGTGTGAAAAAGTGTTTGCCCCCTTCCTGATTTCTTATTTTTCTGCATGTTTGTCAGACTGAAATGTTTCAGCTCATCAAACAAATTGAAATATTAGACAAAGATAACACAAGTTAAAACAAAATGCAGTTTTTAAATGAAGGTTTTTATTATTATTAATAATATTATTATTATTAAAAAAAATCCAAACCTACATGGCCCTGTGTGAAAAAGTGATTTCACACCACTGTAGCTTTGGAACAAGTAAAGGGTTATTGAAAAGACACAACATTTCGGCTGTGGAGCCTCCTCCAGTTGTTAGGGAGAGAGGAAAACCGGCAGTTGATAAAGCACGGGAGAACAAAAACTGGGAGTGGAGAGGAGGCAGGAGCAGGAGAGAAGCAGTATTGACACTCAGGTGGTGTGAGGTCGAGAGAGGTAAAGAGAGGGGTGAATTCAAAACATGCAAATGAACAGAGAGGATTAGAAGGAAACAAATCTGTTGTTGAGAGAAGGGGGAAAGTGTGATCCTAGATTCAGAATAATTCAGTATGATCATGGTGAAAAGGGAAATTGTGGGCTTGGATCCTCACAGCCCTGACATGTTCACTGAAATGGTCTCCCAGTCTCTTTCCTGTCTCACCAACGTAAATAGGGGAAAGTGCCTGGTGTAGATGATTACTGAGGGCGGTCAAGAGAGCTGTGAAACAAGAAGGTTTTGCAGATTAGGTGGTCGGGGAAAAAAGGGTACCAGTGGAGGGATCATCTTGTAAGATGGGGAAATTGTCATTACTAGTCCTGGGGATAGAAAGCGTGTTAGATCATGATGATCACAATTACTGTACACAGAAAGAGGCCACTCAACTAATTGTGTGGTTCATTAAGGTAATGTTATGCACATAAATACATTTAGATTTGCCATGGCTAAAGAAAATTAATACTTAATAAATCATTACTTTTTCAATGGGTTCTAGTATGAGGGGTAGGTTGTTTATATAGAAAATATTAATATGAATAAAATAATATTAATTGCTACTGGGATTTATATACTTTTTCAGGGCTCTCTGTATAAATGTAATTAACACATTTTTATAAAATAAATGAGAGTAAAATGTGGAAGGTGTGTGTGTTACTTTGACAAGATCTCATGTAGAATTTTTCTCTTTTGTTTCACAACCTTTCCAATATTGTTTTCTGCAAAACAAACAGATTTAAGGTTAAAGGCATTAGGTTAGGGATCTCCAGTCCTGGGACTGAAGAGCACTGATCCAGTTCAACTAATAGGGCTCCCTTAATCATTTATTTTGAAAAAACATTAAGATTACATGGAACTTTTGGATTATTTATGAAAGTCATTTGTTCAGATAAAAAATGGTCTTTTAGGCCTGAAGGGTACTCTGACCTAAGCTAATTTTTTAAAATTAATTGAACAAATCAGCAACAGTTCGCAATATAATTGGGACCACGTTAATAAATTATGATTTAGTGATTACCTAGACTGAGGCTCTCATGGATCAGGAGTTGGGGTGATCTGCAACAGAAGAACAAATTCATGGCATGCTTTCCTTTGAAAGGGAATGGCTTAATTCTTTTTATGGCTATAAATATGACAAAACTCCTCTGGAAAACCATTATGACATTTTTAGGAATACATGTATGTCATCATTTTTATTTAGTGAATAATTGTCTTGACATCACAAACTTTCTATAAATATGTTTTCTCGGAAAGTGCTGACTTGCGGTGAAGGAGAGATATGCAAAAGATATAAGTATGTGTCGTAATGATCCTTTTTTTATAGGCTTAAAGCCAGAGGAGTGTTAACATTTCTTTTCAGAGGTGGGAGTTACTATGATTATATTAGTCATTGGACTAGGATGAAAGAATAAATTCAAGTTATTACAAATGATAAATATAAGTTGCTAATAAATGGGGGTGGCGTGGTGGCACAGTGGTTAGCATTGTTTCCTGCAGAGGTGGGGTCCTACGTTCAATTCCAGACCTGGGGTCCTAAGTTTGTGGAGATTGTATGGCCTCCCTGTGTAGATCCCACCTTGTGCCTTTAGCTTGCCAGGACAGGCACAAAATTCCTCACAATCGTGAACTGGAAGAAGTCCTTAGAAAATGTATGGATGCATTTGCATGGTCTCCAAATGGGACTTGGTGAAGCCTTGAATGCTTCAATTATGTATTCAAGATGACACATCCTTTCATGATGTCCAAAAGCCTATTTTATAGTGAAAGTGACTTATTAGAATATAGGTCCCAAATTGGGGAAGATTTTACTGGCACACTAAGTTTATGGACTTATTTGCCCAAAAATTAAAACTTTGACTTTCCCCTATTAGAGATAGAAATCTTAGTTTAGTAAACCTTGAAGATATTTGGGATTTACTTTTGGGTTTTGTAAAGGCAGGATTTAGCCTTTCTTTTGCAAAAACAATTTTGACTGAGACATGTCAAAATGCTTTATGAACACGGCCCTAAATGTGTTTGAACTATTTACATGGAATTGGTCTGTATTTAAGAAGTGCAATGAACTTACTTTAGCAGGAAAATATGTCTGATGTTCTATTACTAATCATTTTTTGGTCAAATTTACAAATTGCTGCTAACTTGTTTAAAAATATTTCTGTTGTACTAGATTGCTGCACTGTACTGACCCATAATGTAGTGAAGCAGATTTAGGTGTAAAGCACTTCAGATGTATTATGAGTTTATATTACAGTGTTTTTACACTTAACAGTGTTTCAAGCTGTAAAGATACCTACTGGTTCATTTTAACATAAAACCTGTTCTATGTCCTCCTAAAGGTAAACTCACCTTGGGTTTCAGGTTGATGTTTATTAAATTCCTGGTAACCTTTTTTCAAATCACATTTTGATAATGACTGTGAAAATATTGAAAAAGTGAAAACATGTTTTTTCAACAAATTGAGCATCCATGAATTCATAGACGATAAGGGACTGTCACATGCACAGTAAGCAAAATGAAATTGATATGTGGCACCAACATGCTGGAGACTGGTTTGGGATTTTAGAAACAAACACTGGACAACACCACCAATGTGTTGTGTTTATAACAGTATATATATAACAATATATGTTATAATTCAGTGGTATAATATTTTTATCTTTCATTAACAGTTTTTATAATCATGTATTTCCAACATAGAAGGGAAATCACAGCTTGTCATAATTTCCAGTAGTATGATGACTAAGTAAATGGAGTATAAAAGTAAACCTTCTCACACAGCTAACTCATTAGGACTGAAGCTCTTAACTCCTAAACATAAGAATATAAGAGAGGTTTCATCTTGAATGACCTAAGAATCTCATCCAACCATTTCTTGAAAAAGTCCCAGGGAATTTGCTTCAATATATATAAAAATATATTAAAAAATAAAATATTTGGATTCTCTTCATGAAGTCAAAAACAGGTAAGTATTATGTATTATGTATATTTATGTTTGTTAACTCTGTTTCCACATATTGTGACTGGTATAGCTCTGTAATACAAAGATTAGTTTAGAAAAGAGCATGCTTATAGGAATGGTTTGAAATGAATTTCTGGGCAAATATTCACGTGAATATTCAATTAGCTTTACACTAATAATTCAATACACAACATCATAAAAGTATAAAAACTAATATCACTGTTATACTGTTATATGAGTATATAAGTACGTGAGTTGTTAGTAATATCATTATTAGTTGCTAAACTACTTATTGAGCACTTTCTAATGCATGTTTTTAAAATGAAAAACAGTTATGTGTTCATTTGGAGTTCATATGTGATTTGGAATATTGCAAAATGGGCATTTAATTGTTTCAGTATTATTTCCATCTAAACTAACATCTCTTGACAAGTGCATTATGTGTCCAGTACAGTTTATTTTTCCCAGCTTCACAAGCTTCACAAGCCTTTATCCAAAGATTAATTCCCAAGTAGAAAGAAGACAGAAAAGTCATATTGTTAAGGACTGTACAGGCGACCTACTTAATGCACTAACCTTGAATTTATTTAGCGGGTTTGTTTCGTTTGTGTTTTGCATTCTGAAAATGTAAATCTTTTCCTCATGAAGACCTTGCTGTAATTGTGTTGCAACCAATTCTTCCAACATTTTCACAAAAGGAACCTTGGAAATAGAGAAAAAGGAGAAGGAAAGAGAGAAATATCAGAAGAACTAATTAAGTAAAATGCCAGTGCTAACATCGTAGCTTCAGTCGTAGCCTGGACTGCATATTATTACTTTTTAACTTCTGCAGGCTATCCTCTGTGTAGTACACTTGACTAGTTCTGTCATGCTGACATTTCCCACAGCATGCACTTCCACTTGATGGTATTTAATAATTCTGTGCCTTGGTTGTACACCGTCTTTTGAGAAATTTCACAAACATCCCTTTTTTTTCCCTAGGACTTCTGAATGCATATTTTGCTTTCTGCCTGATGTTGACAGTAGCCACTGCTGCACCAGCAAAGACCTACAAAATTACAGAATACAGCAAGGCTAAAAACTTAACAAACCTCCTGAGAAAAAACATGAACCACCTCCTAATTCAATATGTAAGTTATGTATATATATTTTAATTGTTCTTTGACTAACAGTGTTCAGGAGTCCCGATTTGTTTAAATGGATTCAAATGCAAAGTAAATTTAAAAGTAATAATTTTCTATCACTTAGTAGAAGTCAGGATGTAGTGATGTTCACTGTGATTAAATGTGATTAAAGGACTAATCCTCACCATATTTTAGCTCTGCATTTATTTGTTTTGCAGCCCTGCTACAGTATGAGTTTGCAGTGATTCTTCATTTATGCAATAGCTTATATTATTTCCCATTGAAGAAGTATAGTACGTTTCATTCATGAAAAGAAACCATAAATGAGAGGGTAGAACACTGAGAAAGATAATAGCTCTTTTTATGTTCTCAGCACTGACTAGCTCTGATATGCTTTGGAATTCCACATCTTTGTTTTGCACTTTCAAAACTCTTTAAAGAGTCAACTACTGTATTTCTGTAATAGTTTGTGCATCTAAGCACAGCAGGAGATGCAGCATAGAACTGCTTAAAATACAGTAAATCTAATATGCAACAGACATGGAGATTAGTTTTATCATCGGTATTTCCTATTCACACAATTTCTGCATCCTTTGCCTATCAGCCTGTCACCCTGTCATGTGTTTAGGCAGCTTTATGAGGGACCAGGTGGTGATTAATCACACAGCACCAAGTCTGGGAACATGTTAACCTTGCATCCCTCCAAGCAAAGTCATATGAGAGTTACTTCCTTGATTACACAGCTCTCAGATAGAAATCCACTGGATAGGGGACAATAAAAGTGTCATCAAGCTAATTAACATTACCATACTAATAGTTATGGTTATTGAATAACTGCAGTCAATCCAAAGCATCATTTAAGATGCAACATTCTGAAAAATACCTCTCTTGTGCCTTGAGAAATGACAGCCTTCCCTAAAACATTTTAAGTGAGCATGGACACTATTTCCATAACCTTTGAAATCTGAGAAAAAAATCTGAAGCCCTCTCCCAGTTGCCTTACCAGCCTAATGGACACTGTAGTCAAGGCTCATAAATAAACATAAATTGTGAGACTGCAAATTCTGAAAACTAATATTATAAGTCCAGCATAAATTTAGCCTGGGGACACAGGGAGAAACATTTTCAAGTGCCCTTTACACTTTTTTTCCATGGGAAAGACAAAAGCCCGTTTATCTTTGCTAAGGTGCTGGGACTAAACGTTGGCATTTTTAAAATTCTCATTCCAGGTTAACTTGACACACTTTCAGCAAGAGCTGTGCACGGGCATGGAGTCTAAGTCTGACCTCCAGATTTTAAACAAGTCGAAGAGTGATAAAGAGAAACTTGCCCATGTGAAAAATGGGCTTGCCTTCATCAATGTCACACTGCAGAAGATTTATCTCATGGAGCAACAGGATCAAAATCCCTTAGAAAAAGATTTTCACAGTAATCTGGCCGTGGCTGCTTCAAGGACTGAAGACCTGATTTCTCACGTGGACAGCATTTGGCACAACTTGTATAATACTCCTGGTCCCAAGAAAGAAATACATTTTAACTACCCCGCAGATGGCTTTAAAAAGAAGAAATGGACCTGTTCAGTGCTCAAACAGTCCTCATCATTTCTTGTTTGGGTATCGTCTGTGATTTCCCACCTCGAAGCCTCATGTTATTAAAGCTCGGATGCTGTAGGAGGCCTGTGTTGAGTCTGCCCCCTACAACACTCAGTAAACTGTGTTGTAAGTAATGCTGGCAGTCCAGTAGGTGGCAGCTCTCTGCGTGCAACAGAATGTAAATCTGGAAAATTGTATTCAAACCTGGAATGAGAATGAGTTTTCAAAAGTTTTGTATTTTACTTATTCCTAGATTCCTTGAACATTTGGAAGTACAATGGACGTGTGGATGACAACGGAACTTTCTTTGCACACTATGTTTCTTTGCACACTTCAGGCAATTGAATGTATTTTTAGCATTTTTAAGGAAAGATATATTTTTCTAAAAAGAGCCTCCTAAGAAGTTTTAGTTTATAAGAATCAGTTGTCAATATCAGGGATGTGTCTTATATGAGCACCATATGTAAATTGTAGATAAAGGTTGTGCATTTTGCATTACTTTTTTCAACCTGCCCACATCCCATTGGTGAAGTAAGTCAGTCCCTGTATAGGAAGAAAGTAGCTGTGACATGCAAGGGGATTTTCTGTGTGTTTCTGTGTAAAGTAAAAACCACTTAACAGTTCAGACAATTCACAACTGAGATACTTTTTTAAATACTGCTATTTATTTATTTGTTGTATTTATGTTTATTATAACTAACTAGATGATCACTGCTTCTTTTACAAATTATATGGAGCAGTTACAGTCTTATGCATAATTCAAGAAAATTAAGTACTGTAAAAGTAACTTGTTCTTGTTCCTATTATTTATTTTATTTATTTTTAAGATTATTTTCTAATTTAAAATGTCATCTGACATTTTCAGTCAGAAAATAATTTAGTTTACTTGTCTAAGACTATAACTTAATCAGAAAACAATGACTAAATTAACATTCCATGGATATTGGAATTTTGTGGGCATTATTTTATCTGTCAATTTTTACCGGTTATGGGGTTTGAGCTATTTTCTTCAAACAAGTCCTTAACTCTTAGTCTGTTAATGCTTGATGAATTGGTATTGAAAGGAAATATTAAGACTCAAAAACTCATCCAAAATTGTTACATTTTTTCACGATCACACAAATTCTTTTTTATATGACTTCAAATGTTGAATCTGCCCCCATGTTTGTACACAGTTGTAGAGTAGTGGGCTGTCAAAGAAACTAAAGGAGCTGAAGGATGCTATTTATAGACCATTAACAGAATTCTTCCAACAGTCACTCAAAACAGGGGTAATACCCATTGACTGGAAAATTGCTAATATAGCACACATACCAAAAAAGGGGAAAACTCCAGCGAGGAAATTATAGACCAATAAGTCTTGTTTATTTGTAAGGTTATGGAAATAATAGCTAAAAATAAAGTAGAGGATTTTCAGTGCTGTGATAAATTTTGGGGGATAGCCCTGGGACATGTAGGAAAGTCTCAGTCCTGTTTACTAATCTGTTGGAGTTCTTTAAAAAGGCAACAACAGAAACTTAATCAGTCAAGTATATTCCTAACCTTAAAGGTATGCCTAACACTGCCAGGTTCAAAGTCTTGAGCACAAAAGACTATGAGCAGACTTGACCTAAGTATTCAAGACCTTAAAGGTATTGACAAAGTCAACCCAAATGGATTTATTGAAGCTTAACGGTGAAAGATGAATGTGGATCCCAACTATGTCTGGAAACTGGATGGCGCCATTGGATAAATTACCTACTAGAAACCAAACTAGTAAGATTACCCAAATGGCCTCCTCCCGTTTTTAACTTTTCTTATACTCTTTATGATATCAGACTATTGTGTCTATAGGAATAGGGATAGGAAGGAGACTACTTACATTCTTGAGCAATAAAGAGATACTGTAATGTCTGTCTTTTGATTTCTCCAAAATTTGAGTCACCTTAAAAATTATATAAAACAGAAATAAATGATACCCAACTGCAGCCCCATCAAATAAAGAGCATAATCTCAAAAACAATCTTGCCCCACATAGTTTCTCTTTAATTGCAGTGGAAATACCACTTTGGTATTTGCTGTGGAAGAAACGGAATTAATCTGTGTGCATACAAAAATGTGTAGAGATTTATATTTTTTTAATGCACCCAAGAACAGTCTTTCTGTGATGTTTTGAAAACAGCTCCACCATTGAAGTGGCCAGCTGTAAAATAAATGTTATGTGTTTCAAAGGCATTTTATTGGCTAAATGTCTTCCTGTGAATGCAGATGATTTTGTATGAAACATGTTTTCTTCTCTTTCTTAACATACTGTAGCACTCAAAGTTAAAACAGAAGTTCGAGCCACCCATATAGTACTTGGCAGCAGGGCTCCTTTGGGTAGACAGAAGGTGCCCTTGGCAAAGAAAGTACTTGCGATTGGCAGGTGATTCAACGTTGGGATTTATTCCAGACTCATTTTAAATGTGTTATTTACATTATCAGTTAATTTGCTGCATTAGGGTGGAAGCATGTACACTCGTAGAAAGCTGCTAATTACTGGCCTTAAAGGTCAAGCGCTATCCTTTGAATGAAGGGGGATGAGTAAAAAATGTTTCAATAGGGTGCTACAAAAAGAATAAACAAGATGAAATCACTGTTAAAAATTAACTTGATCAGCCACCAGCTTCCAGATCTGGAGGATGATGTTTTAACACACCGAAGGAACGGGCAGGAACATTGAAGTGCCTACATTGTAAATCAATCCATCTTTCCCCCTTCACCTTCTGATCTAAAGCAAAGAACTGACCCCACAATTCTGACCTAAACTGGACCAGGCTACACTCAGGGGGGTCAAACTCCAGCCTTCGTTTCAGTGCCCACCACACAGGCCAGTCTGCTTCCTCCCAGCTACAAAGAAACCCCACCTTCTACAGCTTTGTCAGAGTCATTAATACATTTTGTGGACCTTTTCTTTTTTCTTACACAACCTAATCACACTTTACAAAGAAAAAATCCAAACCTAATTTTGACATAATTTGATGAATTATGACAACACCTTCACTTCCAGTATCGTACAGTCCAGGGTCCAGGCCAGCAGTCACACAAAACACAGCTGTAAGGTTAAAAAAACACCCTAAGCTTTTTCAGAGCTGATGATTAAACTTCATCTTGAAGTATCCTAGCTGAGCAGCTAAACAGCTTCACCTACTGTACCTCCAGATGAACGATACTGCTTCTCTCAGACTCTTCAAGGCAAAACTTCCAAAATTCACAAACCAACATTCATGAGTTCCTTTGTTCATCAGTCAGTCCCTCTCTCTCTAGCGAATGGTGCACACAAGCATTCTGCATTAAGTTTTGCAAATGCTAAATCTTAGGAGAAATGTTTGTGTTTTTCTGTTCAGGTCTGATAGGGAGAACATATGGTGCTATTTAATAGATGTCCAGGTGGAGGTCAAATTCTTCTACTCACTGGCTGCTCACAACTTTGGGTCCATTTTTTCTAGCATCCCTCCCTCCACCTGGACTTTCCCTTGTAGCAGCTCCCTGGTTCATTCCTCTTCAGTGAAGAGGGTTGTGACCGTGCTCTTTTCTCATTTCCTCTGCCAGGACTTTAAGCGAGTTATCCCTTTGTATTTGTTGTCTAGTCTTGCCATTAGAATTTGACTGAATTACTGAAAAGGTTGCTGTGTCTGAGTTCAAGTTGCAAACCTAGTTTTTTGCTGATGTAAGATGAACAGGATTAAGGATATAGTCTCATGGTATCTATCTCAACAGAGATTTCCTCAAAGCACCGGTTATTGCAAAAAAATCACATCTGTAGACTTGATTTTGGCTTTTGAGGGAAGTATCTTGTTTAAATGCCTTGTGATTTAGGCCCATATTTAGAACAAGTTTATTCTAGTTTACTGCTGTGTCTGTGAAGGCAAAGAAGCTTGCAATTGCATCACATTTTAGAGGTCGTCAGCAATACTTTAATATCAACACTGTATCAATGTGCTGTTTTGCTGATATATTTCCTGCTTTGAGATAAATCTCCACACTGCAAAAGTCTTATATTTTCATATTCCTTTGTGTGTAACATTACTGTACAGTCATTCAATTTTCAAATCTTCAAATTCCCTCTTTAAGGGTTATTGAGGGTGTGAATTAATCTACATTTAACTCATAATTGAAAGAAATATAAACAGGTTTTAGGACGAGGAGGCTTGAACCCTGTTCAGAGAGAAATAATACTATTCAGCAGTGATGGTCATTCATAAATGTTTCTGCGTGCTCACGCCACTAGATGCTTGTCTAGTCTAGATTACTCAGCAGCTTGTCTGTAGATAAAAATAAGACACATATTTATAGAATCTTTTTTTTCCTTTGTTGCTGAAATGTCTGTCACAGGATGAATGCTTTTGCTTAAGCCATTCTGTATAACTGTTACAAGGTTTAACAACTTCAGCATCACAATTTAATACTGTACAGTATATACCAAAACTCTTTGTTTGCTTACGTTCACCTCCACAAGCCATTTCTTTTACAGTTTAACATGTTACATAAAAGCCTTGAGGAAATCACATACTGTACATTACGTTTAATATTTGTTGAAACTTTACATTTTAAGAGCACTTTGCATTGTTTATTGTGGTTTTCACATATTTCAGCCTGGGGAATTGTATGATGATAACCAGGTTGCCTAGTTGCACAATAGCTTATAGGTGAACTACACTGGCACCAGATATGAAGATATTCAAGTATCTATTTCTATTCGAGAGGATTTTGAGTGAGCTTGCATGTGGATCCCAACTATGTCTGGAATGTTTCCAATGTTTTCAATGCTAATTTTAATAAACTTGGTCTCCAACCCGTTCCTAGGAATTCTATGAAATGCGCCATACCGGGTTGCTTGGACAGTTGGAGACTGATCATGGCCCATGTGTGCTCAGGTAGTTTCGTGATAAACAAAGTTTAAAACAACATTTGCATGCCCTGACTTTTGGTGTGAGAGTGCATTTTGGGCCACTTGAAGGTTACAGACAGACTGCAAATGTTCTGTGGCTTTTGCCTGAGACATCAGACCTCTCCAATGTTGCTTTCGCCTGTGTCAGTGGCCATCTACTTGAAGGAACTAGCGTAGTATCCCACTGAAGCAGCATATTATTCACACTGACCTTAAACAGCAAGGGGGAAAGAGAGCCACTGAAAAGCAAAGCAACAAAAGGCACAAACAAAAATTGAATGCAGGGCTCAACTTATATCTTATCTTAAAAGAAGAACTCCTTTGATATTTTTCATTCCACCACCATTGGCCAGAAGCTTGAAAGTATTGATTTGTTATCTCTGCTGCTGCTAATGACTCTGTAGTTATAGGCCTACAGATAATACAAGATTATACAGATGTGCTGTTCTACATCTGACTTTACTTTAGAATATGTATTAAGCCAAAGACTTTGATCTTCACTTACCCAGGGAAATTCCTCTGGTTTTATTAATTGCAAAATCCCTTCTGTAACATAGCCAAATTACGACAGAAGAACTTGCTGAAATTCATGTTTGAATGTCATTTAGAACTGACAAATTGCATAGGAAAGCGCTGAAGTGAAAGTAACCTCTTTAACCTCTCACACTGTTTCACATATCTGCTCCTACCTAGGCAAAGTAACAACCACAGAAACCACTTGCGTTATATGTACTGAAGCTGTCTTTCAGTGACATGCCTCTATAGGAGGAAAATTATATATTCATCAAAATATGTTTATGAAGGCCAGTGGAACCACATTTTTGAGAATGTGTTTTGATTATGATAAGTGGAACATTATCAAAAAAACAATTGTCATAAGATTGTAGTAATACTTTTGGATACAAGATACATGGAGTTTTTGAAACGTTAATACTTTGACCCATTAACAGACAGAGAAAGGCTGTCAGGGACATGTCAGACTCCTTCATGTATTCAAATTAAGGTTTTATGCATCAGTGCTTCCCATGAAAACGTGGGCATGGATCAGAATTAGTGAATTGGTCAAATCGAGGTGATGTGTCAATGAAAGAAGTTCACTTTCTGGAAACAAGCAATAATGGATTTATGTAGAGCATGGTGTTACTCATTAAAGGTCATTACAAGGCAAGGTTTTAGAAAATAGACAATAGGGAATTATCACTTGCAATGGAAGGGGAAAAGACTATATCATCGGTGACATCTATGTAGGTGGATGTGGTTCCACATTATAGGGGGGAGGCACCTCACCCCCAACACTGTCTCTAAGTGGTGAAGGTATTGGTAGGGTGGCAACTCTGTGTCAAAGGCAGCTTTCTCACCAACACACTCTCACACACAGCCTCCAGATCTATTTTTGACATAGTTACTGTAAATGGGTCTTTGTTTTTTTGTTTTTCATTAAACAAACCAGAAAATAAGCAGGTATGTTTTTTTGGATTTTTCACAATTTTCAGGAAATCCCCTCTGGCTTTCTGCCCCTTTTTATCATTTTGTGGTTTTGTAAACTCATTCTACCATAGTAGGGCATAGGCCACGTCACTGTGGGTTAAGTTCCCTGGGGGTTTTCACACCTGAGCTATTAATTGTTTTACCTGTAGTTGTACTCTTCAGGTTTAGACAACACATTTATTGGAAATTTTCTACTGCCTTGAAATCGTAACCACACACTTCTAAATGCATAACATGTTGACTATTAGTTTTGATGTTACCTGAATTTTAGAAGTCTGTAAAACTTTGAAGTTTTAATTTTAGCATTGAGTTGTTACAGAGGTACACAGTTGTGATCAAACTAGATTTTACAAAAATTAAAGTATCCATGAACTGAAAACATACCAGAAAAATGCATGCAATTAATATTTTAAATAGTAATTAAAGTAACATTTTAGAGGTGTAATAATAAGGGCCTTGAGTATGTGTTTACCAGTTGCTTGTATGTGAGGCCCTTGTACCATAGTACTTTAGTTGTACTGCAGTACTACTGTACTATGTACTATATACAGTATGTCATATGTATTGTATAGTACTATAAACAGCACTCACAATGCTTTTAGGAATACAAAAGTGCTTTTCAGAACAGATTGCCTTTATGCCATTCAAGCAAAGTAAAATCAAAATTCATACTGTAATTAAGAGTATGTGTTAAGAATCTTTCAGAGCATGGGTTATGTTGTCTTAAATATCATCATTTGCAGTTTCTGTGTTTGCGTATTTCCAACAACTGGAGAATTCAGTGTTGACTAAGATATGCACAGTGTTTGTTGGTCATGTTACTTGTATTTGCTATTTCAAGTAAGGTACTATTGGTTACTTTATTTGTGTTGCACAATGAAACATTTAGACATTCTATAAGCATCGACCTTCAAGACAGAACTATATTATATGAGGCTATAAACGAAATTAACAAAATCAATACAATGAAAAGTGAAATAGGAGTATTGGTATTTGTTCTCTTTAATGGATACAGCAAATATTCACGACAAGAGCAATAACAGTTCACCCAAGCTCTGGCTGAAACTTAACTTCACCTTCAATACGGCTCATATGATGCCAATACTTTAAATAAAAGTAATTTAAATAATTTAAAGGTAAATCTCCTGTTGTGATACTAAATTAAATATTTTAATTTTGTATTCTCTGATTAAAAATCCCGTAGTAGTAGTAGTGTGCTCTACTTAACTTTAAAACTTGTAGAAGTACCCTGGACTTTTTTTTGTGCCTTGTTAACCAGAACAGTTATCCTCAAGTCCTTGTTTTTTTTTTTTTTGCTTTAATTCTACTCGATCTCTTGGTGCCTTTATTAAGCCACTTATTGACCAAATTGGTCTTAATCACAACTGTTCCAAGGTCACTAGACACTGAAGTGTTTGAGCTCCCTATAAAAGTAACACTACTGTCCCTAGGACTAGGGTCACTGTAGATAACTCGCTACTTGTCAAACACTGATGCAATCTACTGTTGGGCATTTAGGGCAGGCAAATGAATCAAGAAGCTTAAATTGTTCTTTTAGCTATACTGACATCTAGCGATGCTGTTCAGCTTTGTGAAAGCAAAGGTAACCGTTATCATCGTAGCAATCCAATAAAGTGTTGGTGGCTAGTGGGTTGATGCTGGGGTTACCACCTTACGCTGTGATTCCGGAACCTTTTGAGATACTTCAGTTTTGTTAGACCTGTGTTTTAACCACAAAGTCATTGACAACTATCATTGTTATCAAATGTGTTAGTTTCTACAGTTACTACGATGGCTTGGTATAGAGTTGACAAGACCTGTTAAGGTTCGTGCCGATGATAAAGTCTACATGATTGACATTGTCCCATTGGCATCTCTTTCGATTGAGAAAACTCACAACATCCCATTAATTAAAAGATCATTAGAAACAAAAAAATCAGATCATGCAATAAATAATCTTTTATTTGCAATTTGGCAAATTTCACAACTGCTTCAGTTTCTGTTTAGGGGAAGTTTAACCTGCTACCTTTCTTTGTTATCCCTAGCATAACAGCATGTTCAATCTTTGACAACTCTATCTCAACTCTTTCAACAAAATGCTACTGATAATGCTACTGCTATGAAATGAACTGTTTGAACTCTTAAAATAAGCTGTTTGTTCTGCTTCTTCAATCTAAGTCCTGATTGAAACAAACTGCAAAAGAACACTGTGGTAACATTCTTAACAGCTAACAATGGACCCAGAGTGTAGGTATAACAGTCTGTTGAACCATTTGTAAAACGATATTGCAGAATTTTACATTCATGAGATGTACTGTTTATGCTAGGCATGCAAACTAGCAATGATTACTCACATGGAAGTCTGAGTAGAGGGCTTATTTTTTATGCAATCCACTAGATGATATAAAGTTTTCTTCAAATGTGCAGAGGACAATTGTGAATATGCATAAAGAAGTAAACAATTAAAAAATACTTATAAAAAACATTTACTGTACTTATATTTTTAAATCTGTTTTTAATTGTTTTGAAGAGCAACTTGAAATTTAATTGAAATCGCATTTCAATTAATTTTTTAGTTTGGATAACAGCCCTTTGCACCCATTTGGCACAGGATGCTTTACAAGCACATGGTACATGAATAGTGGTTAGTGGGAATACATATATACTGTATATATTTGGGCAAGTGAATATTTGGGTAATAAAATATTCAATAAAATAAGCTAATAACAGAACAAGGATAATAAAAAAATTAAGAATAACTATTAAGCACATTGTTCCTGTTTCTTGTCTCCTGTATGTCTAATGGCTTGCCTCCCTTCTAAGCAGGAGACAAGTTCCTGTAAGTTTTGTAAGTTTTATGTTCATTTCAGCATTTCCATGGTTCAGAGGACTGTCTCTGGAAGGACAGAAGCTGTGTCAGGGGCTGGAGGAGACAGGAACACCCAGGATTCAATGTTTGCCATCTGAAATGTGTCCCTATCAGGGCAGGTATGGTTTATATCCAGTGTGATCTAGCCACTTACACCAGTTTGGACAAGGCAGTTCTGGGAGGATAGAGTGGACGTGACATTTCTGGATTGAACAAGATAACATTGTGCAGCAAAAACTGCTTACTGTAACCTATGGTAGAAATCTATAGCATCAGCAGCCACACAAGTATAAATATCTAAGTGTATTCAATACAAAAATGAGGTTGTAGTCTGGACTTAAAGTGAGATAGGGCTACTTTAACATGTGGTGCTAAGATAATTGACAATTGAAGGACCCTATAACTGTAAGCTTTACTGCCTGTGCTCTTTTTACCATTTTGGGGGGGATTTGCAGATAACCAGCATACTTAGAACAGAGTTAAATACAAAGACTTAGGAGCTCACTCAGGTAGATGTATAATGGCCTGTTTATGACTTGATAGTTTTTTTTAAATACAACTTCATTAGTACATTCTGTATCATACAAGGACCTCTGAAGAGATGCCAAAAAACACAGCTTTAGCCCTGGGTAGGATACCTGATACGCAGCTCAAGAGAATACTCATTATCTAGCTGGCACAGTAAGGTTTCCACCAAAGTTCCATAACACTTTCTTAAATGAAATTCACCAGGTTTATCAATTGGGCTATATCATTCTACAAAGAAAAACAATTGACCCTCATTAATCAACAGCATCAAAAAAAAAAAAACATGGATAATGTTATTTAATTATCATGCCCCGTTATCTTTTTGATAGTAATCAAGAAGATAAATTACATTATATATGTCCTGCATCTCATGTCTAAGCTTCATTTAAAAAGCACACAGACAACAGTCTTATGATTCAGCAGTGTCAAACAGAGGCCTTTGCCTTTCATTATCAGTAGCTGGGTAGCGTTTTTTGAATAAGCCAGTTTCTAAAATGTAGATATCAAGCCCATTGTCTATTTTCTAATGACACTGGAGACTAATGAGCCTGAGAATTAATTAAGAACCGAGATAGTCTGGAGTGGCTATGAAAAATGGATGCCATTCTTTCATTGATCAACATTAGGTGAACTTCCAATTATAAAACGAAATAGCATTTTACCAAGGAATATTACATTGCTGTATATCATTCATTGTACTGATAGTGTGTACTTTATGACCCAGACATTTGATGCCCAAGTCTGCAAAAAGCCAAGCAACATTTTTTAACATCAGCTTGCTTTACAGAATACTAGTAATTTTTAGATTTAGTATTCAACCTCTAGTACAATTAATTTTTTTAGGACACAGATAAACACATAATACTGCTTACACTCAGGCTTTTATGTGCATGTATATTATTAATCACGACAACAACTTTTAAATTGTCCTTGGTCTCTTATACAGTTTCAAGGAGACTGAGGTATCGGAGTGATCACCCAAGTAACAACAACAACAAGAAAACAAAAAAATACAAACATTTGAAACATTTTTACTTTTATCTAGTGAGCCAATATAATCTTTTTGCCATGGCTCCACCAAATAAAGAACAAGACAAACCTGCAATCGAGCACATTATTGGGTAACTACAATGCTAGGGGAAAAAATCCAGTCATTTCAAACGTACACATTTAGTATCTGAAATTACATTTTCTTTAAAAAACTGTACATCGAGATGAACAGGAAATAATTCACTTCAAAATGCAATTAACCAGATTCAATTTCTGCATGTATTTTCCTGAATGGCAAAACACAAACATGATACACATTGTCCTGTGTGATCGAACTCCTTAGTGTTTTTTTTAATGAGAAACAGCAAAACTGGAGATGCATCCAAACATTTGATATCTGCAGTTCTGAACCCACCCACAGAACACATAGCACCACTGTATTCAGAGTACATTCGCCATAGCTTGCTGTATGCAAGGCATGTTGCACCACTGAGTCTATACAATCCTTGTTCTTTTTGAAGTGGAAATCAACCTGGATGACTTAGTGAAACCTGATGATCATCACTGATGATGTAATGAAGCGTTCTTTGCACTTATGAAGTGTAAATTCAAAGCGGAAGTTTCTTTCTCGGTGTTTAGTAGATGGTTGACGTACATCAGCTTCTTCTTCCTTCCTTCAAGGCAGCAAGCAAATGCATATCACACTCTTGAAATGCTTTACCCCCACAGAGAAAGCTCCAAAGCTAGAGACAGGGAGAGGTCTGTGGGCCCCTTCTAATCCAGTGTCCTCTTCCCTTTTAGTCACAGTCCTTTGACCAACGTTTGGCATCGGTTCTGATGAATGGTACTCTGTCCGCGCGGCAATGTTTTTGTTCCATCTCTGCAAAATCTGAAGGCAGCAGGACTATACAGGCAGCAGCTCCGGAGGACTTTCTCCATAGCAGTACTTGGCCTGTGGATTTCTGTAGGTATTCTCATGCTGAACACTCTAGTGGCGGCAGGAATAAAAAATACCGATGTAACAGCTGGGAAAAACATTTCAAAATTCCTACATTTGAACTTATTTTTATGATTATATGTGTATTCTTCAAATCAACATATTTGTGCTGCATAAAAGGGGAACTACAGTCCCAATTTCTCAGACCGGTTATTAAATCTCTTAACAAAAAAATCCACTGATGGTATCGAACAATTTTTCCGAATTTCGAATTAAACACAAAACTGCGAATGTTGTGAAAGTACTGCAAGTCGCCATTGTGTTCTCGCCACGAGACAGAGTGAGAGATCATGCAAATTGCGATGTGACGCAGAGTGAGAGATCATGCAAATTGCGATGTGACGCAGAGTTAGAGAGCCCTTCCCGCTCGCTAGTCACAGTAATGACAATGTCTATTCACTTAATGAGCAAATAAGTACAAGGTTGTGCAGCTGCTGAAATGTTCCAATGTGATCTGCATGCAGAGTTAACAAGTAGTATTTGTCAGCAAAACCATTTCGAAGTGGAGAGTAATATTTCTATTGGATTAAAAGAGATGTGTTTATAGTACAAGCCTGCTCATTTATAAAGTAATAGGGCCACATCAGCACATCGAAGTTTTGTTGCATCATTCTGAACTGCAGAATATGGCGCTGCACATACCTGGAAGGTTTTTACAAATTACTGTGTATATGTTACTTTCATTGTGGTTTGAAAAACGCTTATCAATGCGGATTCTTTCTTTCCCCGAAATATAAAATGTTGCAGTTCCCCTTTAAATGCAGATTAATGAATATGCTTGTCTAGCTAAAAGACACAAAAGGCCAAAGTTTTTTTTTACATTTGTCAACATCATTCTACAGTGGTACTTGTAGAACATTTCAAATGAATTATCTTAACAGAGCCACAGTATTGCAAATGGTTCAATCTCTGTTACTTCTTTTGTTTTACTTTACCACATGTAAAAAGTGTTCTTAACAGACTCAATGTTATATACCAGATGCTCTGACCTGTTTTTAATAGCCTCTACCAGCTGTGACTAATAACTGCACTAATGAAGAACTGTGTATTTGCTAAAGCTGGCATAATAAACCTAATTAAACAGACCTGGGATATGGATGTAGAGAAGCCATCAGATAAATCAAGGTTCCAGTGCACCAATTGCAAAACTAAAGAGTTCTTAAAACGGTAATAGGCTTTAAGCGTGGTCTGTCAGTGTGTATATATATAATCCTAAGGGAGTTTACTAAGATTATATTAAGCCTTCATTAATCACACTCCTTTATTGATATCAATGAGTATCAATTAAATTGAATTATTCCGATGGCAAACATCCAACAGGAACACGCAACCTTCAAGCTGCACACGTTTGCAATTCCCCAAACTGCTGTGGCTGGCGATCGTGCCCCCAACACTGCTTGAACCCCACGTTTCCGAGCGCTGCTCAGATAGTAACGGTCGAGGCCCACCTGCGAGGAGGTCCTGCACTTAGCCAGACACAATTCGAAATGGTCTTCCACTGCCGTGAAGAGGTTCTGGAACCCTTCAGCTGCCCTGTTGAGGAAGTGCTCTAGAAGAGGTTGCTGTGGGGAAAAAAAAAAAAACATTTCAGATTCATCTCAGTCCAACTCTGTTGAGCAAGTGAAGCCTGTAAACCTGTATGGGTACTAACACTACATAAATTAAATAAATTGGTTATAAGCAAAACCTCACAAAGAACCTCTAGCCTTTTCTAGTCCTAGAACCTTTTCTAGGACGACATGTCTTGTGGGGAGTTTATTTATACTGAATAAGTTTAGCACAGTGTTTCTCAAGCACTTCCATCCCACAGCACACTTGCATGAATATAAGGATTTTGAGGAACACTACCCCCCCCCCCCCCCCGTCTTGCATATCTCACTGGCCCAAGCACTTTTTTAATGAATATTAAAAACAAAACTTGTCCGGATGTTTAATTACGTGTGCCTCAGACTGCATAGTCGCCTCATCCTGGAGGAAACTGAGGACCGTGACACCCAGGGCTCTTGGCCAGCTTCACTCAGTCCTTTCCCGTTTTTGCTTTTTCACGACTTGTCAGACAAGAAAAACCAAACTAGCGGCACGATTCCCACTGAAAAGGCACTCGGTTCTCTACTCTGACAGAGACAGAAGTTTCCACTGTCTCGGCCCATGGCCCCTGCCTTTTTCTTTTCGGCTTCTACATCGGAGGCTGCTCGGCAAAACAATATTTAATTTAGGCTTTATTTCATTCGTGCGGGACTTTCCAAACTCCGCGGCGGACCCCAGCGAGTGCCTGAAGGTGCGGTCTGGGCACCTTGTCTGGCTGAAGGCAGCAGGAGACGCAGTACTCGTACACACTGCAGCAGCCATTGGACAGACAGCTCTTGCAGAAGAACTGCCTGGTGCTCCCTGCATTGATGTTGCAGCACCCGTTCACCAGAAGGTCCTTCCTCTCGCAGACGTAGCCTGAGGAGATACCCGATGTTGATACTGTACATCATTGTCCAGAAAAGGTGAGCTCACATACTTCACTGAAAAGGCACTTGGTTCTCTACTCTGACAGAGACAGAAGTTTTCACGTACTCCGATTCTTGTTATTTTTAATTCATGGACTATATGAGTGAATAAGCTATCAACGCAGGCAATAATTAAAACATTTACACTACCATTTGATGGACAAGCCATGGTGATGTTTGCTATGGACTAACAGATAAAACCTATGAGGAGACTTCATAATGTAGGAGCTGAAAAACCTCTCCACACTCTTATGAGAGCATTTACAAAATGGGTTTATTGCCCCAATGCTACAGGGCCATTCTGGCGTTTCAGCTATTAATGCAATTTTGCACTTAACTGGGTCAGTATAGCACGCTTATTGAGGATTTAACCTGATCATTTTAATGCCATGGACTTGGTTGAAAGCCCTGCCATGATGGCTGTGGGTCTTAGCTCACCCAGCTCGTCTGTGAGAAGCAGCTTGCCCTGAACGGAGTTCCTGCACTGGGTGATCTGCCTGCTGCTGTTGCCGAGGTTGAAGCGCACTTTCCAAGCGATGCGGTGTTCCGGGTCTCTAGCCTGGAGAAGGGTCCGGTCCCGAATCGTTCTCTCCTCCTGCAAAAAGTACAGTAGTACGAGTACGGCGTCTGGTAGCAATACCCTTATTTGAGCAAATGCAGGGGAAAAAACTGGTTTAGAAATCTCAATATTCGTTTAGATTAAGTAGGGTTAAGTCAAGCATTGAAGGTACCAACCTGCTTTAGCGTGCTGGTTAAGAAATAGATCAAGGACAATCCAAACACAACCCCGAGTACCCAGCGTTTTCTCAGAACTCGGCGCAACACCATGGGGCCGCTGTTCACTGCGATTATCAGTGCAGTCTTTTCATGCAAACAAGATCTAACACGGAAAGTCAGTTTTTTTTTTTAATTCACAGCAATCCGCTATCGAGAAATTGCAGGTTATGCTTCTGATTCTTCTGAGGACTTCGAGAATTATTTTAAGATCGAGATTTGAGAAAACACGATACAATATCCGCAACTAGTGTGTTCAATCTACCGCACAACGACTACTACTTAATTAACCCATTCTTTACTAACCCAGTGATCCCATACGTTACATAGAGACTAATTATAACATGCTTAATTGATACGCCTTAAAAAAGAGATGAATTGTATTGTTTGATACAACAACTAATTTCGCGAATCCTAATTCGCCACATCTGTAATACCGGTAGACGCATTATTAGCCTAAACTCATCGTACTGTATCTATAAGCGAAATCGCACGTACACAAGATCACACGAAGAGGAAAATCTGAAAACGGTCTGAGGGGAGAAATTAAAACAAGGCAGGCTGGCTAACTCTATTGCCTCTGCAGCAGCGGAGTGCCCTCTCTTGCAAAGAGGAAGAAAAACAGAGACACGGAAATCATTTTTCGGGCATGCTGTCTCTGATTGGTCGACGTGGGTAGCAATTCTCCTTCTGTTTGCTTTCGGATTGGCTATCGGAGCAAGGCCTTTCGGGCAGGTGGCGTTTTGCAGGAAGTGGTTCTTTTGCACTTTGTTCAGGGGGCAAAAGACATTAGTAGGTAAGATGCGAAACCTGAAAGAAAGGTTTTACCTAGTAAGACAGTATAACATTGTTCCTACGCAACGCAGAATGTTGTGTACGATAGTAATGCGTTACGCGCCTGCTTGTGTAGCAACGTAATTACTTTAATTCTTTCATTTTTTCACTGTCAATGTTTCTTTTCATGCATTTTCGAAGGCAATCATTTTATAGTGTATTCATTCGTTATCCTAAACCATGCGACATCTGAGATAATTTGCTACAGAATTGTATTTTATAGTTTTTCTGAAAAGTAGTCCAGGGACGTAATGTGATGCCCTTCGGTGATACGAAAGTATGCTGTAGCTGCTTTACAGCTTGCCAATTATTTTTTCTTTGTGGCGAATGTAGCCTATAAACTGTAGTAGCGTATGTGTGATTTTATGTTCAATTTGTTCATTAGTTTTTCAGGGAAAGAAAGAATGGTACATGGTACCATATACAATAATGAACGAATGTAAACAATCGTCATGACACAAAAGACCTGGTACCTAAACAAACTGTGTAAATCCAACAATAATATAAAAACAGGAATAAAGGAGTAGAAAAAGGGAAACCAGAGATTTGGAAGAGTTAAGCAAAGGAAAAAGGTAGTCAAAGGACAGAAGAGGGAAGCCACAGTCTTCAAGGTCTTCCTTATGTTTGTAGGAAGTAAGAAGTTTAAAAAGGGCTGCCAGGCCAAATACAATTTTGCAGTTGAGCTACAGAGGGAAAACCTATTTTTTTTCAAGGGGGAGAAAGAACATCCCATCCCTTACCCAGTGAGCGAAGCTGGGGTGCAACCAGTTGTTTCCAATGGAGCAAAATCAAACGTCTCCCTAGTAAGGTGGAAAAGGCCAGGGTGCCTAATTGAATATTAGATAAGATGTGATTATGAGGGGCACCAAAGATACGTATAAGAGGAGAGGGCTCGAGGGGCACATCTCAAACCTTTGAAAGAGATTCACATATAGACTTCTAAACTGATTCCAGTGCTGAATAAGACCACATATACATATACAGAATATGTGATTTTAGACAGCCACTGCTGGTGTGATAATTTTTCTTTGCCTTCACAGAAATACTGTCCTCTTTGAGGGTGCCTTGTTGGTTTTGACAAGTCATCTTTGCTTCAGTGCAGTTTGCCGTTAGTCGGCACTGTTCTCTGCCTTTTGCAGTCGTGGAGCATATTGTGAGACATTGGACCCGATGCAGCGGAGACACAGCAGCAACACTGATGTCCTGCCGCCTGAAAGGTTCAGTACCTTGATACCCGTATGGGTGTTCTCCTGAGCTGAATTTTTTCTCTTTCACTGCATGCCGGACACTGTGCATCATCTGACTGTCAGATCCGCATCCCACGTCTAGAGCTGATTTTGTGTAATTGAAATTGAAATTCAATTTCTAATTAATCTGGGGTACAGATTAGAAAGGCCTTTTGTGAATTTAGAATTCATTACAATCCAGTGACATGGGAGGAGAACAGATAAAGCTTTTCTTAACTGAACTCTAAAGTAGAGGATGGTGTTTTTTTTTCCCATCCGCGCTGTGGAAAGGTGTTTCGATTTCTGCTCTTTCCCTCAGGACGCGGAGCCAGACGGTTGGCTCGGAGAACAGCCGGGAGGAAGGAGGTGTTTTTGAATGCCTGAAGCCTGAAGCGCCTTCGCCCCAGCAGCTCTTCTCTGGGCTTGTTGGTGTCCCCTCAGGAAGTGTCACAGCTGCTCCTTTCCAGGCTGCAGGCCTGATGCTAGGGTCACCGCCAGAGGTTTTCATACAGATGACGTCATCTGGCAGGGAGGAGGGAGCCCATCGCCCGGACAGCGCCTCTTACCTGCCCCGCCAGCCCCAGCATCATCACCATCACCACTACCATCAGCCTCCTCCTCACCGGTCCTCCCTGCTGCACCCTTGCGCTGCAGATCGGCATGGAAACGGGGAAGACAGCACGGAAGACCCCTCCACCCCTGCCCCCGCGCTCTCCGAGCTTCGCGCCGTCATATCTTGGCTCCAGAAGGGCTTCCCATTCATCCTCATCCTCCTGGCCAAAGTCTGCTTCCAGCACAAACTGGGTAAGAGACACCAAAGACAAGTGTACAGTGGAATGATAGAGCCAGAAAAACATGCTTTGTCTTCATTGAAATGTCTTCATCCCTCAATCCCCATTGAATCTCTGCCTGCTGAAGTCCTTAAGGTTGAATTATTTTATTATCATGCAATAAATAAAAATCATACAATCTCAGACAAACACAGATAATACCAAGTGACATTTTCAGATCTATCACTGTGTAATTAGAGGCCTGAGACAGAAAAGTTGCATTGCAGTACTACAAGATACTTGAGTAAAACCACTTGTTCTGAACTATTCTGACACATCATGTCCTGTAAATACAGCACCCCCACAGAGATGATATCTTTATTGGTCTTTATATAATTTAAGGTAGGTATTTCAGTGTTCCAGGTGGAAGAAATCCTAGAAGACTTTGTAGAGTTCTCGAGGACTTTAGCTGGAGATCTCAGCTTTTGAAACAAAAGACATCTTTTTTTTTTCTCCACAGGGATTGCCGTGTGTATTGGAATGGCAAGTACATTTGCTTGTGCAAACTCAACTCTGAAGCACCAGGTGTCTTTACGGGTAAGACTGATTGTGTGATTTTTAACTGCAGGATTGGAGTAGTGATCTGGCTTCACGGCAATCAATCTTATCAATCTGATGCTTGTAAAGATCAAAGATTCTTTTCCATAGCAAAGTGTTAAGGAGGGTATTATTATTAGCACAGACCTTTAAGAAGGCTAACAATATGGCAGCAAATCTGATAGGTCAATTTTGTCTTTTTCTCAATAAAATAAATTAATTGATTTTAAGCCGATTTGTAGATGAATGTTTTATATTGTCTTTTTAATGTTAATGTGTTTGTTTATAACCTGTCAGTTTCTAGTATGTACATGTATGTTCCAGGAAAAGAGATCTGTATTTGTCACCTTCTGGATTCTGGCTTTCCTCACTGGGAACACTGTGTACCTCTACTACGCGTTTAGCACAGAGGAGCTATACAACAGGTACAACACTAAGGACAAGCGTTCACTGTCTGGGCACTGAGGCGTCCCTGTGAATAGATCCATTAGCCATGCAAAGGTCCATTCAGTGTCCTTTTTATCCACTGAGTTACATCACTGTGGGGTTGTCATGATTTTGACACAGCAGAGCAAGGCAATGCTTTGAAAACTATATGAATAAGTTAGTAATGAGTAGACCTAAGATCAACCAGGGAATGGTGAGAAAGGCTTTAACAATAACAATAAATATTTCCGTTTGTGGCTTCAGCCTTTTTGTGGTTTTATAACTTCATTTTACTGACAATTTGTTTACTCTGTGGAGTCAGAGGGATCTTAGTCTATTTGAATGCACACTACAGGATTTGGAAGTGAGCCAGGACAAATTATGTTGACAGAAAAACGTTCCCTTCTTTTAATTTTGTGTACATGAATGATTTTGCCACATATTCATCGTTTTTTTTTACATGTTGTAATACTTTAGGTTTCTTTTGCATCATTACTGCCTCCCATCCTGTGAGTATTTTTTTTCCACATCTCTTTTTATTTTTATATTGTCCTTTAATTTGACATTGCTTTATTTAAAAATGTTTATCCCTTTATCCTACTTGAGGGAAATAGTTTTGAGTACATTGTCATTTTCATTGCCTGTTCTGTAAATATTTCATGTAAAGTAGCGAAGGCTATTTAAGAGGTACTAATGTTATTTAGGAATGTTGTAAATTACTGACAACTGCCTAATGGAACAGGTGAAGTGTTCAGGAGTAAATTATATGAATCCTTTATCAGTTACATAATATTTAAATCTGCTAGTTTACATATGCATACAGTATATGAGCACTTGAGCACTTTATTTTTTTGTTTTTTTTTTCTCCACAGCCTGATATTTGTGAGGCCCAACCTCGCCAGCCTTGATTTTTTTTATTTGATCTGGGTGGTTGGAATCACTGATTTTATTCTTAAATATCTCACAATTGGCCTGAAGTGCTTCATTCTTGTCCTGCCACGAATCTTACTAGCTTTCAAATCCAGGGTAAGAATTTTCTTCTCATGAATCTGTCTCATAAATTGATTGAATAACAGCCTGCAAAGTCGCAGTCATGAAGTGGTTTTGCGCTCTGTTCCTTTTTGCTGAGGACTCCTTCAGCCTGTTGCTGGTTAAAAGGTGTGTTGATGCTTTATGCACTAGTAGAAACAGTGGTTAACAGGCCGATAGACAGACAGGAAGGCACTGTCGGGTACTGACCTCATTCCCCAAGGTAAAAACGATGCCCTGGAAAGCTGTTACAGCTGTCTGTCACAGATAGCCTCTGTCAGCTGGGGCACTTCTCTGTCCACCATTCCCAAGCTGAGATCTGATCGAAACCCAGGCACCCTGCTTTTAGCTAATGAGGCACTGGCTTCAGTTTCAGCCAAAGGTTTGCTTTGACTTTGACAGCATCTAAATTTGGTTAAAGAAATTAAAATTTGATTAGCGGTCATCCAAATACTTTGCCATGAATATTCTTGGTACCCTGGACTTTTCGGGACAGGATCACTTTTTAAGTTTTCTAGCTTGAGTAATTGTGCACCTTAATATTTTGTTTACTCGGTGACAGCACTGACAAAAGTCTCTTAAACAGGTTCTGTGAGAACCTTTTCTTTGCAGAGTGATTGGAAATAGGCGTGCAATTTATAAAATGTTTTAATCACAAAATACCAGAGCTTTTCTATAAATGACAGTGAAGCAGCAATGAGAATTCTTGCCAGCACAGAATGTTTTTGAAAATAAGGGTTATGGATGGGGGTACTAATGAAGAATTGTTCTGTTAGAGCTGACTTTGAAACCACATACACTTGATTGGCTGAAGCCCAGTTTTAGATTTAAAAAAATATTGACGGAATGAGAGGCTGCTTGGGGGGACAAAAGAGAAGATAAATTGCCACCTCTTCAAGGTCTGCAACCCTGTCTCATTGTCAGTAAGACCCTTGGGAAGGGTGATTAATCCTTGTCAGGTAAAACACATTAATTCATTATACAGAATGAGATGCAAGCGCCCACTGAGATTCTACAGTTGCTGGTGTGTTGTCCAGTGAGTTTACCCTCTTTAACACACAGTTAAAGCAGATTGATATGCTGTCTGCTGTCCCTAAAGTTTGAAAGCAATTCTTAACATACTCGAATTGACAGCGGCCTTGCTTTATGTGCGCAAGGAACTTAAAACCAGTTTTATTAAACCTCGGTAATATCCTTGCTTCATGCAGTTACAGAATAGTGTGGGTAGCAGGTGGATGGACGTCTCTGCCAGTTTGCTAGCAGTGCAGATAATTTGCCTCCGTCGAACTGAAGCCATGGAATATTGGCCTGCAGCCATTCTATGTTGGAGGCCGTTCTTGTTAGATCTTAGAAGCTAAGCAAGGTTTGGCTGTTGAAGAAGTGCTTGGAAGGGGGCAATTCGGAATAAAACCCAGGTGCAATTGCAAGTTGTGTGGTTGACTCAGCCATACGCTGTGACTGAACCCGAAATGATTACCCAGCATGCATTTGGATGATGCTGTGCAGGCTGAGCTGCTGTCATTTAAAGCTGAAGTAAGGGTATAATGTCTATATAGGCAATCTCAGTTGTTGTTAGTGTGACTCCTGAAGTGGTTTAGTATTTTCTTTTGATTTCTGCAACTGTGTTTTGTGTTTTTGTTTTCCACTTTTTCTGTCTTTTTAGGGTAAGTTCTACCTACTGATTGAAGAGCTCAGTCAGCTGTTTCGAGCCCTGGTTCCTATCCAGTTGTGGTACAAATATATAATGGGTGAAGACCCTTCTGGAAGTTATCTCTTGGGGGGAGTGCTTATTATACTCTACAGTCTTTGCAAGGTAAATCCAAATACTAAAACAGCAATTTACAACTAGAAGGACAACAATGATGGTGTATAAGTGTGGGTAGTACCATCAAACTGAGTAGATGGTGTAATAACATCCGTTTAATGTTTTTTTGCAGTCCTTTGACATTTGTAACCGAGTAGGAGCCATCCGAAAAGCTTTCAAGATGTTTTGCAGCTCTCAGGTGAGAGACAATGTATTTTTCTCAGTTCCTAATTACCCAAAGGAAGCGTGGGAAGATGAATGTGCATACCTAGTAAACGAATGCTACACATGAGACCATGAGGAATTATATCCAGTGGACAGCCAGAGGGCGCTAACATCACCACGGTCCACTAGAGGGCAGTGTGTGGTCCAGTATTAACATCCCTAGCACCCTTGGCAATGTAGCAATCACTAGTAGGTACTGTACCTGTTTATGTGAACGTTTTTTTTATATCACTTTTATCTGTCCCAGATTTTACTGCTTACCGGAGTGCAATTTATACAACATAGCTGTTTGAATAGGCCCACTTTATAAACACAGTGTCTCTGTTTGACTGTAGGCATATCATCTTTGATGCGCTTCAGTAATAATTTGCACTGGTTAAGTATACTTCTGTATATGTGCTGTACTACTTTGTAAGCCCATGTCATCCTTACTACCAAGAGAATAGATGGATATAAGCTTGTGTACTCAGAGTCCATTCCTGCTGTTTGCCGACAGAGTTACGGTGTGCGGGCCAGTAGCCAGCAATGCAGTGAGGCAGGAGATGTGTGTGCCATTTGCCAGGCAGAGTTCAGAGACCCCGTAGCTCTCATGTGTCAGGTAAGAAAAGCAGCCCAGGATGGGAAAGCTCTCAGGGAAACGCTTTATGTAGTAGGACATTTATGAAAGTCAATATTTTTTTTGTGCTGGGTGGGACTGCAGTGCCAGACATTTGGAATCCTACTACCTACAACAAAGTTACCACAAAATTACAAATTACAAATTTAAATTACAGTTACACAAATTGTGTTAAACAATCTCCAAACAACATTGAGACACCGACCAAATGGATCAGAAAATAAGGTATAGCAAAGTACAAAAACTAAAAAGTAAAGACTTTCAATCTTAGCTATAGCTATAAACAAACTATAATATCAATCTTTGCACAAATAGAGATAACACCATAATCTTTATTATTGCAATCCATTTGGTGGTTTTATGTGCTTGATTGCATTGTATTGTGCATTGTTGTTGCAGACTTTTATTGCATGTATATTTGTCATACTTCATGATAATCTTTTTTTGATATACTTTATACTTTGTGATAATCTTGTGGTAGCTTTGGGGTAGTTTCATGTACTTTGTGGCACATTGGTGTGATTACAGGTTTATAAAATACTGTAGTTATTCACACACGAACGTGTTTGCGTTACACCTTTAGTATTAAATTGGTTCATACTTGCACTGATCACAGTGCATCTAAAACAGCCAGCAGATGTAATGCCCTATTAGACTGAAGAGCATGTGTGAGCATATGCCGAGAGGTGCGTGACGGTAGTTGCCGTCGTGACCTTGTGATTGCCGCTGTGCCGCCAGCACGTGTTCTGCGAGGAGTGTGTGTGCCTGTGGTTCGACCGGGAGCGCTCCTGTCCCCTGTGCCGCTCGGCTGTCATCGAGACCCTGCGCTGCTGGAAGGATGGCACCACCTCTGCACACTTCCAGGTCTACTAGAGGACAAGCCAGTCGAGCGCCGGGGGCTCCGCCGTGGAGAAGTGTCTGCACCACCCCTCGACGCCATGCGCTGAAAACACGCTACAGAGCTCAGACCCGCACGGACACACATGGACTTGAAAGAGTAACACAATAATACATAATAAAATAGAAACGCTTTTAGTCGCTCCTCACAGAATACCAGGAGTCAATGTAACGTTTTTGTTTTCCCAGACAACATGATCAGCTTTTTTGGGGGGGGGCAGAATTTAAAACGCATGGATTCAACTTCACACACGGGAGTTAACTCTGTCTTGGCTCTTATTCCATTTATGTTAGTCCTTTTTAATTGTAGAAAAGATGTATTGTTAATTTATGGCTGAAAAATGGTTGTCGGAAAGAAGATTAACACGCTGAGTTTCATTGCGTGTAGTTTTCAAAAGAGCACTGTTACAATGTGACGAATATGCATTGCAGCTTTAGACTGCACTACGGTCTTCGGTCCATGCCTGTCCGTGTTACATAAAGAAGGTAATTATTGGAACGGTAACTCACAGTGGAAGGGTTTTTTTTTCAGAAAATAAAAAATGGAAATGTGCATAAACTTTGTTTAGATTTCTTAAGAATATTTTAAAAGTACTGATCGTTTTATTCTAAAACTAGACTGCGTTATTGTTAATGGCAAAGGTTTTTCACATATTACTTGACTGATATATGAAAAGTAGTGTACTAATTACAGTGCATTTTGTTGCTGTCAATACGAAATAAATACGTTACAGTGACACATTACTGCAGTTCCAGACAAGTTAAAGAGGCTTTTGCTCATCGTATATGTAGAGTACCATTATGTTCTTGTTTTACCGATTGCTTTGGCCGCATACTGCCCTCTGGTGTAGCAATGGCTAAATTACATCATGTTCTTCAGTGCCTTCCCCTCCGACGACTTTAAATCTAATATAAACTTTCATTATCCCTTAGGATTGCTGAAAGCAACTTAGTTTTATTTTTCAATCATTTAGGTACAGAACAAAAGCAGTTTGTAATTATCAGGGCAAAGACGGTCATTACGTTCAGCCAGTAGTTTCCTGACGGCTTAATAGTTGGCTTTTTATTGAGATAGTTCCGTGTAGATTTATTATTCTTTTCAGGACCAAATAACATTGTACTTTATCAAAGTGCCAAACAATAAATGACTCAAGTATTTAAGAGCCCTCACTTAGCTGGGTATTGCAGAATTTTCATCATCCATCAATACTATGCGCAAGACAGGATACAAACAGGACTGGACGCCACCCCATCTAAGGTCACGCACACACACACACGGTGGGGGACAGTTTAGAGACGCCAATTAACCCAGCTAGTGTGTCTTTGGTCTGCGAGAAGAAACATGCAGCATCCAGCCAAGGAATCACATAGATGGAGCCCTAAGGCCGATTCGAACCCCGAACCAAAGATAACTGAGGCCCCAGTGCTGACCGAACTCGACTCAACATACCGACCCGCATGGTGATCAGGCAGAAAGAAATCATTTTAACCAAATTACAAACGGACAAAAAGATTAAACAGTTAAAATGAAAATTTATTTTCTTTAAATTTGTACAAAATTCACAGGATAGTTATAAATATTTCAATAAAATCTGAAGTCTTATGAATGATTTGAAAAAACACAGGTGTACAGATGCAGTGAAAATCACAATTCTGCAGAGATACAAAAAACGTTGTAGCTTATGTAAACAGGCATAACATGCTTTTATTCCTGACTGCACATTGTTCGTCCCGGTAAAACGTATGATAGATTTTAAAAGTCTCTAAATTAACACTGCTACACAGGTTGACCATCACAAACTCTTTAAAAAAAGGTTCCAAAAATAGAATTGTAAATTGACATTCCATCAGTGGTCAAAATTATTAACTAAACGGCGCACTACACAAGTTAATTATGAACTCCTCCTGTTTTACATGACGAAATTGTAAGCTGTTGAAAACAGAATTAAATGTGGTTCTTCAGAGTATTTGCCACTTAAAAAACACACAAACAGGAACTAAGCTTGTTCTCATTACTGTGTAGGATTTAAAATACAATACAAGACTGAGAGCAAGACACTCGATCTAAACCTGGTCTTTTGCACAGTCATTAACAACTGTGCATCACGACGTTCTTTTCAAAGTTTTTGTAAAAGGATTTGCAACTTTCATCAAACTTGAACTTCCATCTTAAACAGAAAAAAAGATCATTTTTTTACAATCGCGTTTGCTTTTGTAAAAATATGATCCATACCAAGTCTGATGCCAATATTTTGAGACAACCATCCTTCCCTCTCCACAAACTTAATTCTTATTTAATAGCAAATAAGACTCGGACCTGGATTTGCAGACTTGCAGATACCAATACAGTGTAGAGTATTTTCATTATATACAGTATATTAAAAACAACTTTTCTCTCGAGAGGCGATTACATCAAACGCATATTTATATTATTAATTATGCGCTATTCAATTTAGAGAAATTAAGAATTGCAGGACCATAGATTACAATATTCAAACCGATCCTCAATCCGATATCGTCCCTAAGACAAAAAAGCACCCCTAAGCTAAAACTGGTGTTAGTATTGCAAACGTCTCTTACATTCATAGCACCTACATTTGATAAACATCACAAGATGTAATTTTTAATGGACTTTAACGGTTATTTTGTGCCTTCCGTGAATTCCCCTTAATATGTCATCACCTAGCCTCACCGTTTATTTAAATAATAATACATTAGAATTGATCAAAGCTCGTTTGCTATTGAAATTCAATAAAATTTGAGAACAGTTTAAATACTCCTTCAAAAACACGATTTCAGTGGTTGTTAAATGTGAGAAATCGGGATGTTGGATGTCCTAACCCATAGGATGTCTGATTTAGATTTGATGTACTACAGACCTTCTTTTAGAGTTAAGTATTGAGATAAACGAATTCCGTAGAATTCTCAGCCGCTGGAGATGAAGTGTTTTTTTTTTTAAAACGAGCCATCCAACCACGTAGTTTTCATAAATATTCTTCCATTTCTCTCGGTTTTTGTTTTTCCTTAAATTTGGTCCTTGCTGGCTTAAATTTCTCCAGTGCAAACCGCAAATACAAAGGAAGCTGTTCTTTTTCCTCCTTGTTGTTCTGGATCATCACCCCGAAGGCGTCATCTGAAGTAAATACATAACTTTCGCGTTATTGTCAAATCAGATTTTAAATGGCACAAGTACAAGGAAAGCGCACTCTACCCTTGTCAACAGTAATACAGTTTTAAGTAATATGTAATTCAGATGGCTTGCAGATTTTACAGAAGATAGTCAATTAAGAGTTATCGTGGGTTAAGATGTGACAGTTTTCACGAGTTTTGTGTATAATATTGTTCGGCGATATTTTTTTTACAAAAACGGCACCTCGAAAAAAAAACAGTACAATTCTTAGAATTTACACTCCTACTGTATAAGACAGTCCCTATCAGCTCTTCGAGCGGGCGAATGAAAACTCACATCCCGGTATGAGCTATGGCTACTGCCGTATGGAAAAGTCGTAGTGCACTTCTTCTAAATCATCAGCCTATAATTATGTTGTGAAAAAAAAAACAAACAAAAAAACGGATTAGCTATGAAGGACAAAACAAACGGTTGATCTAGAATGCTTTCTGCTATGAATCATATATCAGCAGTGACTTGGTTACATTAGTGTTCACGGAGAAACCTAAATGCATTACCGTAATAACTATAACTTAAAAACTGGCAGTGGTATGCAAGGCTATCATGATTATTTTTATGAATATTGTTGTTTTCTTAAGTGATTTAATCGCTTTATATAGAAAGCGCTGACGAATGTCACAGGGTCGCACTGGGTAGGTGTCCCAGGTGATGGAGGTGACTCATACAGAATTACCTCACCTGTGCGGCTTACCTGTTGCTGGCTCCACGTTAGAAACTTCGCCTACAGGTGTCGCTTTCTAATAAGTAGCACGATGGCAGTCATCTGGATTGCCGTGCACACAGCGTAGAACCCGCAAACGATGGCTTTTCTGTTGCTCGTCGGGTTTTTGCGGGATCCACTTTGTCTAGTTGCCCTCGTTTTCTCTAACTGGTCTCCAATCCATCTCAGACGGGCAGCGAGTAGCTGGGCACTGGAGCAGGGCTCGGATCCCTGGGCAGTGATGGAGCCGCACGCCGCAGCCGGATTCGCATCCATTGGGAGACAGCACATGTCTTATTCTTTCTTGTGTTTGCTTTTCGCCTTGTCCCTCTCCTCTCACTCTCTGCGTGGAAAGCGATCCCTTTAGCCTCGGAGATCAAATCTTTAGTGTGTTTGTTTCTGAGCGCTGTATTATTTATTAAAGTGTCACATGATGATGGGGTTTACATCATCTTCTCCCAAAAGACAAAGGTAATCATTAACTCTTGAAGCGCTCGGCTTGCCTAACGAACCTTTTGTCACTTCTCATTACGAGACAGGTGTGCACTGAAGGTAAGGGATCTACTATAAATACCAACAACACGCTGCAATGCTAAATTAAGAAATATCTTAAAAGTGAAACGTACCAATTAGAATGTCATTAATCAGTAAATTGTGATTTTACTGTTCTTAGCCAACTGTGAGTTTTACAGATATTATTTCAACACTATATTTGGATATTTTAATGCTTTACCTATTGCATAATCTAGTCAGTTGCACTTTTTTAAAATGACTGCGTATTTAGAATGCTTTAAGGGATTAGTTGTTTGATGGTTGGTTTGTTGAAATCACTGACAAATCTCTCAGGTACAACCTGAGATTGCCTAAATCATAGACTTTATATTTGGATACTGTACAGGTATCAATAACCGCGTTATAGACAAATTAATAATGCTCCAGACATTTCCAGGCTTCATAAATTAATTTATTTTATGTGTATGGTGCTTTTCATCCCAAAGGATCTCAAAAAGCTTTGCGTATAGGAGGAAGTACAGTAGCAATCACACTATTCATCAGTTCTGGCAGGGAAACGATAAAATACTCTACCAACCCAAGAAAAAAACGTAGTCAAGAATGTACAATCTCAGGAAGGTATTAGGCCAAGACACTGGTGTTAACTCTCTGACATTTATGAGCACACAGTTAGGATCTCTGTACTTATATTGTTATCATCCGAACGAGTGAACCTCCTTCAGCACAGTGTCCCACTGTCAGCATACTGACTGACCAGCACTACATACAGTATTTATGATAGTTCTATTATATAACATATCGAATATAGGTTGTTAATATTTTTCTTAACAAATAAACTGTTTTGGTGAAAATAAAGCATCCTGTCACAGATAATAAACATCATTAGTGATCATTAGACACTGATTATAAGTGTTATAATCAGTGTCTGAGTTACTATTGTGTTGAAGTTTCAAATAAAACATGAATGTGAATTAAAAAAAACACTTTTTATATTATGTTTATTAACTTTTCTTCCTTCATAACAAGAGATGTACCCAGAAACACATTGATGTCTTTTACAGATACCGTATGCATGAACTCAGGAGACAGACACACATGGTAAATTGCACAGAATGTTAGCATATTGTAAAGCCTTTTCTTAGGAATATTATTCACTAGGTTACTTGGAAGGCCAGCGAAGTAAGGGAGGCACTGTCCCTCACATCATCTCTCAAACCTCAATTCCCCAAATATCCAGAATTTCTTGCAAAACAACCCACCAAAAATTTTGCAGCCTGACAAATGACCATAGACAATGAGTGAGACTGGCTATGTCCTTATCTCACTCATGACGCAGTGGAGAGAAACCTGAATTTGCTTTGATGACTGGAAGATATATGTATACTGTGTATTACCTGAAGCTGAAATGTTTTTGTCCCATTTAAGACCCTTCTCCACAGGCCCTCTGTTATTCCTACATTCAACTCACTCTCCCAGGTTCTCCTCAGGCCCTGAGTACTGGTATTAGTGTAGTCCTTCAGCATAAAAAACACTAATAGAGCTGTAACCTCTTGTGAGAAAAAAAACTCTCTCAACAGATGAGAAAAGGAAATTGTGAGCAGTGAGGTTTTTGTACTTATCTGCAAGTAGTGGAAACAATCTTGTCTTTGGTTGTTGCACATCTCTATATTCTGATTTTAGGACATCAGTGTGGAACCAGCTAATAAATCACTAAGATTTACAATCCTTCTTCACACCCATAGAGTAAAGGTAATCCCTGGTCAGAAGTCATTAAATACAGAAGCTACCCCTGTATTTACTCCCCTCAATATGGAAAACAACTCTCTAGGCCTTGACTGTATTGATTGGTATTGGGTTTTCACAACAATCTCTGACAGATTTTAAATTCTTAAGGAGCAAGACATTTGGATTGTGAGGTTTACAAAATGAGGAGGTATCATTGCACACCAAGCTGTACTGTAGACTGAACACATGTACTTAACATTTTTTTTTAAGTCTGGGAGATCTAGGCCTCCCTTGATACTTGGTAGTCACAACACTGCCATTTTAAGTTGGGGCCTCCCCTTACACCATAAAAAAGAGTTGAAGCAACTATTTATGTTTTTCAATATTTTGTGAGATATAATGGGAAACATTTGAGTAGGACAATTCATTTTCAGAATGGCTCAGCCAGGATATGGGAGTGTGTTCCACTCTTCAAGGTCCTGCCTAATTCTGTCACAGAGGGGAATGAAGTTAGCCTTACACATCTGACTAAATCTCATCTGACTCACGTCTGGGTGCGAAAAATATGGTTAACTAAACAAATTCTGAATGAGGCCAAGCTATTGTAGAGTTCATTTTGATAATAAACTATTCCTTCTCATAGTGCTTACATTTGCATAGAGTATAGAAAAGGTAAGACCATTCAACACAGTCAAATATCTTCCTGGCTATGTATTGCTTGCTTCTGAAATACCTGGTAAACATTAAGCCTTCAGACATTGTTAGTCGAGTTGTGGTCTTTGATGAAGCCAGTCTAATCTTCATTAAGGCAGCAACCCCTCAGGGTGTGTAGCTATTTATTTTGGTAGAAGCTTGAGGGCCACATTTAACACACTGTTCTGGACACTTCCCCTGGTAAGGAAATATTGGCCTTTCTCAATGATTATGACAAAAGGTTATTGTGATATTTTTTAAAACAAATTATTAAACATACTTAGCAAGGGATCTACAAAGAGAACCTACAATTCTTTCTAGAGCTCACTGCCGAGCCCACCTGGGCCAGGTCCCATCAATAATTGAAGCAATAGTTGGAGAGCCTGTCCTCTTTTTAGTAAGGATAAATATTTCCATGGTTTATCACTATGTTCAAATATCCTTTGCTTGGCAAGTTAATTTTTCTTTCTACATTTTAAGTCAAAAGAGAATCTAGTGCAGAATAGAGAGAGCAGAAATCTTTCAATCATGTATTCTCTACTAATAAGTCAGATCATTTTGAAAAAGCACAAGTGAGAAAATCAAGTTCATAATGGCAATGTCTCCCCTTTTAGATCCCCTTCAATGATTAACTAACGTTCACTTTTTTACTTTTATGCAATTAAATACTTTAAAGGGTAAGTCATTCTGCACTAAGGTGAAAAAAGTCAGTTTTGAAATTATTTAAAAAAAATATTCAGAAAAGGTATACACACGTATTTATTTTCTTATTCTCATTGTATATCTTATCTGTGGATTATACCATAAGGCTTTGGATGTGTTCAAGTACTCAACCTTCCTATGACCTCTTCAGTGTGGAACCCATGTGCTGTTATTTCAAGACTAGGAGTTCCAGTCGGGCTGTTTTTGTTGTAGGACTGTCACGTATAGATGCAAAGAAGCAAACCGGGTCTGAGAACGTTTTTTTCTTTCATTGTAAGTATGGAAGATCTGTGTTTTTTGTGTGCTTATTAAGCTGAAATGGGAGATGCTGAACTGCAAGAGTTTAGACAACGATGGAAGGAGGAGTTGGAGAAAAACAACACGGACGTTGGACAAGGAGCTGGCGTGAGTAAATTGGAGACGTGCCATTACCCACTACAGGCACTTTCTGAAACGACTTTAACTCCTAATTTTAAAGACTGCGGACACACCGAAAGTGCCCGAGTGAAAATTAAAGCAGAGCAAGAGGGACCATCTGACTCCATTGGTGATGCTCGTGGAGATGAAACATCAAGTTGCTCAAATTTCCTCAGCGAAAAAGCTGGGAAGTCGGCGAATGACGCTGGGTCTTATTCTTTCCTGGCCCAAGGAAACTCCGATACAACTAAATCATATGTGGAGTACCCAACGTCTGCATCGCAGTCCTGTTTGATGCGGGCTGATGTCAGCAGGAGCGAAGACCGTCGACCAAGCGCCCAGCCGTCGAGCATTGAGGATCAGCCCGGCTACGTTTCTATTGCGGAGGGCTTGTTGGATGGAAGGGCTAGCCCTTTGTTGGACAGAATTCAGGCGGAGACTTCACGGAGAAAAAGGGCTCATGCAAAGGCCACGGCAAAAAGATATTTTCAACAGCAGCCTCCGCAGAAGCTGCACAAGAAGGAAACGTTATTGGATCAGTTAATACAGGACTTGGTAATTATTATTTGTGATAGTCGTGATTAAAGTATTTACAACTACTAATTGTATTAATAATTAAAAAAAAACGTTTCTTATTTATCTCTCATTCAGAAGAGGCTTCGCCCTTTCTCATGAGTCCTTTCTTAAGTGTATTTTTTTTTCATCCACAGAATGAATTAAATGAAATTCCATTTTTTGATGTGGAACTGCCATATGAATTGGCACTGAAGATATTCCAGTACCTCAACAGGACAGAACTCGGACGGTGTGCACAGGTAAACCCGATTCCGGAAAAATCTGTAGCGTGGTATCTAAAGAGTGTGTACGTACTGTAGATGGTCCACTAGCACTGTTGAAGATCTGTCCCAGGCAATGCCTGTCATGTACTCCTGGTGTTATTGGAGCCTGCTTGTTGGTTCTTCTGGTCATAGGTGAGCAAGCCGTGGAAAGCCCTCGCTGAAGATGAAGTTCTGTGGTACAGACTGTGCATGAAGGAAGGCTACCTCACTGGGGCGAGTGTTTCTGACTCCCCCTGCTGGAAGGGCACTTTGCGAGACTGCAGAAATGTGGAGCACACTCTAAGGTACAATTGGAAGGTAAGAATCATAGGTACAACATATATATTGCAACACTGAAAGGTTAAAGTGTGGTGTTTAAGGGACTTTAAGCAGACCATACAAATCCGGTTTATACTGTTGTAGCAATAGCTATTTTGTTCCCTGGACATTGTAGCTTATTAGTAGGTCTGGTGGGTAGCTGCGTCAGCATGCGTAGACTCCAAAGGAACAAGAAATAGGTTTATTCCATGCCGAAAAGAGAAGAAAGAAAACACAACGTTTCGGCTGTGGAGCCTTCTTCGGGTGTAAGAAGGATAGGGCAGTCAGCAAAGATAATATGACATGGGAAAACACAAGCCAGGAGAGAGGAGGAGGCGGGAGCAGGGGAGAGACAGAGTGACCAATCAAGTGGTGTGAGGTCGAGAGAGGTGAGGAGGGGTGTGAAACGAAACATTGTGTTTTCGTTCTTCTCTTTTCAGCATGGAATAAACCTATTACTTGTTCCATTGTAGCTTATTTACTGGCTTTATGTACATGTTGTCTTTGAAGTACCTTTATTGCTCTCCCTGCTAAAATATCACAATAGCGAACATTAGTACAACAAAGAGCTGGTTTGTGCCTGCCTTGAAGTTTGAGCTCAGTTTTGGCTTGGGAATATTAAGAATCCACCTTAACTGTGTCTTGTCGTCTTTGTTAAATGTAGCATCCTTCACTTTACGTGGTCTTTTCTCCCGCAGAATCGTGTTGGATCCGTCACCCATCTGCAGTACGAACTTGGCAAAGTGCTGTGTGACGTCAGCTCCTGTGACGGCTTGGTAATAGCTGGGTAAGAGATTTCAAAACTCCCCAGCATCCTCTCGGTCGCGATTCAGCGGTTTCCTCAAACACAGCCTCTCCTTAAAAACTGTAGTGCATGAGTAAATATAATCAAGATTACTAAGGGTATGAATAGGCAAGCAGTTTGAGTGGATGCTGAGTGAACATGACACATTAGCATAGCAGGGGATAGGGCTGAGATTAGTCTGCCAGAACTCTCTCATCTCCCAGTTAAAGAGTGACCGCTGGTGAATTTAGACTCCTGTGTTTCATGATAATGTTACTGAAGTACCCACCTCTTCTCCACTCAGCACATCTTGTAGTGTGTCAATTTCAGCTCTGTGGGTGGGGATGGTTTGGCTCCAGAAATAACTATTAGGCGGAACGTACCATGTGAGGAGTGGAGCCACACTGAACATATTGGTATGGTCTGGTATTTGCTTTTGTAGCTGTTAACTCTGATGTCATTAATGGAGCTGATCCCATTTATCGATCTTGTAACTGTTTTATTGAAATATCTTTCATTAACATTGGTTGTCACAGGTGCATCAATACACCGTGCAAAATGAAAATTGTAGGGTTTTGGTGGACTGATTAAAAGAGCCCATTCTCTTCATGTTGGTACAGGGCTCATTGCTTTGAGTCCAGCCATAAAAGCAAGTAGCAGTTTTAAATTGGGTGGGCATGTAATAACATAATTGGTTAAAAAGAGCACTCAAATCCATTTTGATCACAGCAGGCCTGAAAACCGACACAACATGAAGTGTAACCTGGAAGTCCCACTTTGCAAAGAATGTTATGTGGCATGTAAAAACATTTATCTTTTTTGACCTACTCTAAAAGACATTTGTGTAATAGCATTTTGGTTGAGTAGTTAACCTCTGGATACTTTTATTTCCCTTAAATCTATAATGCCAGCTTAGGACTTGCAAAAGGTTATTCGTACTGGTTAGTTTCTCAGTCACTGAGGTGAAATTTTAAAACTTGGCTCATATTTAAAGGAGTATTATGTCATCTAAAATCTGTACATATTGGCTCCAGATACTTCTTAGATATTGCTAATCAATGTATTAAATATTTAACTGACGTCCCCTTGAGCACTGGAGCAAAGCAGTTAAGTGTTGTAGTGCATAAGGTGACCATTTGTACTTTAAAATAAGATAAATGGAAACAATTATACAGATTGCTGGAAAAACCTAAGTATGCTGTTTATGTTGCTTCGCCTTATTGATTAAAAGTGAGGTAACCCCGCAGCTCCACCAAATGGATGTAGGTCTGAGGACTTCCTGAACAAGCCTTGTAGCCACTTTATCAATCAGCTGTCCTCTAGAGACCATCTTGATTAAATTATCTTCTGACAGCAAACATGGGGCTTTATTAGTTATATGAGGCATCAGGCCACATATAGTAATTTATGTGGCCATGTTTGTGACCATGTTTGTCCTACATACCTTATGTACCAAGTTCTCCAGGATGGAAACATTGGTTTTAACTGTCATGTATTATTAAAAAAAGTGTCTTCCACAACTGCAGTGGGATTTGATGCTGCCTTTGTCTGTTTATGCTTTAAAACGATCACATCTTTTGGAATCGTGCTTAAGGAACCAGTCATATTGGTAATAAACAAACACCTATATTTTGGTCAGGGCTTTCATATTACACACGTATTCTTTCTTCTTCTTTTTTGGAAGTGTCTCACAGTTGAGGATGAATGTCTTCTGCAGTTGTCATGTCTGTGGGTCTGAAGTTGACTGGTGAGAATAATCCAGGATGGACAGATGTTGTCACTGCTTGGTTACATATGTCAGAGAGGAATAAGTGGTCCCAGGCAGGCCATACATTAAGTAGTTTGGCCCCACTGCGAATGGAAGTGTGTCAGTGATCAGATGTAGCATTTTGGTAAGAAATATTAAGAACAGGGCTGGGAAACGATGCAATCTTGTTTAACCCCTTTGGCGTTAAAGGGGTTTGTGATGGATCTGAGAAGCACCAATTGCACATCATCATGGGGCAGTGGGATAATGTTAATAAATTCTGGGTGACATCCTTACTTCAGAAGGATTCTCTTCTCAGGTGAAAGGATTGTTGTGTATGTGTCTGACCGTCTAATGCCATTCGTAGCCTCCAGAGAAACAGCTTCTGTAAAATAAAACCAGTCGTGGTAAACACAGCGACTGCCACAGTAACTTTTTAAGAGCTGGCTGAACATACCAGTAGGACCCAAGCTGATCTCTGCGTACTAAAACAAAGTGTCAGAATTGAAATGGCACACGTTTCAATCCTTAGTGCTGTTGACAGGTTAATTCAAGTAATGCCAGGGTGGAATCAAAGTCCTGGACTGGATTGGTAGTGTAGCAGTACGTGTTTACGTCGCTTTGTGTAGTTACTCTTTGTGTTTTGAGAGGTCGCTCGGGGCTCCTGGCTTCTCTCTCCTCCGTCCCTTTCTTCAGGGCGAAGGCACACGGTGGGGGCGAAGGCAGCCACAGCAGCAACACGTGTGGTTACAAAAGGCTGCAAACGTTGCGCCGAGAGAAGTCAACAAAAGGGATCAGCTGGCAGCTCCTGCTTCCTTCTCACTCCAGCAGCCCAGGGCTGATTTTGAGTGCCGTCCAGGAGGCGTCCTTCCGAGCCGTAAGCATCTGGCATGGAGGTGGCTCGTTACAGGCCCACTGTGCGGGCCTCAGCTGCTAGCTGGGCCTAGTAAAAGCTTTTACATGCAAACACTCACACATGCGCGCACATAGTAAGTCACCTCGTTTCATTTTCACCTCCAGTTTTCTTTTTCTTTGTTTTGCGGCTTGCTTCAGTTACAGTGTGAAAAATCTCTTCCTTTTTTTCCCGTGAGGTTTAGCTGAAGGTTGGAGGAAGAAAAAAAAGTGAGGATTTTTTTTTTAATCCACGATGTGTCCTTGTTTCTGAATGATTCGCAGTAAGAGGTCGACATTTTACAGTCGTAAGAAACGCTTGGGGGTTAGAGTTCTGTGTGTTCTGTCTCCTGTCAAAAAACAAAAATCCTGCTGTCTGGACTCCTTGTGTTCAGTTTGAGAATGTAGGTGGTCCAAAAATTTGGAGCTTTGAATTCAGCCCTTTCCATGACTCCTCCAAACCAGAAAATGCGGCTGTTGAATTTTCACTTTGAGGTGAAAAAATGAGGTAACGGGGGTTAGCAGAATAAATGCTTTTGTTGAGACTTGCTCAATTATGATCATTTGAGTACCTTTTAGTCGAACTGTTTTTCAGGTACACGTCAGGTGATGTCAGACTGTGGGATACTCTGCACTGGGACTCTGGCGCCTCCTACCTGCGGCCCAGTCATGTTGCCATGGAAACAGCATTAAGGCCACACATAAGCCATGTCCAAGTAAACAGAACTGTGGCAGTTGCAGCCTATGAGGATGGTAAGAATAGGGGCTGCTCATCCCTCACTGAATCCTTGCATATTACATACATGCCGAGAGCTACCTTTGCTTTATTTTATTTGAAACAAGCTGAGGTCAATTCAGTGCTGAAAAGTAGAAAGAAAAATATTTTTTAGCTGTGGAGTTTTCTTTCTGTGCTTAAGGGCCTTTCTAGTCCATATGATACATTTTTTCTGCTTTATGTTGACTGTCATTCACATATCTGCATTTGCAGTAGACTGCTGTCTGACTCAAGTGGTAACGCATTCTTCAGGTCAGTAACTAAGGAACAAAATATTGAAATTATGAGGCTGTAATAATTGCTAGAATAAAATCTGCAACAAAACCAAAACAGGAAAACAATTTTGAGAATGGTTATTTAACTAATACCTGTATATTCCTGTGGTTTCCTAAAGAAAATCTTGTTCTAGATTTGCCCTGGTTTAGTGACTGGCTGTGTTAATGTTTGCTAGTCTTCTGGTTCCTCTTCCCTCCTTTAAGATGCTTTAATAGTATCGAATGTTGTGTGTCACACATCAGATTCAAATCTCTCTCTGCAAATGTGGGAGATTTTGAGCATGCATGGAGACCTTATCACCACTCTTCATTTCCTGAATGAAGCAGATGTTGTGTGACTTCCTGTTGACATGACCACTTTCACAATTAGAGTGGATGCTAAAGTTGTGTGTAATTAAAGAAACAGTTTCTTGCAATCTAAACCTGCAAAGCATCTAGGTTTGGAGTGCAATTATGTCACTCATCTTCTTACTGTAGTAAGACTTAACTAATCTAAATATGTTTGGCATATATCTCTGTGGAACAATAATGTACCTTTTGAGTAATTAGCGTAATTGCTATTAACTGCTTTTGGCATCTTCTCTTTCCAGTTGTCAGCTTCCCAACTGGGCAGTTGTTTCTTTTATTTTTTCTTCAGCATTCATTGTGATGGAAATTAAATTGCACTTAAGGACATCTGCATAACCACTAATCTCTAATTCTCAAAGAAATGCACTGGCACATTGAAGTAGTCACCCATATGGGAGGGCAGACAGAATGTTTGTAAGCCAAGCAGAATTGGCTGCACTAATGTTTTTTTCTCGTACTTTAGTGTTTTTTATGGTCATGTTGAGACAAATTGAGGGGGATTAAGCTATGATAACTGCAGTAGAAAGATTTTTTTTCTGATCGTTTGAAAATGCATTTATACATATATGTATAATTACAAAAACATATAGCTCTTCTAAAAATCTTATAATAAGAAAGAACCTTTTTGTACTTCAGGGGTTTCCTTGAGCAGGAGATTTGAGTGGAAAAGTACTTAAGGAATCCAGGTATCTGAGCATTTATGGCTGACCAGAAATTGTATAACAAGGTGTAAAACAGTTACATCAGGAGGGATGAAATGAATATTGTCAGAATAACACATGTAAGTGAATTAATGGAGGGCACAGATGTAGCTAAAAAACATATTACATATAACATATCATTTACATGTCTCTAACATACATTTTGTCTCAGTCACACCAAAAACTGGAGAGTATCCATGAGCCCGGAAGATCGCCATTATAATATCAATGTATAGACAGGGTATGTATGGTAAAATATTGTGAGCTAGGTCAATATTGTCCAGGCATCTTAACATGCATATGGAATAAGAAAATACTCATAACTCATACAAATACTCAAAAATACTAATAACTCATAATTTCATACGTAATTTGGGAAATTTCCCCTTGAGTAGTTTATTTTATTTTTTTCTTCAGCAAATATGATCTACATTGGGGACATGGAATATTTCAGTTTGGGAATCTTTAAAATTTTAAAGGAAGTCAATAAGGTAGATCACAACAGTTATTTCAAACTAGGTTCAGCATTGACCATTGATTAACTGAGATTGGTTGAAAGGGAACATTGTACCAAGATCAGTAAATAGCCAATTTTGCACAGAGCTTGCAATTAATGGAACACATCACCACACACAGGAACCCTTTTAACGAAGGTTTAATGCTGTGACAGATCCACTCTGTCTATTGGAGGCAGTAATGGTCTGAATAGCTTATTCTTGTCATCAACTTCTCTTATTACTCATCATTCTGGCCAGGAAAGCAGGCGCTGGTTGATTTTCATATCTTTGTGTTACTTGCGCAATGCTCTACCATGTGGGCAGATCACTGTATCTGCTGTGTTTAAACAACTCAGCTGTTTATGTTATAAACAGATTGTAGAATTACCTTTTTAAATACCCAACAAATGTTTTGTAACGTTTCCCACTCCGGATCTCTAATGAACACAAAGAAGAAGAGATCTCTGTACAGCGAGCACTGTGTGAGAATGAACAAGCGACGTCTCCCAAACTCTGAAACTCCTGCTGTGCAATATCCTGCCCACTGATCTTGTTTTAGCTAGCTCCAAACACCTCCTCCTTTTCTTTTGCATAATTACAGATCTGACTTTCCTATACCAACATTTCGGTGTCTGGGGGCTAAGTGTTGAGAATTGTTTTTAAAGCATGGTCTCTTGTTGGGGACCTATGAATGTCTAGTGAGGTGCAGTTATAATGCACAGCCTATTGATCAATGTTGCTGGAGAGAATTATTTGTTCCCCTTTGGGGACATAAAGCAAAGAGGGGCAATTTATGTCAACAATTCTTCCGCAGTGGGAGAGCTCATTAAATATTGATAGGTAAGCTGTAAACGTAGCTTTAGCCTGTAGTTTGTAACAGCTTTCTCTCTTGGTCTGCTCCCAGACAGCATTTTCCTCAATTATCATGTCTTTTTCCACATATCTTTCTTTTAAATAATTCATGCAGCTCATCATACTTGTTAAGCTTTGTTTACTTGTTATTAGATGGTATACCGCTTTAAGTAGTACTGTCTCATCACATTAGGGGAGATGTACAGCTTTTTTACTCTATTTGTTTTTCATTCTGGTGAACATTTAAAATATAGTAGTATAGTATCTTAAGGTCAAGGTACACCATGTAAAGAATACAATCCTAAAATTGGTAGATCCACATTTTATATCTCAGGCTATCAGTGTAGATTATTCAAATAACTATGAAAACTGTGAAACTATGCAAAACCACACAGACCTTTATTATTATTTTTAAAGTGAAGTCCCTGATCTGTTGCTGTATTAATGTTAAAATTACTTTTATAATAGCTTGATCCATTTTTGAATGTATTACTTCCCTGTGATGTCTTGTAGTAAAAACTGAGTGAGTGAGGGTATATGTTGTTACTTGGACATCCTGTTCATTCTCACTTTAGAAAAAGGCTGAGCCAGAGCTCTTGTTTCCTCAGGGGCTGTGGATGTGTGGAGTACTGAAACAGGTCAAGAGCCCATACACCACTTCCAGCACCTCCAGAAGGTGCAGGGCCTGGCCTTGGGCTCAGATGGTGCTACTGTGGCTTCAGCCTGCGGTTCACGAGTGCGACTGGACTGTCCAGTTGATAAGGGCTACTGGAAGATGCTTTACCAGACTGAACTTCAGAAGCCAGTGAGTGAATTCATAAGGACGAGTGTCAAAACGACGAGCGTCCTGTGAGGAATTACTGTAATACATTTTTATACAACTTAATCTTTAACAAACGGGATCCTAATGAAATGAACTAGATGGGCCAAATGGTTTCCTCTCTACATAACCATTCTCATGCAAAAGCCAAGCTGTTGAGGAAGCTGAGTCCTGGATTTGATTACCTCTGATTCATAGCTGATGAATTCATTCACATGTTGACTACACAATAAGCATGTTACACAGACTGAAATGGTTTGGTGGCTTAGCGTGTACTAAAGGTAATCAGAAGTCTGCCCTCATTGTATTTTTAAAGTTGAGTGAAATATTTTGACGCCCACACATTTTACCTGGAAAAAAATCAAGCTTTTCTCAGAATTTATTACTAAGACCTGTAGGGCTTTTCTCTTCTGACAGGTGGAGTTTCTCCGGCTTGCCCCCGACACAGAGGAAGTGCCTCTGGCTGTGGTGTCTGCTGCTGAAACAGTGTACCTGCTGAGAGCAGAGCAGGATCCCAGTGTTCTCCACTCTGTCTATGGCCATCCTGTGACCTGCATGGATGTGTCATCCTCGCAGGCAGCCCTAGGGATTAAGAGTGGTGGGTGGGCCATGAACGATGGCAACAAGGTAAGTCTAAAAAGAGAACAAGGAGAAATCCTCAGGGCTTCCTGCACAAAGCTCCACTGGGCTGAGACTCCCAGTGAGATCAGGTAAAAATAATCACAAGAGTTTTAGCTCTGGGATCAAGTTCTCCACCATACTGTACATGTACCTACTGCACATTCTGTGAATCTGCAAGGTCAGTTATATATTTCTCTCTCTTCACACCATGCGTTAAAATCCCGTGACCTTGTCTTTTTTGTCATTAAATCTTTTTGTAGTCAACAATGCCAGCGTTACATTTTAAATGAATATGAAATTAGGGTTGTGGATAGACCTGGCCTTTACTTACCTAATCAGATCTTGGGTACCCAGGTGATCTGGCGTCCAAGAAACATAAAACCTGTCTGAAGCTATGCTCTTGCGTGCTCGCAGGAAAAGATGCTTCTTTTTTCGGAATACATTGTTTTGTAAATTAATTTTGGGGTAGTAATAGAAAATGAAACCCCTTTTCACAGTCGGAGCCCTGCAGCAAGACCATCCATTTTCACTTTCGTCTGTGTATGCTGTTAGAATTTGCTTTTTAAATTGGACACACGCAAAGCTCCTAATCAGACAGAGAGAGCACAAGAGCTCCAGATGGCTGCTCTCGGTATTAGACAATGCCTTGGCAGTGTTCACACAGTGACATCACATCAATTACTCATTTTCTCATTACTGGTGGTTGTACTGTAATTGCACCACAATTCAAATGACTTGCAACAAAAAGTTGGTGAAATAAGTTTTTTTTTGTCAAAGCTAAGATTGAAATGGATCAGATTTGTAATTTACATATTTAAACTTGTTTTTATAATTTTGTCTGAGTTAAAATAGTACATTTAACTAAACTTTTTTTTAAGTAGCACCGTTTATAATCATATTTCAGCATTTCTATAATGCTTCAGTAATTTCCAGAGAACTACAATGATTTTTTTCTTTAATTTGTTATGACTCGCACCTTTTGCTTTTGTCTAATTTATGCACGTACAAAGTCAGAACTAGTAATAATCAGCCAAAAAGCTTTTGTGGAAGCTGTTTCATTTCAGCGAGCAATTTTGTACTGTTAGGGGGATAAAAGGTGATAAAATTAAGATTGTGTGATGTGTAATGTTTTACAGTGTTTAATGTGTAGATGACACATCTAATTAAAATGTGCAAAGGAAATATAGGTATTGTAATGAAATTGTCTGTGGCTTTTGTGCTGCACTGATAACAGATATTAAAGCATCTGGTAATATTGCAGCTCCAAATGGACCACTTGATAATTTGTTAGCTTTGTAGCCTTTGAACGCCTTTAATGCACTATGATATTATTTTTATACATATAAAATAATGTTTAAGGCATAAGTAAAGCTGGAGAGGTAATGTGACTTATCTATAATCAATTTAAAAAGATATTTTCTGCATTCTGTATTTGCGACTCAACGTGTGGTTCACTATTCCTATCTAAGCCATGGAGTTACAATTTGCCTCTACATTCTGATTGGTGTAGGTGTGTGTGTGTGATTGAGGTGTTTATGACTAAACACTGCCTTTGGATAAAAATGGCATTTATTTTCTCTCAGTTTTAACATGACTTGACAAAGGCTTCTGTTGTGATAACTTTAAGTTGGAATATGTCCTCAGAAGTGCTCAGTGACTGCTTATTTGGTTAACTAAAGTATGTGGCCAATTTATTTTCTAGTGCACCACGTCTCGGAGAAGCTGCATTGAGCCATATCTGAGGCTGTAAATGGGGTATGTGAGTGTTGGCTCATCATACATCCCCACAGAAGGGATGGGTGGCTCAGGGACATGAGGGACAGAGCAACATTACCTTATGCTGAATCTCTGAGCTGCAGTCATTATGTTGTTTATCTGGAATGGCCAGCAGACTCCCCTGGTCTTAATTACTGTTTGTTTCTTACGGGAATACCTCTAGGGCCATACATCTGGTCTGTGGGTAGTACCATTTTTGAAAGCACTAATTGAAGAACTTGCTGGCATCTCCACAGGCTTGTCTGTCTGCAGCAATGGAGTATCAGAGTAACAATTTCTAAAGCTGTTGCCTTTTTACCTCCAAGGAAATGCCTTTGGCACAATTCCCTAAAGGCACTATAAAAACCCATATCGTTTATAGATATGAGGTATCGAGCCAAAAGGATTGATTTTGCTTGGTTTATCTGGTTCTTTTTCTTCCTTATTTAACTCACTGCAATAACAAGATGGCATCTGTTGCTGAAGTGCCTGAGGCAGTTTGCAAACAAAACATTTTTGACAACAAAAGAAGAAATGCAATGTCCTGAGTCACCCAAAGGGAAAGACAAAAGGATGATATGAATCTGGACATTACGTTAGATAGGGTGAGGAGAAATTTATCTTTTCGTTATTCTCATAAAATAAACAAATCTTCTCAGACATGTTCGTTAAAAATGTTATTCCAAGTTGAAATGGTTTAAATCAGATTAAACCACTTAAAATGAAAAGTCCTGTTCCTGTAGAATTTGTGCTTCAGTTCATCCTGCTCAACATTTAGTGATTCACTAGAATAAAAATGTTGCTTTTATTTTGTGACCAAGACCCTGTTAGGCAGTCATTTAAAACTCCTGTCAGATACTTGGCTTGCTTTGAGGCATCACACAATTAAGCCTGTCTGGCCCAAATATGACAGATAAAACATCTGGCATTTTGTCAAAACTTACATCATATGAAATGTAAGCAGTTTTTTATTGGCTTTTGAATTATTCATTCTTTTTTGTGCATCTACCTGTCTCTAGTCTTGTTATTGTTTCATTTTTAAGCAGTGCTTCATCCCAGGTAAATATGAAGAACAGCAGCTTTTGCTGTTTGTCACATGACTGCTGTTGCATGCCAAACTTCATACATTCCTCTCAGAATGCCTTCCTATCTCAATGGAAACAAGTCTGAATATTTCTTATCAGTTTGGAGATTTACTTTAGGAACTAATGCTATAGTAGAGGGATGAAGCAGTAACCCAAAATGTCCCGTCATGTGCAATACCCATCTACTCTTCATTCAATTAATTATTAGCTAAAGGAGAACGTGTCCTTTTTAGGATGGGCTTGTGGAGATACTTTTAAGTCATACCATACAAGTGTAGCAAACTACAATATTTTTATAATTTATTGTTGTGTAGCTAAATATTTTTTTCCACAGTAGCTTTCCCTCCTGCTAGTCTGCAGTAAACACCCACTGTATCCCCTGATATAAACACAGCCTCTCCATGCTGGCACAACACGAATGAACACAGGACCTTAAATTTATTAATAAAGTAGCCCCACCTGATGGGCAATAAAAAGGTGAACTGGGGGGAAGCGATGAGGTGGGAGTGCGAAATGTTTTCAGAGGCTAGCGAGCTCAGGTGGAGAATGTTTTAGCAATTCTCCGTAGGCTTTTAACTCAGTACATCTCTGAAGGGAATCTTCAGGGACTTGTAATGGCGTAAATTATTCAGTCGTTTAGAGACCTTGGAATCCGAGCCTCTTTGGGTGTCTGATAATATCTCAGATTACAGCTCTGCACGCTTTGATGAATTTGAGAGCCTTAGTATAAGTCTCTCTTGTGCTATTTGATCAATCAGAGATGGTTGTGGTGAATGCACAATGTGGAGTGCACAACACTACAAAAAATGTAAGTGGGGAAGAGACAAAGGAAAATTCCTGCCCTTTTTCTGAGTGGAAACTCAGTGGGTGTTGTTGTGGTGGAGGGCCTTTTGCATTCTCTTCAATTCCCAAACATAAGGAAAAATTACCTCCCCATAATATGGGAGCTTCTTTGAGGTTGCACTATGAGCTTGAACGAGTTAGTGCTGAGGGTTGGTTTTTCATGTTTTCTCCTCAGATCCAGGTGTATAGCTTACAGACAGGCAAGACAGAGCTGGCGATGGGGAACTCAGCTGGAGATTTCACTTGCGTCAATCTGAGAGACAGCCCGCCACATCTACTGGTCTCTGGGAACAAGGACAGGAGGTACAGACTTTGCTTCCCTCTTCTGAAGAAAGGCCTTATATGATTATAGAAACTCACATTAGAAAGAAGGAGACTTGGCTTCAGTCACTTTTCAGCAAAATGATGTAGACAAATTTTAATTGACCAATGAAACACTTTAAAAGGATTCAATTTTGGAAGGCAGTTCTATTTCTTTCTCAATATACGTCTCTAATTGTGTTCTTTTAGTATCCAAAATTGATTTTGCAGCATCAAAAAGCAGGGTTTAGTCTTCTGTGTCTCCGGCTTTTTTTTGGCAAACCCTCAATGACTGACAACAATAAAAGAGAGGAATGCAAATGAAGAAGTCTGTCGCCACATTCAATTTCAGAGTCCCATTCGTCTTATTCAGATACTTAAAAGTGCTTTGTGGATGGTTGTTTGCTCTTCTTTTTCAATACCTGTAGGCATGTGCGAGAGCACAAAGGAACACTGGAACCCAAAATCTTCTGTACCGCTGCCCAGCGTTCCCATCATTGAACAGCTCACGCCCCTAACATCTGCAGCATGGGAAAAAAAGAAAGGAAAACTCATCTGCAGTAGTGGCTGGCTGCAGAACAGTGTTTGGCAGGAAGTTGCTTGGCATGCCCTGGAAATTAAACTCCTGCCGTGATTTCCTGAATCTATCAGATCTTAAAGAGGCGGCCAAAGCAGGAGGCCATGTGTCTGTGGACAGCGACGGCCCAATTTTAATGGTCCCCCACCTTACCAAACCCCGAGTATCAAAATATAAAACTCAAACCAAAGTCCATTTCAATGATTAGATAGTTTGTGTGTGCAGAGTTGGCCGGACCATTTGGACACTTTATATTGCTCTACGGCCAAAAAAAGAATAGGGAAATGGAAGGAACAGTTCTGGCCTTGCATTAGTGTGGCCAAAGGCCAAGGCCTAATGCATTTCTTTTTCCCCAATTTTTTTTTTGAGTTTCCAGAGAGCAAATTAAGGAGCGACTCCCCTGATAAGGCTGTGCAGTTGGGAGTCTAGTTGGCTTTGCCAAGGAAACATCTGAATAAACAAGAATACATGCTGGGTGCTAAAGAGGATAATGATGGTTTGGGTGCTCAGCCTCTGAATGTACTCCCAAGACAAAAGAGTTTTTCTGCATTGTAAAGCAGTATGGAAGGTTCTTCCTTGTAATTCGGGTTTGGGTGTGATGCTTTCATTTGCTTTTGCTTTCTCAGTCTTAATTTCTTTGAAAGAAATGAAAAATTGGTCAAAGCTGTCAAAGCATTATCCATGACATAAATGGGAACGTGAGATGGAAATTTGCAAAAGTACTGTTTAATAGTTCACAAAGCATTCTGTTTGTGAATTAATTTATCATGAACACACCACCTGTGTTGTTGGAATTTTTTGATAATACAGTATTTGTTCACAAATATTTCATTAATCAAGTTTCATAAAGAGCATTAAAAATCTGTGAGATTATGTTTGTGAAGTCTTAAATTACCTTTGAAAGAGACCATTGTGTATTACACCTACAATTAATGGTCCTAATTATTTACCTTTCATAGAATTACAAGAACAGTGTCTTTCAGAAAGAAACATCTTCATTTAGGATGAAATTCTTTTTCTAGAGTGGTTATTCAACCTGTATGGGTAACTTTGCCACTGTACTATTTAGATCCAATTAAGTAGGGAAACAGTAATATCACAAAAGCCTGTCCGCTTCATGTTGTAAAGGATAATTATTTTGGAGAATCAAAAGTGGACTATTTAATGCCTGCCTAAACAGGGTTGTGTGTTTTCCAAAATTATGGCTGGATGACCATGCCAAGAACAGTTAAATCCCTCCTTGAGAAGCATTTTGTCTTTTAAAAATAGTTGTTCTTCACATAACAGCTGTGTATCCCTTGACGTTCTTTAGGTATTCACAGTCTGGTTAGAATTCACATTCAGTTTCCTCTGTTCTTTTTAAAGGAAAAGTGAGTATTCCATGTTTTCTGAGCCTACTTTGGACAATCTTTCCATGGAGTCATCCCCTGGCTAAATGTGTTCCTAATAAAATTTACAAGAACAGATGGAAGGAAACGGTTGAGCTCCTGTGGCTAGTTTATCTACACTTGTATTAAAGATAGTGGACATTGTCTTAATAAATGGAGTGCTACTTTATTGAAACTGCTGGCGTGTTCTTTATTACCCCATAGAGTTCAAAGGTACTGAAAATACAGCACACTCAGTTAATTAGACCTTTATTAGAAAAATGAAACCAGGCAGATGTGTGGTCTTAAAGCTCTTAATATTTCATACAGCCACTGTAGCCAAGGTCTGTATGTAATTAATCTTTTTCTTTGCTCTTCTATAATGTTTCCTTTTCTTTTTTTAAACTGAAAATTGTGTGTTGAGCTGTTGTTTATGCATCTACTATATTTTGTGAGCACAGAATTACTTTGTCATAATAGTTTGTAATTGGAGTTTGCAGATTTAATACAGTGACCCGAAACTCAGGTTCTTTTTCTGTAGTGCTGAAATTCGTTGATTCTACTTTCATTGTTCCAGGCTTTTAACTTATGTTGAACATTCCTTGTGCATTTCACGTGTAATTCGCTTTTGGAATAGAAGGAAGCAATCAGAACTGGAGTGACAACCAGGACTTCACTTCAATTATCAACCTACTGGAGAGGCTAATTGACAGGAAAGAAAGGGAAATAGTTTTTGACAGCTGCTCAATCAAAACAGAAAAAATTAAATACGAAGAAAAAACACATGCTCTGCTCCTCAGTGACTAGCTGGAAAAAGGATTCTTAATTTTTTGGGACTGTGCCTTTTTTATTCCACTCATCTGCTCTTGTTTTGTGGCTTTAGGGTGAGGGTGTTTGACCTCCGTACTGGGAGCTGTGTGACCTCGTTGTACGCCCATCATCTGGGCGTGTCGGCTGTGCAGACAGATGATTGGAAGATTGTGAGTGGGGGAGAAGAGGGGCTGGTCTGCGTGTGGGAAATGAGAATGGGAGCAAAACTCTGGGAGATGCACAACAGGTAAGACTGTTTTTTTAATTGCAAAATCAATGCATCTCACTACACTATGAAGTAGTAAGGTTGATTAAGAACATCCATATATAAGGAACCAGTTGTTAGCTTTTTATACAACTGCATTTCCACACCATAACCATCAGATCTGAAAAGTTAAGCAAGGTGAGACCCTGATGGTTGATAGGATGGAGGATGGTAGACCTCTACAGAAAAACAGGTTACCACTGGAAGTCACATTTGTGAACCGGTATCCCAGCAACAGAGGACACTGCTGAAGGAGGTGCCATCTTTTGTAATGGTCATTGGTATCCCATTGTATTTACTCTGCATAAGAGTAGGGCTGCTGGTGAAGTAAATTCTTACTTTTTCACCTGATCTGTTGTGTGATGGGGTTGCTGGGGCAGAACCGCTGCTGCCTCTCCTCAATGGGGGCTGCGCTGGTACTAGATGAATTAGGAATTTTAGGTAAAGCACTTTGGGTTCCTTAAGATGAAAACCTCTATACAGTTGCAAGGAATCATTAATTAATTGTTAAGCTTTCAGCTATCATTAATGGGTTAACTATTAACTTATCACAAAACTCATGAGTAGGGACAGTAGTTCCTTGATAACTAATAGTCTGCTTGTTTTGTAAGTTAAATAGGTCTTGCACAAGGCTCTTTGGTAAATGTTAATTTCATAATTGCACTTGACTCTTATAAATTGTTTGTACCTTCTGAAAAGAAAATCTTTTTCCAGCTGTTAGAACATCGATGGATGCTATGATTGAGGGTCACGGTGCAGTCATTCTGTTTACCACTGTGGTGGTTTCACTCTGTTATTTTTGTAACTTCTGGTCATGCTATAGACATCCGGTCCGTCACGTTCGGTTCTCCACCAGCACCCTGGTGACGGCTAACATCCCGGACGAGAAGTACCCTCGAGGTGCCTGCATCACCGACGACGACCTGACTGCACATCGCAGGTCTGTGCCCCTTCCCTCGGCCCCAGCCTTCAGGCTCCTCACATGCTCCCTGCCTTATCTCACTGTCTCCTCTCCCGTCCTCCAGCTTCTGCTTTTCCTGTGGCAAAATTAAGTTAGCGGTCGTAATCTTTGTCTGGAAACATTTCAGGGATGGGGCTTTATGCGTTATGCCTGTGAACAGCAGGGTGTTCGCCTTTAAGCACAGGGCGTGTGCGTAACAAAAAGGAAAAGAAAATGCTAAATCCTATATCTCTGCTGGCAGTAATTGTTCTTGTATAAATCCTGGCTGTAATCAGTATCTCACCTTATGTAATTCAGATGAAATATTTTCTTTACACGCAGGCACAGAGGAGTGATCTACTTGTATGACTTCTCAGTTGACATGTTGGCGCTGGAGCACGTCCTCCCCATCTGTCGGTCAGACTACACGGAATCCACAGGCTACAGTTACAACATTGGACTGGCAATGCCCTATGACATCCTGACGGAGCCCCGGTCTGTCGTGTGACACACACAGGGGCGACGCACATTGCAGCTACACAACATGCACTCACACAGTGCTTGGTGATGCCAGAATAATCTTTAAAAAATATATATATTTAAAAAAAAAGACTTTATTCCTACCCTTTCTCTTTTAAACATCCAGTTCGCTTTTCTTGGAGGGGGGTGGCTTGTTTCGTTATTTTACAATCTGATCTGCTTTTAAGATATTAATTCATGTAATTATGAATGTTGTCAAATAATTTTAAGCTGCAGGGAAAGCTATAATTTGTTGATAATGGTTCAGATAATTAGACCATAAATTAGATATATCTAATTACAGATATGTAGTCTTTCATTTTGTTATGTAAGAAAACTCTGTACAGTACAATACATGTATTTCTTCTTAAACATGTTTTATTTGTAATTTGTTTACCTTTAAAGTTCTTCAATCAGGTTTAAAATGTGATTTATGTTTGAGGGTAATATTAGCTTGTAATCAGTGTGTGATTAATCTGATCAGAACATTATAAGATCTGTATGTAGGGGGAAAATGTAGAATTAAAACAATGTAATTCTTATATGAGTGTGTGTGTCAGAAATGAGTCACTAATCACAACAATTCAGGTAGGTAGACAACATGAAGTTTAATATTACAAGAGTGGAGTTTGAATTTAGTTTTCCAATTACGTGATTTAGTGAGGTGTTTCTCAAGTCAAAAGTCTTTTTGTAAGAGCTATAGTGACGCACAGAATTCATTAACCAGTACTTAGAAAATATTCTTATTGAAAAGTCATTCAAATCAAAATACATGATTTTTGGAAATATAAAATACAAAATATAAAAGTGCAGTTGAGCTGATTGAGGCAAAAGCAAACTTCCCCTGACTCATTGACAATAGTCTAATGACACTAGAGGTCTCAGCAGCCTCAGACAAGCTGATCGCCTGGTCTACAACAGATGATACTGTGAAGGTATAACCTTGTTGTCCTTAACGTGCTATAATAACTGACTCTAAAACAAAGTGCCCTTTACTTACTGATATGAGAGTGAAGCTAAAGACCTGTATCTGTGCTGTGTGCTTCTTCATGTTGGCCTTAACATTGTTTTCATCCAACAAAATACAAATCTCTACAGAATACAATTTTGTGCCAACGAAGAAGCACCTATTCAGCTCTATAAAGTCAGATGTTTTTTGAAATTATCATATCCATTAGTGTTCTGTACAGGTTGCTATGATGGTAAGTACATAACTCCTGTAGAAGGCATAGACATTTTCTGTCTATTGGTATTCCTGTCAGGTTTCCTGACTTTTTGATATTCAATTACTATACATTAATAAGACTTGTCCTGCTTGCCAAAATCCAAGATGTGGTGCTTGACCCTTACTAACATCTAACTTACCTGGTTACTACCATTGAGGTGACAAAATATAATTTATGAAACAGCAGAACAAGAGTGAGCCAGTCTTTAGATGCATTAAGACATTCTTGCTGACCAGGATTTTGATGTTCTGTTCTGCTAAAAGCTACCTCGGAAATAATGTGTGTGTGTAATGTGAGTTAAGGAATAATCTGTATACCTTATTCTACTAAGAGGATGCTTATTAGGATAGGGCTCAGTAAACAATAATTTGCAGTAGTCCAGCAGGTACTTCCACTGGCTGCTTTGATAGTAACCAGGAAGCAAATTGTGCTTGGAAGACTGTGGTACAAGTGGTGTAGTTGCATTAGAGTGGTGTCACCTAGAATGTAAATAAGAGATTGTGGGAAAAGAGCACTACGTAGACAGTTCTGAACTGTTTCCTGCCCAGCTTCTATTTCATATGTATCAAACTGTTCTTAAAACTTCATGTTTCGTCAAGAGTGAAACTCAATGTCAGCCTTAAAGCGAGTACGGGACCTCCTCCAAACCAAACAGTACTTCCTTTGAAGCCAAATCCAAATTAGAGTTAGAACGGGAGTAGCACAGAATCTGAATTGGTTCAGGAAGGCAGGGCCAGGCCATCATGTGGACTGCTAACCTTCAATTGGGCTTTCAAGTAGTTTAGGATTCCCTGAGATTTAGAATTTATTCCAGCAAAGCCTTCTACTCACAGCAAAGACTTTAATAGGATTTTTTTAGTACCATTTAGAATATAAATTTATGCGATTCGTTTTTTTTTTCTGAGTTGCAAAAAATGTTTTTTACAATACCAACTTCCATTCATGTGATTAAAAAGCACAAGCCAGGGAAAGGATGTCCTAGCATCTGCTGATTGCACCAAGAACTGCCTTTCTTTTTTTCACCGACAGTCATCACTTGCAGAGGGTTGTGGTATCCACATATAAAAAATGAATGTTCATCCTTGTTTCTATTTCCAGGCCATTCAAGATCTGCAGAGGAAAGACCAGATTCGATCAATAATGTACTTGTGAGTAAACATACATAATTGGCTAGGGGCAGTTAGTTTCTACTTAAAGAGAGCATGTTCTCACATGCAAAATTCTTCAGTTAGCTGATTTGATCTAGCAATGGTTAGTGTCTTTGCCGTATGTTGTTCTTCCAGAGGAACAGGTTTAAGAAGGAAATTACTGCTGAGTGGATTATAATTGGTACACAAAAGACCAAAGGTTGGGCTAGGATTGTTTTACTTTTAAGTGTTTTAAAAATAATCCTATTATTTTCCCTTGAGTGCTGATGGTTATGCTTGATCAGTTATAGTCAGAATGACATGGAAGGAAAAATGTACATTGTATAAAATTATCAGTATAATGATTTTCTGTGGCTGAGCCTAGGGCATCAGTTTAGCAATCAGAAGCTTCAGCTTTTTAGGAAGGTAGTCTCTTTCCTTCAGTTTTAAAGAGCATCATCTACCTGTGGTTAAAAAGTCACGTTACATAAGTCAAGTAACTGATTCGGTTAAATAGTTGCTCAGTTTGAAAATGAAGAGATCCTTTTACTAAGCATTACAGACCCCTGCTATGAGTAGCTTTCTTCTTTTTTCAAACTTTTTACAGACACAAACCTTAATAAAGTGATCAAAGGTGATGCCCTCATAGAATTCATCAGGTTCCTGGAACAACAATAGAAAGAAATGTGAAACACAATACAGGAGTAGTTCAAAAGAGTATGTTCTTGTTTTCGGTTTTCTGTTTTATGGCTTCTTGTAGCCTTCCTGTGTGATTTTCCATTGTGACTTCTGTCCTGGTGTTTTATCATTTAGATTGTCATTGATACACATTTACTTCAGCAAGCAGCTAATTTTATCTGAGTGGCCTCTCTAGTGGACAGAAGCTCAATCTTTAATAAACAATATTAAAAGTAGTTTTTCACCCATATCACTGTATAGTATATTTAGCAAAGAAAGAAGCCAGGAGATTGCAAGCTGATAGTGTAATTTATAATAATTGCCTCTGGTACAGAAGACTGGTAATTGCCTGGTTTAAGGCAAACCTTAAACCCACCACTAATCGAAAATAAAAATATGGTTTGCAGAGAAACTCTCCACCAGATACTCTATTAAGGAATGTGCAGGGTTGATTGATGGCAGGGTAATATGCTGGTGGTAGATAAGATATGATTTTAACTGTATACCTTCATTTTTGTTGAACACCAAACTGCCTTTGAACATAAGAGTGAAGTCAGACTATGGCAAATTTAGTAATATGTGTTCAACTAACTGCAGGTACAGCTGATGTGACCTTGGTGTTGTGTAACGGGGATTAGAAATTAAAATGGGAATACTCAACCATGTGTCCCACGGTGATGCTCGCAACTTCCAGCATTGCAGCATCTGCTATGGCCGAGGCTGTTTTTTTCTCTAAAGTGCCGCTTCGAGACAAGAGCTCTTCCACAACCTGCAGAGTATGGCAAGAAAAGAGTTAGCCAAAAAAAAACAACATAGTCCTTTTTACATCCTCGACACATAAACCATCATGAATATAACAGACATTTTTAACCAGTTCTATCAGAACTAACATTCTGGGTTTAGATCTCTTAAAAGATTAAGGTTAGTATGTGAATGCAATATACTGAAATATACTGAGGTGCTGACAGCTCTGGCTTTTCGTGTCTCACGCTTGCTTTCGGCCTCGGCTACGTGTCGTTTTTCTGCAGCCTCTAATCCTTTGAGGATCTGGCTATGCCATACTGTACGATCGCGCTTATTACATTGTTTTGTTTTTCATGCATTACCTTCTCTGCTAAAAATTAATTGAAATAAAGTAGCATAATGCAGTTTCTAGCCAATGTTCAGGAAGGAAGACAACAGCCAAGTTCAGTCTCTCAGCTGGCAATAATTTGTAATCAATCCTGATGCAATTTTCTCACCTAAACATCATCCCCTTCACTCCCTCGCTTATGTCTTTTATATCCCTCCTCCACCCCTCTCCACGTCTGCAGCTGCCCCTTGGACACTCCTCACTCTGCTTGGGGTCCTAGTCTCCTCGTCCTGTGGCCAGGAGGCTGGCCCTCAGCCAAGTGGGTTAAGCCAAATTTATTGTGACTAAAACATTCAGACCTTTCAGTACACTTCCTTTGCGTGTGTTGTTATTCCTAGCGAAACGTGGTTCTATAAAAAGAAAGCTGGGACTCCAGATTTTAAGTTCCCAGGTACAGTTACTTGCCAGATAAAGAACATGCTGTATACTTTGGGGTAATGGAAGACAGCAATATCTTCTGACAACTCCTCAGCATTGATAAAGTAATTTTCAATAAATGCTACAACAGTAACATCACAGGGCATGAAGATAATTCCTCCTGCCAGTGGAGGGGGTGTACAGGAAATATCGAGAGTGATGCCGTACATGTTTGTACTCCTCCAAGGTGATTGTGCCATCGTTATCGGTGTCATACATGTTGAAGAGGACTGCAGAAAAAAAGAGGGAGATTTAACTTTAACCATAGCCTTCTATTTAGTGCTCCTATACCTTTTTTTTGCAAAAATATAGGATCTTTCAGGTTGTCTCTCAAATACTGTACGTCTATGCACTGGAGTCTATAAAAAAAATGGAGAGGAAGTGAATAACTTGTTTCCTATTTGAATTTGTCATCTGTTTTTTTCCCCATTATAACGAAGCTCTCCACACTTCTTCCCCATAAATGCAAAGCTCATATTAACTCATACTAGTCATGTTTCCTCAAAGAGTCTGAATAGAAAGATACACGTATTGTTTGGCTGCTGTTTCTTGCCCCGAGGACTGATAAAGGATGAGATTACAGAACTACTTGAAGCCATCCTTCGTACATACGAGTGCCAAAACACCCTTCAGAATGCCAAGACGTTTAACCCTTTAATACCCATCATCGCAAAATATAAAAAATACAATTGCGTCTTGCTTTTGAAGATGAAAAATACTTAAGTTTAAAAAGTTTAGAATCTGCATCACCACACCCACATAATTCAAATTCTGTCACAGTTTCTGCTACTGCCCAGCTGCACAGTAAGAGGACTACAATGGAGTCATTGCTCCTGTAGAATTATTTCCTGAATGTGGAGTAACCTGTACAAGTAAAGGCGGTTAGGTAACTTTTCTAGTCAGCCTGAAATGCACTGCACCACTATACTTACAGCGAAGTTTTTCTTTCCTCACTTTGTCCCGCTGTTCATCGTTCATGCGCAGCTCCGGGGGTCGGAAGTGTCCCATTACAGTAAGAAACTGCTCAAATGTGATCTCCTGAACTGTCCCTGCGCCACCCTTCTCGAAGTTCCTGCACAGGTGCAACTGAAGGTTAGTCCTTCGGTTGCCAAGAGAGGTAACAACCTCTCTTCATTTCTGCAGATATGCAATAGTTTTGTGACCTTTACCACATAGCTAGAATATATTTCAAGGCACATAAAATGGACGTGTTAAGATATCATGGACAACGCAGTGCGCAGATTTTCCATACAGATCTCAAAAGTATCCTTCCTGATTCTGGCATTATCTGAAATGTTTGGTCATTTCTGTGTAACTAAGTAGAAATTATTAGTAATGGAACAGTTTGTTAGCAAGATCTTTGATTTTTCTTTTCAGATTGCAGCTGGTTAGCTAATTTTACGTTATTTCATTTGTACATATAAAGTTGTGATATTTTATGAAAAACTGCAATAAATGCTTTCGTTGGGGTTCATTCTCTTTTGGTTTGGCTGCCGTGCAGGAAAAAAAAAAAACTTCCTGTGCTAATGTGATAATACCAATGCAGAATCTGAGCTGCACCCAAGCTTGTCTCTACCCCTACACGAAAGAGCTTTAATTTTAATATGTTAGTTCTTTTCAAGTATTAGTCCGCCACTTACCTTTTGTCAAAAAAGGCTTCAATGATTTGAGTTTTAATTGGATTGCAATCCAGATTAGGTACATTGTCAAAGTTCTCCCTCCTGCAAGTGAAAGATAACATAGTCATTCTATCTGGAGTTCAGAAATTAGGTAGTATGATTTAAGTAACTAAATAATATATTAGTTCTCTCAATGAAAACCAGTAAACCAATTAAAAATCAGATATTTCACTAATAGCAACATATGTTTCATGCAATAACTTTTTTTTGGTGTCTCCAGTGTTTTGTGCTTTGTGAGCTATAAACCAAAAGTATTTTTACAGTCAACTTAAGATATTACATGATTTACAGTGGATCATCATCTTTTTTTTTCTTTTACATAACCAGCTTGTTTTTACCTTGAGAAAAACAAATGCTAGTTTGTACTCTAGAGGATAGTCATGCAGGGCTGAGCCATGTACTTCTAATAACCTTCATTTTAAACCTGCTCCCAGCTTTAATGTGCTAAAACTAGCAGCTGGCTTTAATATTTATTTTCAAGTACTGAAGAATTAAAACAAGGGCGTTTGTTTTTTTGACCTTATCAAATCTGCTTTTGTTGTGCCAGACTCTTCCTAGAAAACTCATGGCTACTAAAATTAAACATTACTCTATGCATGTGCTGTTTAAACAATGCAGCACTTACACTTGAATGTGCAAACATGTCCGATATGCAGCAGGATTAATGTTTGATTGCATTAAAGATCTTGCATATGTCATTTCTTTCTATTTTTAAACCTCAGTACAAGTGTGTACAATAGATTAGTCCCTCCTGTAGCTTTCAAGATCTAATGATTCTGCAGAAAAATAATACAGCCTCTGATCCCGTTGTGTATGAGATAATGATTTTTATGCATATCTAAAACCTTAATTTACAAAGCAAACACATCACATTATCCTCATTAATAACATAAGGTAAGCCACAACAAAGAAGCCTTTAGAAGTGTTTGTTTTTATGATATGGCTTGTAGACAAGATGAATCACAGGCTGGAAAAAAAGTGGTGCACAACCAAGAAATCCACTGGTGGGACCCTAGATTTGGCCAGGATCCAGTGGCAGCTGGTAATCCAGACAAATGTGGAGGCATAAATCATTTTCTCGGGTCTGACTCCCCATCATGAGCTTCACTCAGTAGGTGGTTCAGTTGGAGGCATGTCAGAGATCTTTAGAGGCAAAACTGAAGACAACCAATAGCTGGGTGGACTGGAGTAGTGGCATACCTACGTTGTTGCAAGTTTTGCGTAGCTTTCATTGAATTGGGGAGTTTGTTGTTGGCTTTCAAAAAGAGCTACTCAGCTGCTTGTTAAAACACCATGCTCTTTGTGCGACACCCCCTTGTCTGCTAACCTTGCAAAACAGACCGAAAGATGTTGAACAGTTAGCACCAGGACTTACTGGAGAGTGTCTTCATCTTGGCTCAGTTGTTTAAAACGCTTGTGCAGAGTCTCAATTTGCTCCAGTGAAACTGGAACAAAAGGAAAGAGAAGTTCACGTCCAAACATGTCCAAGAATGTTAAATCTTGATTCCACTGAAGATCCCAAGGACTTTAGAAGAGTATGTTAAAACAGGATAATTTCACTGAAAAAAGCCCACATTTCAATATAGACTTGACTATTTTTAGGTTCAAAGCCCCAGGACATGAAAGCAGAATACATTTATGAGAAGCTTATCCAAAGTGGCACTCTCACAGGGTGCAAGTAGTATTTGAAATGTAGTTTGTTCAGACAGTAGATGGCAACCAGGTATAGCATTTTAATTTCTTAACACATTTAGAAAACTGTACCCAAAAACTGTAATTCAAGGATCATGTCATTTTATTACTGAAAATCTTAATTAATTTTATCAGTTGCATTATAACCAAGTTCTTTTTGACAAATCTAACATTCTTGAAGTTCAACATTTATAAGCCATCTCCAATGCATTCCACAGTTTGCAGTCAACTTTCTTGTTGTCATATGTTTCTGGGATTCGATGCGCAAAGTAGGTGTGTTTAATTTACTGTATTAAGACTGGTCTTTTTGTATGTTATGTCCTAGGTTAGTGTGCGTGAAGTGTTGCGCGCGCTTCTGTGAAAACATTTCTTTTTAACTGTCTGTACATAAAAAATTTGCCTTGTTTATGATTAGTACTGCAACTGAGAAAACTAATTTGGGTGGGAATGACCTGACGAGATGAAAATTTCAGCATTAGCAAATTGCATTTCATAATCTGTTAAGAGAGAATCAGCAATGAAGGAAAGGTGACTTTTAAACATCTGTTTCTAAGTTAAGAACCTTAAAACACATCCTAATTGTTCCATATTATCCTAAATCATACATGGGCCTTATTATATACAGTATCTACACATTAAAAATGATCAAGCCCAGACAGCTGTGCATAACATACTAGTTCCTGTTTTGGCAGTTATTAAAGTTAAACGCGGTTTGAAAACATTTTAACACAAGGTTTGTGAAAGAATGACGTGGTGACAAAACAACCTGAATGCATGGGTGGAGCATGAATATGTTCACTTAGTATACTGTATTCATGTAATGCCGTTGGCATTTGTTGTTTTACAGAGCAACAAAACACAATTTTGACAAACTGGGTTAAGAATGGAAATTTCCTGAGTGATACTGCTTTACAGAAGGCAGCTGACAAAGCTAAAGACCTTCATAATTTAGTTATTAAAGCCTTGAAAAAATACTTATTTTTCTCAGTAATAACAGTAATAAAATATTATTACACAGTGCCATGCATATTATGTAAATACCTGCATCTAATAAAATATTTGCATGCTGTAGGTGCATTTAGTTTGGTTTAATATAAATTCTAAAGATTACAGTTTTTACAAAGAGATTCAGCAGTCATGTACAGTATATCGTAAGTGGAAAGAAGATGCATCAAGTTAGTATGCAAGACTCAAAATACTTAGATGAATGTTTTCACTGTGGTTTTGCTGCAATGTAAAAGTATTTCATACCACCTACTGTAAGTGAAAAACAATGGCCTGGTCTTCAAAGCACACTTCCTTTTTAACAAAGGCAACTTGAAACATTGAATGGTAATTGTTTTCAGTACTTCATTTTAACTTAAGTCTGCAAACAAATATAAAAGTATTTTAGCAACTCGTTGCAATAGTCTAAGTATTATGTAAGATTTGCTTTGTTCCCATTTGGTTGTAATCCTGAGATCTTTCTACCACTTGTCTTTGAATTATGTTTGCACTTAGTTATAAATTCAATAGTTGGTGAATCTCTTTGGAGCAAAGCCCTGAACAAAAAAACAAAAACAAAAGAATATCACACCTTTACCTTGGTAAATATCTGGGTTGTTGCCCTGTGGATTTGAATAATTCTGATGGTATAAAAAAATGAAAGTGTTTGTTCCTTCATTCTCTGTATTCGGAAGCAACAATGTATTCAAATGAATTTCCAAGAGTCAGGAGGCCTCTAGGATTTTACAGTCAAATGGAAGAGAAAGTAAAAGCAGAAGTGACATACAAGAAGCAAAACGAGGACTCTGAGAACAGGTGAGAAGATGTGGGGGTTATCTCTCTTTTCTTCTGTGATTAGTCTCTTGATTTTATTCCCTGTCACATTGCATTGTCTTCTCTTCTTTTGTTTTAAAGCACCTCAGTGATTGATAGGCACTTAGTTGGTGTACAGGATTACTATGAACCTCAGTTCCAAACAAGTGTTTCCAGGGGGTGTTTAAAAAAAACACTACTTTCTCAGAAATATTTTATGTTATTTTATATTCCTTCTAGGTTATTCTGGACTTTTAGTGTTTTTACTCTGTTACAGTATATTTCTCTCTACTCATCCTTCAAGTTAAGTCAAGTTCAGGTTTATTGTCATCATACTCATACACAGGTATATGGTATAATGAAATACTATTTAGCTCCAGTAGCTCTAGACGGTAAGTAGTACAAAAAACAATAAAACAATTGTATAAGAAAAAAAGATAGAGACAACAGGCAATGTGCAAAATAACAACAGATAATGTCCTTCCTGTGCTTTGTGTAAAAAAAGTGATCATTGACAACAAATAGTTTTTGACCATCCAGAAGAGAAAATAGTGCAACAACGACTGGGAGTTCATTTTGTCTTTTCACCTGCAAGATCTGTTTTAAGGGTTTAGGTGCTTTGACAAAGCAGCCACTGACTTATCGGGGAGGTGGTATGCATGTGTGGGGGATGGGGGTTTTGTATCGAGTAACAGAAAATCAAAACCTGCTCCTTGACATATACGTTATCTCATTAGGGTTTTGGCACCTAACTGAGGAAAGAGATCGGGACAGACATCTGAAATATTCTCACTGGGACTCAAGGTATACAGAGTCAGCCAAGCCGTTAGGAAATTGGGTTTCTTTGGCAAGAGCAGAGGTTGAATGCATGTGCTCTGAATGAATGAATAAGCAAGTTTAGTTTCAAACTTTTCTGTTCCTATCCTCTTTTTTTGTCTTGTCTTGTTTTGAATTGGCTGTATGCTGAATCAAGTAAAGTCTGAGGGTCAAGCCAATGAAAGTAAACATGGAATGTAAAGTAAAAATTCTACTTTTGCAGTATTTTCTACGACAAAGAAGGTGAGTGAAATTCACCCTGATGTTATTGTATTTTAACTACTCACGCACATCTATACCAAAGCTCCCTGGATAATTGATGTGCTTGTTTGCAGTGCTAGCAAAGCAAACAATGAAAATTGGCCAACCACTTATGAACAAAGCAGGCATACAGTAATTAGCAGGTGTATCCAAAACACTGACAGACAACTAATCTGAACAAACACTCGACTGTCTGTATTTGAGAGTTTTTTAATCCTTCAGCGGTACTCTTCTTACAGGGAAGAGATATATGTGGTTTGTGCTTGAGCTAGGGCAGAAGGTTTATGTCAGACCTTCAGAGTGACAGCATTATTTTTAAACACAGAGGCTTTTCTTCAGGCTGCGGAAATTTATTGCAAGAGCCTGGCTTACATGTCCTCTCACAATTGCTCAACACTGAAGGTCTGAAGTCAGCTGTGTCGTTTGTCAAGATCACGAAAGACTGGAGTTTGTTTAGCATTACTATTATGTTACAGGGTGTGATAAACGGATAACTATATAGCCAACTATACATTATCCAGGTATTTGATTACTAGAATGTGTATGTATTTTTTTGTTCAACGCAATGGTTGCACTTCCCTTTAAAACAGTCATCAGTTGTTGTAAACTCAAACTTCCTCTTTGTTTCTAGACTCTTACAACAAAGGGAATATTACAATTCAGATCCTTCAGATCTCGCCTTCTGTCGTTTTCAGTCAGACCAGAAAAACTGCGCATCAAAGACCGCAAGAAGTCACGGGCGTGCGATTAATAATTAATCTGCGTTTGTATGTTCTCTGATGTCAGCTAAACGTTTTTACGTTTTACTGTAAGTCCAAATCTGACTTTATACAGGAAATCTCAATGATAATACCACAAGTTGAGTTTTCAAAGTAGTCTCGCCCGATAAATGATAGATTTTTCTCAATACACTTTCCTTTTATTAGATCCTAATCTTAAATGCAACAAATTACCTCCCAATAACTGAAAGATTCTCAGTGATACTTGATTTTTATTCAAATACGCACTGCTGCGAAGTCCGGTTACAGTGTCGAATAAATAATTCACGTTCATGTACAGTATTTAAAATCCTCCAATTAATATTAAAAATGATCAAGAATTTAACATACTCACAGCCTGTTTTATCCGCGAGTTGTCGGAATTGTTGCTCGTGGGGTCCAGAGTGAAAAGCTCCCATCACTACTGTTTACCTTTTCCTAACAATATAGCGGTACTTCTGACATTTAAAAAATTAAAGTTGCCACAGAATGGTAGCGATGGTAGCGATCAAAGCTGGTGACTGTGAGCGCTCTAGTTCTCTGTGTGTGTGGCACTGCAGCCTCACTCACCGAGTGGGTGCGTTTTCTACAAGGAAGGCTTGAGGCATGAGGCTGGTGTTATTCTCCGTCGGCGAATGATGCTGTCGAATTTCCCCGAGGTCCTAATGTTGAGCAGAGCCGTCACGCACTGAGGCACGCAGGCTTGTGCAGAGCAGAAGTACCCTATACTGTTATCCAATACTTTTCACGGGGGAAGGCGATAAATTAAAGGCACTTCATTATGGGAAGGAATAATAAAAAAAGAAGGAAAGAAAAATTAGCTATCCTAGTAAAAGAAGAAAAAACAGCAAACTTAAGAGTTATTTTCCAAAACAACGACTTAAGCATCATAGTTCACCTAACATACATTTGAAAACATTTATATGCTACGGCGAGGCTCTGAATAATATGGCACCCTAAAGCTATCAGAGCTATGTGATTAGTTGTTGTCTAGATTTTGGCTCCCTGTTAAATATATTACCAGCAACACTTCTAAACATTAAAACTTAAACTGGACCCTGTATCTTTTCGGAGTTCTCTTTTTAGTTTTCACCTGTTGGGTTATAGAATAGCAAAACGGGCCTGGAAAAGGGAATACTTAGGGCTGAGACACAGTTATTGACAGCAACAGGTGTGTAAATGTAAAATTTTAAATGGGCTTTTTTGTAGCAGTATATTGTGTGGCGTAAACTGTAAATGTGCCATTTGATTTCTTTAAAGGTGCATAACTTTTGTTAATATACAGTTTCCATTGATAGTCTAGTTAGAAATAAGTATCTGACTTATGTCAGTTAAAAACTCTGCAAATGATCATTAGTAAGGGTCACTTACTACCAGGATGTTGACATGGTATTGATATTCACCTCATGTGTTGTGGCAGGTGTCTCCAGGCAGTTCCCAGAGGGCATAGTGCCAAACAGTTTTTGTTCCACCTCTGTTACATAATCAGTTTAATTATTTAACTGTAATTGTAATACTTCTAAGCAAGGTCCAGGGTATTTTATAGGTAACTGTACCCTTTAGATTAGGTTAATTGTATAATCAAATGTGTAGGTTGAAGGTAAACACTAGACCCTCCAGGTACTTAGCTTGACACTCTTGATTTGTAGGTTTTTACTTGAATTTGTAGCCCCTATCTAGAAATGTTAACAGCACTTTTAATACTTAAGTAATACAGGTTCATGAACATGTTAAGGTTGCTGAAAATATAGTGGGCCAAACAAGACCACTGTTGATGACAACACAGATCTATGCAAGTAACTATTAATACAACACATTTTTAGTGTTAATATTTCATTGGCAGCCACTTTGCCCTTCATGGCATGCCATTATGTTTATAACATGAACGTGTTGCCATAGGCTCAGTGCATTCTTCACTTTGGGTATCAGTACTTGCCTGTGTTAAACAACACTTTTGGTGTGTATAATCTTGTAAATATTAGATGCATATCTGTTGTACAGTACGTACACCCATTACTTTTTTTTATGCATTCGTTTTTTGGGGATTTAACAGAGAAAAAAACAGAAGCTAATTTTAAACAAAAAACATTATCAACAATTTTTTAGATATGCAGTTATACAGAAATCTGTGTAACTCTATTAATGTAATTTGAATGAACCGCTGTCACTGGCAAAGAGAAACTGAAATCTGCTTTCATGTCTATGAAAGGCTGGATGGCTTTATTCTGGTCTTCAGCTCACATAACTTTGCAGACAGCTAGGCCATAGATTTGTTGTGACTTGAACATGTACGGAAAAATCATTTCTACTATGGTACCATAAAAAATACTGTGTAAAGTACTAGTAAAATGTTTCAATGAAAGCGGGGTGGTGTTGGTAAAAGCTCTGAAAATGTAGTGAATTCTCTAGGTGGCATTGCTTCTAATGTGCCTACATTTTGTTATTCAAAAGCCTATCTCCTATCTATTGATTTTTCCGAAAACTTGGCCACATACCTCCCGTTTTATATACAACAATGACATTATATACAGCAAAGACACTGTAACACTGCAGGCTTCAGTCTAAGACAACGGAAGAGCAATTTGGACGCAGATACTGTAGCTGCAGCATGGGCTTCTGACTTTGCCTGATGCAAGAAAAGACAAAACTGTTCTTCCTTTGAACAGATCAATGTAACTGAAAAAGCAATTGCCATACTGCTCTGTGTTCTGTTCCCTCTACCACACTTCCATCAATATTTACGACTAATTATATATATATAAAAAAACTTTTAAGTGGTCATTTATTTCTGCATATTATGGCACTAGAGCAACCTGATGTAATGTCCAAAGTTTCCAAACTCCTTTCTCTCCTTATTTCTGGACTGTTGATAAGTTGTAAAAGCATATAATGGTAGTATTAGATATTAAACTTGTTCGTAATTCTCGATTTGTTACCCTCTTTGCTGCCACCTGGTGTTATGTTTTATAAACTGCACTAAATGACATTTTAAAATTATGATCAGTGCAACATACATGTAGTGGAAACCTAAACCAGATAAAATCATTTTGTATCACATTAATCAGTAATTAAAAAAAGGATTAGGCATTCTTAAATGCTGTGCAGAATACCCAGTCAAACACATTTAGAAAGAATCAACACAATAAAAATGTGATAAAAGTTATTCTCACCTCAAAATGGACTTAACACCTTTAAAATGAACACCAGTTTAATATTTGCTTACATTAACTGAAATCTGTTTCAGAATTTTTTAGCTGACAAAATCATCTTGCGTTACAAAAGAATATATCAATTTCACATTTGTGCCCATACAATAAATGGCTAACAATTCAGTACTATTAATTGGAAAGTAAATCACCTTTCATATTTCTTTTGGCAGCATATGGACAAAACACAAAAGCCCTTGCTCATTTTTAACTACAGATCTTTACTTGTAAATTTACAGAAAAGTTAACCCAGGAAGGTCAAAGTGAGTATATTCAAGTGTAACATCGCTGTCTTGCAGAAGCAACATTCTTAATTTCTTTCCTTGTAAGGGATTGGGGAAAAAGGAGGGATGGTTTTAAGGTTGGAAGGTAACGTATTCTTGGCAAGTGGCTTGAAGCCTGACTAATGTAAGTCTCGGCACAAAGTGTTAAACCGCAGTGACAGCGCTAAACTTTCAGCGAACTGCATAGCTGTGGATCTGTTCCTTCCTCATGCCCTGAGTTAGTGTTCAGTTTGTTATACTGCTCTGGTACAGTTCGAAGAGTCTCAGCTGTGTCTTCTGGATAACGTGTCTGGAGCTCCTCGTTAGCGGTGTAATGGGTGTCTGAGAATTCGGCAAAGTATCGTCCAATTTCCGGATGTCCAATTTCCAGTGGAGAGGGGTGGAATTCCAGGTTTTCTAGTGTAAGGAGAAAAGAGAAATTGACTGCTGAGATGCCCTGGTCCTTATTCTTTTATCAAATGTATAAGTAGCAATTTCTGTTTTTTTCTCATTGCAGTAATAATATTACAATGCTTAGGCTACGTCTCAACTTTGACCCATACGACATTCACACAGTGCTTGATGATAGGATTCCACTGGTGAGCGATTCTTTTCTTTAAAAAACAAGAGTCTTGCAATTAACAAATCATCCCTCCTCTCCTTCTGGGGATGTTTTCTCCCATGTATTTTTGATTTCCTTCAGCAGAAAAAAAGACAGCACATAAAGATAAGAATATATTTAACTTCTTTAAACATTTTTTCTGACAGCAACTGGCACAAAAAAAAGTTTAAGTCTGCATGCTTATCCTCCTTCACACAAGGGTGGCTGTGTCTGGAGAATTTTCTGACCCATGGCTAAACTCCAATGAACTACAACTGGAAACGGACCTTTTCAGCTTGGAACTCTCCTGTCCAGGACAACAGATTGCAAATAAGAGGGAGAACCATTACCCTGCGCTGCATATCGACACGTGCCATCCTGGACCAGGACATTGTAGAAAGGTTGGTTGGGTCCTTTTGCCAGCTGATGGACCCTCATCGTGGTAATCCATTCCATGCTCATCATGCACTTGGGATCCCAGCCATAAATCACACAGCTGTACCCTGATCTAGAAGAAAAACATCATATCACAGGCTCAAAAATGACCATATCAACATGGTGTTCAAGAAGGGAGTTGCGTCAGCATGCGTAGGCTGCAAAGGAACAAGTAAAAGTTTATTCCATGCTGAAAAGAGAAGAAAAGAAACACAACGTTTCGGCTGTGGAGCCTTCTTTGGGCCCTTCTTGACCCGAAGAAGGCTCCACAGCCGAAACGTTGCGTTTCTTTTCTTCTCTTTTCAGCATGGAATAAACCTTTACTTGTTCCATATCAACAAGGTGGTTTGTTATTCAGGTAAAACACTATATTAATTAGGTAAGCCCACTTCCTCCAAGATAGTCTTGTCTTCATTTGGGCCAGTCTTCCGGGAGTATTTGGGTTATTATTGTATACTAGTGATCTTCCAGGGCTGCAATCCAGTAGGTTTCTCTTCACACCATTAAGAGATTAGAACATGGTGTTAGGAATGTGATAGGTGGAAAGAGATAAAGAGATGTGTATGGATTGCGGTGTCTTTTCCCACCTGCTGTGCTAACAACAGTGCACCCTGATGTGTCCTGGTGGTAGATGGTGAAAGAGCAGTACGCACCCTGGCGTACACAAAAGGCAGCCAGGCCCACCGTTTGTGTTTCATGATGAGCCCCACGGAGAACTCCACTTCATGGTGCACAGGGTCAGTGCGCTTCTTGATCTCGGGCTCGGCGGGGTGCCTCTTATGCTGAATGTGCTCCAGCGTGTGCTGCACCAGGTACCCCACTGCGCCGTGCTGTGAGGGGTCCAGGGCCTGGATGTGCTGCAGAATATCCAGGACCTGAGAGACAGACCGAGACAGCGGTCACATCCTGATTGCCTGACAAATGAAACAAGCCATTTCAAGATCTGATGGGAAGATTGTTCAGTTTTGATTAGTGGACTGTCTTGCTTCTTCAGTCACCATCATATTTTTTCTTGAGATTTATCAACCCATAACTGAGAACTGTTTCCTTTGTGGTGCAAAAGAAAACATAGGCGATGCCGTTCGGATTACGAGAGGATCTTTCCTACCTTCTCAGGCCAGATGCCCAAGTGGAAGTACAGCCTGGCCTGCAGGAGCAAGTACTGCACATTATCAGGGTTAATGGTGAGGTAGAGATCAAGGGAGTCTCTCAAAAGCTGGTAGGATTTCTCATTGCCTTCTCTGTGAAAGCACAGAACACAACACAGAGGTATGCTCAATAAAAGAGATAGTGATGACAAGAAGTAACTCATTCTTACTGGTTATTGGTAATCTCACCCTCGCTTGCCAATGTTCAGAAGATTTCCCACCATTCTTAGCAGCACTTCTGTGGTGCTGACTGCGCAGTAATAGTCTGACGTCACCTGGTGACCAATGAGGTATTCACATTCCTTTGCTGTCAGTTGCTTTCCTTTCCCAAAAGTGTCAATGTAAACATAATCATAGATATCAGGCTTCCTAGGATGACACAAATGAAAATCTGTAAGCACAGATAGTCTCGTATTCAGTTTAAAATGGCAATTTTAAAGCCACTTTTAAAAAAAACAACATCTTATTTTAGTAAATGACCCAAGTTTTATGATGTCAGATGATGTATTATTGTGAAAATTAAGTGAACTGTTACACAAGAACAGTATTGTGGTCCACAATGTGAACTGACGGTTTTTAAAAGATGGCCTGGATATGCTTGTTGTCCAAAGGTATTCTCTTCCTCCACTTACCCTTGATGTTGTTGGCACCATCGGAGAAGGAAGTGATTGGGGAAGTTCACGGGTTCTAATTTTACTCCTAACTTCCTTGCTAGTGTTAAGTACAAAACAGAGAGGCTGATGGGAATGCCAGTCCTACGAATTAGCACCTGGAAGGAGGCAGATCTGTTAATGGAAACCTAAACTCATGGCAACAAAAAACATATCTTCAGGAATAACAAAATAGATGTAGCTTCCTAGTTTAACAGTTGTAGATGAAGATTTTTATTTATATACTGATCTGAACAAGCCACACATTGATAACCACAACTGGAGAAATCAATTTCTATTTTTTCTTCTCATAAAGCTTTCATTTGGCACACATGCTGATGCCCTAATTTTTTTTAAAAACAAGACAGGACCCATCTTCTGACACACACAACAAAATAATGGTAAAAGGTTGGAGATAACTTGAAAGTTTTTGTAAAGTACCTTAGTGTCACAATAATCAGTCTGAATAAACTGAACAAAACACAAAATAATGGTGTGAAATAACCCAAATTATAATAATGCCTGCCTCATTCGGTATTTGCAAACAGTCCTATCTAAATATCAAAACACATATCCAGTTCTTTTGATCCCAGCATTACTCATTGCAGGATCATACGTCTCCAAGCACGTATTCTTAATAATCTCAAAACAGAGACTGTATTGAACTTGCTTTAATGAGGCCATTAACCATTACACACTTTGCATCAGACATACAATTTTTATACCTTCTGCCACTTGTAATCAAATACAGTATCTGTTATTCAGATTTAATTAGATACTGCAGCACAGTATATGCGAAAACAGGCACCTTGACTAGACATGAAATTATTGTGTGGGATTGCTTATTGCTAGGTGTGCATCTGCAGCATCAACAGATCACCTTGCTTTTCTGAAAAGGTTATTCTTTATGCATAAATCCTGGACTTTACCTGGTGAAGGTATGAGTTGAGAGGGTTGTAATAGTCACACTCATTGCCTTTATATTGAAGTTGATCGTAGAGGACAGAGTTTAGAGCACACACCACTTGTCTCTGTTGCTCAAAATCGTCAATCAGGGACCCATCATCTAAACACAGTCAGTGGGAGAGGCTCAGACTGACACACAAGGGCTCACCAGCAAAGCTCACTGTGCAATGCCAAAAGGAATAAATATTACATGCTAAGGTTCGTGCAGTTGTAATTACACATTATCTGCATTTAAAATATTACATCACTAAAATGATCGATGTTTTCATTGTAGAGGAATCCTTGACAAATTGATTGCTCTACAGACAAAACACACTAATGACTCCTCGAGAAACGGATTGCTCTACAGAGAAGACATGCTTACCTTCAGTTGCTCTCAAGCTGGGGTGCGAAGGATTTTTAATCTGAAGTGTTTTCTTGATCTTGTCCACAATCTCGTCCAGCTGAGTTGAGATGGACTGCAGGGACACGTCTGCAAGAGGGTTACAGTACTGGTCTACCAGTACTGCACCTGAAAGAAGACACCAAGCCAGTCAGCAATGAAGAAAGCCACATTGCCTTCTGGGCTGGACCTATGCAGACGACTGACCTGGTAAGAAAAAATAACCCATTTTGCTGTGTCGCCCTATATGGCTTAAATGATGCACCAAAATAAAACGAGTTCAGAACTCGGATAAAACAAGAAATATAGAATAAAATTCAAGTCAGAATATTTTAGAGTTTTGTGGTTCTTAAAAGAATATAAAAAGTATTTTAAAAGTTACTTGCTTGGGTGCCAATGCTGTTTTAGAACATAATGGCATAAGACATATTCTGACAAAGTCATTTGAAAGTAACAGGATTCACATCTGGAATCTGCATTTATGTCAGAAGCACGTCTGCTTCAGGCCCTGTACTCACCCTCTATAGTGGACTGTTGCTCTGGGGGTCTGGCAAGGAAGCTCTTCAAACTTTTCAGGATGTTTTGCTGTCGGAGAAAATACAGGATTTTCTTTGCATAGTACTTCAATGTCAAGTTCTTCCTGAAAGCCAGAGGACAGGAAAGGAGATGGAAAATGACAGAATTCCATGAAAAACACCACATTTAGGCTACTCATAATTTCATGCAAAAATGTTTATTTATGGATGTAGAAGCACTGTTGAATATCTAGTCTTTCTGACAGAATCGGTTCTCTTCCAAAACATTAAAAGTTTACAAGACAGATCTATACAATGTCTATTTAGTAAGTCTTCTGAAAACCACTACATTCAGTTGAAAGTCTGACCAGCAAATGTTTCACTAGGAAAATGTAATATCAGAGAACTCAAATATCATTTTTTATTACCCGGCAGGAATTAAAAATAGGGAAAAGGCTAGTGACCAAAGTTAGCTAGGAAAAGTCTAGAGTGGAAAACAGGATTACAGGAAAGTCTCAGTATTATTTGCCACCCACCTTCTGTCTGAGTTTAATATTGAGATGAGCTCATCTTCGCAGAAATGTTCAGGGGCCCCCAAAGACTCGATCTCGGTGAAGCTGTCCCCCAGAACCTGACCAATGCAAGGCTGTTACAGATCACTGGGTTAGTGTTATAGCGCAAGCCACGTGCTTACCATCCTAGCAATGCGAAACACATGTAGCAGCGTAAGAGGAGGCAGTAAAAGACACCTTCTGTAGGACAAGGACACACTATTAGAAAGGAAAAGGAAAGCCAGTAAAAGACACATCCTGCATTTCTTTGAATACCACTGAAAGTCCGGAGAACACTCAGATGAACATGTAAACTCCACCTAGACAGGTGCTCCAGTACAGGACTGAGTCCAGAATTACTGTGCTGCCCCGTTAAGTAAGTCATTCTCCCTCTATCTCACAGCCATTCATGATCAGTACTTAAATTCTAATTCATTAACCACCAAGGAGCTCTGAATGAATTCTTTCTAGGGGGCCGTTTCACATTACATGTGAAACAATGTATTTTAATTCCTCCTGTTAAGTTTGTGTCTGATGGGGTGAAAAACAGACCTCAAAAACTCATGTAGCTATCTAAGCAATTCAGTTTAAAATCAGTGTAAGGCACCAATAAAAACACAAAAGGTACTTACTACTTCTGCAAAAAATCTCTTGGAAAACGACTCCACTGTTCTTCTGATCTGTAGGCCAACAACATACCGCTTTCTGTACTCTTTCAACCAGTCATGGGATTCTGTCTGAGGATAATGCTTCAGCAATCCGGGCCATCTAAGAATAAATGTGAGGTTACCTCAAACTGTCAAAACTCCGTGTTTGCCAGACAACTGGAATGAAAAGTCTGTGAGATTCAACATTTAATAAAAAGGGTTTTAATGGGGAGCATAGGTCTCGTGATATCTGTGATATAATTCCGTGCCTGTATATGTCATACATTCAAAACAAACTTATTGAAATGCTTCCCGGTTCTAGCGCTGTTTGGAGACTATGTGCAGAGTACCATATAAATCTCATGCTTGTGCGTAGTGCTTGTAATTCTGAAGTGCCCTAATCTTAACATGATTTGTCTTTTAATCTACTTCCTGGCTCCGCAGATTTCTGAAAATATGTGCAATAGTCCACTATTAGTCAGGCAGTTAGTATGGATTTGCAGTGTTCTAACGAAACCAGCTGTAGACAGAGAGAAGCGTGACATATTTCAGCCTTGCAGCATTCAGAATCCCCTCGGGGTAAACAGAAATACATGAGGGATAGCCAATGAATGAATGAGAGCATAAAAATAAATAATAAATTACGTCATCTAAAATATACTTAAATTATTCAAGGTCGAAAGATGTATTCAACCGTGCATGCTTTTTTTACGAAAGTGTAAGCAAGCGGAGTCTTTGATCGGGGCTGTATGATTTCACAATTGCGGTAAAATATTTATCCATTTTCGTTTTTACATGCATTAGCACAAATTTCAGGCTCTCGCAGTTGTGACAGCCGCAGTGACTGTTCGCCGAATCCCTTCACGTCAGTTCAGCAATTTGACAAAAAAAAACGTTCTACTGCTACACATTTAAAAGTGCGTCAATGGATAACGTCTAATGAAAGTATTCTGGGAGGGTTTTTTCTTTTTTCACCTGAGTTTATATTGATGCTCCCAAACCTTTCCTCTTCCATGACAGACATCGTGCAATCGCTTGCAAGCGCAAGAGACATTGGCAATATCACGATTGTTCAAGACGGGGAAACACAAAATGTATTCCAGCAATTCAGCCGGTAGGTCGGTTAGTTTTTTCCCGCTTGCCTCGGACACCTTTCCGTTTAATCCCGAGTGCCCATCTCCAGCAGCCGAAGTAGCCATCTTCCCTGTTTACTCCAGTGACCTCACTGCGAAGACCACTCCAGTGCGGCTGTACAGCTGGGCCGAGCTTTGACATTCTCCGAGGGAACATCTCCAAATTATCACTAATCCACAATAATGTAAATCAAAACATTATTATTAGTATTTAAAACTAAACAGAAATAATACATATGTTACACACATAGTATTAGAATAGTATTGGAAGATTATAAAAAATCCCATCCATCCCGTTAAGGATCCCATCCATAAAAGATTTCTTTTAGAGTGACCTATTGATTTAATATACATTTGTTTAATTAATTTTAATTTAATTTATTGTTTTAAACATAAATCATATCTAAAGATTTAAATTTAAACGTATAGGTAGCAACACTTGAAACCATGTCATATTTTAGTTCGAATTAATCATTTAGCTCGACAAACCAGTAAATAATTCTGCGTATTCAATACATAATGTTGTTATAAATAGTAAATTACTATAGAATTAATTACACAACAAGAGTTTCTGTCTCCTCATTTGAGCACAAACTCCTCATTTGACATGAAGTTCTAAACAAGAGTTTCTTGGGTGTTGAATAACATAAAAATTCAAAACAAATTAGTAGGAATTGAATACGAATTAACATGTATCCGCATGATATTAAAAGCCAGAATATTGAAAGAAAGTTATGTTCTTTTATGACGCACCCTAACGGATAAAGGGGTTGGTCCTAAGTAAATTTTCCTCCAATCAACATCATCCATCTTCAACTATTATCCAATGAATAGTGAATGATGTGGCTGTTGGGCGGTGCTACGAGTGAACAAGTAACACCATACGCGTCAATGAAAATCCTCATTTTGGGATTGTTTGGGAAAACGTCATCCACGATCTAGCCTATAGATACGCTTTCCCGGAATTATGTATTTAAATTGGACAAAATAAACCAATCGCGTTTACAGAGGTCGATGGTAGGGGCCTCCTCTGGAACAGGCTCACGGGTTGTGTTGTGGCTTTGTCTTGCATTTGCAACTTTGTAATCGTTCACCAGGAGTGTTTCGAAAAGTTACGTCTCAAGAGGAAACAAAATAAATAAAGATAGGGGTTGAGTCCGTCCCCGCCCCAGTGGAATATAATGTTTTACTGTATTCGAAAATCTGAGATGAGAAACTTCTGGAATGTACTAGTGGGAAAGCATTTCTTCAAGAGAAAATAATTTACTGCAACTGGACGTATCACAGAAGTCCCTTCGTAGTCTTCGAGCAGCTGTAGCTTCCTACCCTAGCTAAAGAAAGGGGAAGAAACATGAAACTGGACAGTTTATGAAAGATATCTGCATGGGTTGGGATGTCAATAAGGAAGCTGTAAATTGAAAATGCACTCATAAGTAGGACTACAAAAAGGTTCATGCGTGCGCGCCCGAGTTCGTGTTGCTGCTTTTAAAGGGTCTTAACATAGGTACGAGAAACAAAAATTAACACTAAATATTGAGCCTTTTGTTGCCACGTCCAGGTTTGAGTGACATCATTACAATGAAAACCGTAACACCGGAATGAGCACGTCTGAATATTGTGCCTGTGAAGTAACTGATGATATTTAATCATCAGAAAGCTGATGATTTAAAGTAATTCAATCAAGGGACTTTCTTTTTTGGCTGGGGACTTTGATAAATGTAGTCTTCTACAATCTGCCTGCGCTAAAATGATGACCTGAGTTTGGATTTGGAACATCTCCACGTTGTAGTTTTTTTTAAAAAGAACTCTGCAAATTTGACTTTTTTCGGAAATAAGTTTTTATCTTTTTTTTTTTGCTTTAGTTGGGGCTTATGAGGGAATAATGTTTCATTCAAGACGAATGACGTTCTGCAAGCAAAACGTTTTTACGTGGGGTGCAGTTTAAACTGAAGCAGTGCAAAAAATAACTTTACATGAAAACAAATTAAAATTAGATATAGAACGTCCATTCACAATGGCGAGTGCTATAGCATCCAGGATGGGTTTGAAGTCTCTGAGAAGAAAACAGATAAAAACCTTTAACGTAAGAATTATCACTATGGACGCTGAGATGGAGTTTAGTTGTGAGGTGAGTCTGATACAAGGCGCCTTTCGTAATTTTTGGTATGCATGCTTTCAACCAATAGCTGGTTCATTGCTCATCTTTATTCCAACACATGACTTAGTAGTTGTACGTTGCAAAAAAAAAAAAACAGCATGCAACAGGTGTTGCTAAATAATGAGTCTGAAACTCGTGCTCAGGATTAGTGTGATAGTGGAGGATTAATTATTTTGCTTCAGATGCACTTTAGTTATATACACGTGGTCATGCATAATAATCTCTCCACCTTTACTGCTCTTTGCAGTGGTGAATTACATCAGATGAGAAATAAAACCATTATTACCGATACGTATGAATAGATATGTAGCTTTTTCTCCCTCCACCCTCTTTATGTAACGCTGCGTTTATATACACTGCGTACCACAGTACTAGAGCAGTGCTTGTGCTTTTTAAACTTTGTATTGTCCAGCAGAAAGGTCCCGTACAAAGATCTGACCAACGCAGAGGTCAGCATTTGTAAAAGCTTAACAATCAGCATCGTTGTTGAGGAATTTGTTTTTATAATCTGGACATTTAGAGCTAAAGCCTGTATAATCTAATGCTCACAGTTTTGAAGCCCACACATAAATGTATAATACCATTAGAATAACAGTTTCCCATTGCAATAGTAATTGCTCCTATCTTGCAGTAACAGAGGACTTGTTGAGTGCGAAAATTTTAAAACTCCAGCAAGGCACCTCTGCATAGATTTCTGAAATGATGTGCTGTGGTTATAGCAGTGGCAGAGTCATATTTGCAGTTATACACAATGCCTTTCTCTTCAATGTGAGCACTGTGTTTTTCCCACAGTCCAGCAGTCATTCAATTAAGTGGATGCCCTTTTCTTAAGCAATACTTGAAAAGATACAGTTTTGGTGTCTTCCTTTCAACTGAATCGCAGGATCTCAGGGGAAACATTTGCTGTAACATTAACTTTTATTTTTAGTGCCAACTTCTTCTTTGTAAATCTATTTTTGGAAATTATTTTCAATTCAAGACCAACGTAAAGGGGTCTCTAGTAACAAAACCGAAAAAGACTTTTCCTCTCTGTTTCGGGATAACAGGAAATGAATTGCTCATGACTGAGGAATGTTTTTAATTTAACAGAAAACAGATGGGTTGGAGACATGTGACGAGTTGCACTGAATGAACTAAAGATAAAGGCCCATTTTCAAAACCAGAAACGTAATCACAAAAATGTACTTTTTTGGTGGATTGGGTGTTTATTGAATAATTTAAGGGGTTTTAACAAGCAGACTAAAAGGAATAGCAATGAGGCCACTACAGTGTTTAGTGTGCAGGATGATTAGATTCAGGGTGGAAGACTTCCAGGAAGATAATGTCTGTGTATATATACTGTCAGCTGGTTGAGTAGCCAGAGTCCAGTATCTTTGGGCGTCGGGCCAGTTTGCTGAGCTCCATTGAAACACAGGAAGATTCAGACTAGAGAGGTACCCCTGGGCACTGCCACGGGGATGTGAGTGCACACCATTCAGGGGAGACCTCCCTAGAGCTAGCTTTGCCCAGCAGTTGGTAGCTCGAACTGGACACGGGTCTACATCCTGACATCCTGGAGGAAAATATGCAGAGTGATGAACCCCACGTACCCTGGGGCCCACTCCACCCACTGGACACTCCACTCAAAGCGCTTTACAGGTAATGGGGACTCCCCTCCTCCACCACCAGTGTGCAGCTCCACCTGGATGATGTGACAGCAGCCAGAGTGTGCCAGTCCACTCCCCACACATCAGCTCTCAGTGGGGAGGAGAACAGAGTGATGAAGCCAGTTCAGAGATGGGGATTATTAGGAGGGGCCAATGGGAAATTTGGCCAGGACGCCAGGGTTACACCCCTACTCTTATCGAGAAATGCCCTGGGATTTTTAATGACCACAGAGAGTCAGGACCTTGGTTTTATGTGTCATCCGAAGGACAGCGCCCGTCACTATACTGGGGCATTAGGACCCACATGGACCAGGGGGTGAGCACCCCCTGCTGGTCCCACTAACACGTCTTCCAGCTGCAACCTTAGTTTTTCTCAGGAGGTCTCCCATCCAGGCAGTGACCAGGCTCACACCTGCTGAGCTCCAGTGGGTTGCCAGTTGTGAGTTGCAGGGTGATATGGCTGCTGGCCGATATCAATATTAGACATTCAAAGTACAGTCTATTGATATTAGTACAGGCTACATGAGCAATAAGGAGCCTTGTATTGTGTGTTGGCATCTTGGTGCCAGAGTAGGTGAATTGGCCAGTCCAGTTTCTAGACTATGTAGACTGTAGACACGGGAAACGGTAGGCTTTAAAAACAAAGTGACTGAATGTCTGCAACGTCTTTTCAGGAATTGTATCCATTCCACATGCAATCCCATGAAGGCTAGAGAAAAATACGAAGGTTTAATGTGTGGCTGAAAGAGCAGTGCAGACAAGGGGAGTTTGGGTTTATGGATCTTTGTGGGACTTAGAAAAGTAAGATGGCTTGCACATGAACCGGAGGGGCACCAGTGTTTTAGGGGAAGTCCATATTTAGAGTAGTTGAGGAATATTTAAACTAGTGAACTGGGGGACAGGTATTAAAATGTCTACTGAGGTAAAAAGGTCCTGGGCAACACGACGAACAAATGTAAATAACAGACCCATTCTTAAAAAGAATACCTTAGTGATAGAAGCAAAAGGAGTAAAATGCAAGAACTTAATGCTACTGCATTAACAGGATTGTATGAGGACACAAGAATAACTGAAACATGGCTGGCGAAAATGATGAAGACATCTTGACTACACAGTTTGTTGGCATGACATGACAGAGGTGGTTGTCTGGGGCTGTATTGCAAAAAAAGTTAAATGGATTGGTAAATCAACAGTCCGCTGGGTTTTGCTTTTTATTTTGACTGCTAATCAGTAAAACCCAAGAGAAAGGCCTGTTCTTGTTCACAGTACAGCCACAAGATGGCAGCAAAAGTTCACTGTAGTTCATTGTTTTCTTATTAATAACAGATATGTGTGTTCATTTATTTTTAAGAGGGGCACTATTTTTTCCATTAGAAATGAATCCTGCAAGACAGATTGTTCAGACTGCTCTTGAGAGATTTATTTTTACACCTTTAGGTGAACATAATAAATTTATTCATTTAGTAAAGACCAGATAAACTGGAATCATTATCCAAAGTTGAAAGGCATTTTATTGTCTCCACTGAATGATTAAATCATTGTAGTTATATCACTTTACAGACGTTTATCTTCATGCAGAGGCTTGGAAAGACATCTGGCTGATGATGCTCAACATGGAGAAGAGCAGAGTGACAGCATGCAAGAAGCTAACACTTGAGAAATAGAAATATGAGATGGGGAAATATTGATCCTAAAGAAGTTCCATATGAAAAATACTAAAGATTCTACACTGACACAATTTCTACCCAGTGTGGACTAAGGAATATATTTAAAGGTGTATAACTTGCATTAAGAGATATGCTAAAATTGGGCACTATATTAGGAAACATTTTATATACTGGTCACCAGGTTATGACATTTTTTTTTGCTGGGATCAGTCTACATGCATAAGAGCAACTTCATGCACTTTTTGACTTTAAGGTATGTCCTATTCCATCAGACAAGAACTGAACTGTTTTAGTCAGGAAAGACTACAAGGGGACCTGATTCAAGTATCCATAGTCTTCAAAGGCAAAGATAACTTCAACTCCCTGGATTTCTTTGAAACCAATAGTGAAACAAGAACCTGAAGGAAAAATAGAAACTACCTGGAAGAGCATGTAAAATTGAGAACAGGAGGCGCTTTCTTTACATAAAGGGTTGTGGGGGATGTGAGTCTGGATTTGGGTATCTGCCTCTGAAAAGACCAAATGGCCTCTTCTCACCTCTATCCCATCTAATGTTCTTATGTTTAAAAGAAAGAAATCTAAAAAAAAAAACATGAAAATGCATAGGGTACAAAATGTGAAGTATTTGAATGTTCAGTGCTGTGATCTTTGCTTTCATCTCTGTTTTAGAAAGGCTAACCTTGTCGTTTGAGGTCTACAGAGGAATCTCTGAAGCCTAGCTTCTCCGCCTGCTGTGATCTCCTCCAAGGACATCACAGAGCTAGGAGGGATGTTAAAAGCTAAGGAGACAGCTTGAGAATCTTTCTTGTGGAGGCAACACTTTAGATACATTATTGAAAAATAGTGCTGTTTGTGCCTTTGCCATTTATTTCACTGCCTAATATGTGAGCTACATTTTTCTTGAGTGATACGAACTGTAATACAGTGTACCAAAGATGATGTTCACTATTGAATCTAAATGTATTGTGTTTCTACAGCTTAGTTTTGAATATTGTTCTTTTCTTTAAATTTGCTACAGCCCACTCACCATTATGCCATTTAATTTGATAATTCCTGCTGGCATTACACTGAAAAATCTGGTCCTGTCCAGACCTTTTACTTTTGCAACTTTCCCGTGAACTTTATCTCAAGTTGCCAATTAAGCTGGATACAAAGACACCGAAGAGTCATAGGAAATGCAGGCTTCAGTTTATTTAATCATGTAATCCTAATGCTGAAATTAAGTAATTTTCCAACTAAATTTTGTTAGAAGTGTGTTCTATTATTTAAATTAATATAGAAGTGTTATGCATAATAGAGCTGACAGTCACCGGTGTTGGCTCTCTGAAATGATGATCTCTTTGACGTCGGTGAGCTTGCCTTTATTTTTTATGTAAATTTAGCTTTTCTGAATGTTAATTTAATCATAAATCAATAACAAACATAATGTATAATCGATTCATGTTGTGGGTCAGAAATGATTAATTATTGAGTCAGAAACAGAGGGCCAGTGAGTAAAAAGGAGAGAACACAGAGACAAAATAAGGTTTCAGCTTGGCTGGTTTGAATTAGTTTGTGAGATGTGCAGCATTGCTCGTGTCCTTCCCTTATCTGGTTTAAGGCCCTTATCTGGCCATGGTGAATTTTTGCAGATGTTTTTTTTCCATAAAAAGTGAAATAAATTAATTTGTTTGCACTCTGTCTGGAGTAGAACACCACCAGCAGTGATGGCTTTGTCAAGACACAATGGAACAATGATGCCCAGCTTCTTAAATTCCTTTATGTTCGTGGCACACTTTGTCTGGATAACAAAATGAGTAAACCAACGAAGGGACCTTATTTAATATTCCCGCTTTCACAAAGGAAGTATTGCTGCTCTGAGCCCTTTTTTCAACATTTTCAAGTTTGAAAAGTTTACAATATGAATCCAAATAACTTACACATTTCATCTGGATATGGAAGAGAAGGTGATATAAACAGGTCATGATGATCGACTGGCAATTATTCTCTTTATAATGTATGTGTCTCAGGTAGAAAAAGCCAAGGTTTAATCTAGTGATTATCTAATATATATACCTGGAAGCCTTCATAAATAAAAATACAGCAGGTCTTGGTTTCTACTTTAAACTGTACATGTTTTAAAGAAGTGGTCCAAAACACATAAAAAACAATTTAATTCCTGTCATGTATCAGAGCTTATGTCTCTTTTTCTGTTTTAGCTCCTAAGATTTTGAAGGCACACAACACCCTTCTTTAAGACCCAGAGTAACCCCTTTTCTGGTAGGCATAGATTAAGCTGTGTTTAATTGAGAATGTATCTCATCTTCCACTGGGATGAGATTCACTTAAGTTTCTATCCAAAGTAAGTTCTAGCGCCATATACTGTGAATTGACCGTGTCCCGAATAAAAGATTTGTCGATAAAAAAACTAAATGAATCACAGCAGTAATCTCTTTCATCTTGCATTAGAATATTTCTCATCCATTTTCAGTTTTTACTTTTTTGTGTTATTCTATGATAATGGTGGGATCTCACCGCAAGCTTTAAAATGTACTTCAGAGGATTTACATAATGAGAATAGCAGTAGAGGTAATCAATGGCGCGAGTGAATTTTTAAATGTTTTTTGCTTCATGTGCTGTGCAATGTCAGCTTTGTTAACAAATGTAGTAATCACAGGTAAATGTTAAGAGCTAGTTAGAAATTTTGTGTCAACTAGCAAAAGGCTCTGGGTAATGTTCAATCACCTAGTTGATACACAAATTACATACATGATCTCAGTTTCAGCTTGTTTATTAGGCCTTTAGTTAGTGAAAGTGTTATGTGTTGCACCAGATCTCTGATTGTCTGTTAATAGAAAATGTGAAAGCAGTTATAGAGGCCCAGAGAATCATTACAAAGACATCGGTGTGGGTGTTGACTGTCATTAGTGTTTTGTACAGCTGGTACAGAATGTGTGGCACAGCGCATCTCTGTCCACTCCAAGCTTTGATGAAGTTGCCTTTGTTGTGTGCTGTGCTAGCTGGCCAATACACAGGAATGCATCTGGTGAAGTTCCTGAACAGCACAAATAATATGACAGAACTGCTGTTTTATGGGTGTTCTGGCTGACCCCTCTCCTGCTGTTTTTTGGATTCCTCTCTTGCAGGTCAAATGGAAAGGGAAGGACCTGTTTGATTTGGTTTGCAGGACACTGGGGCTCAGGGAGACCTGGTTCTTTGGGTTTCAGTATCAAGTGAAGGATACTGTGGCCTGGCTAAAAATGGACAAGAAGGTAGGCCTAACCCTTCATCTGTCTCAAAGCAAAGCACACAACCTCTGCACTGGATTCCTTGGATGCAGATGTTTTCAAGACATACAGCCACTAGTGGGTTAATGAATCTGCTCCTCCTTCACCTCTTAGCCAAAAGCCTTGCTCTTTTCAGCATGTGTGTTAAAACAAATTTAAATATTCAGTCACAGCCACTGGTGCTGTCACTTAAGAGGCCTTTTTATATACTCCTTTAAGTGCTCCCACCTGTTTCCAGATGCTATTTTCAACTAGTTTTATGTTCCCACTGGACACTGCAAGAGCATGGGCTGAGGTACAAGGTGACACATTTTGTTCTAAAACTATTTGTTATGGAAGAACTCATTTTACTAAAACTATTCATATTCCACAATATTGGCTGCTTCTATTTCCCTCATGATCGAATTAAAGTGTCTTTCTGACATTTCATTATGCAATTTAATAATTGGAAGTATGTGAAGGCTGTTACATGTAAGATTTCTTACTTAATCCTGCATTAATTTAATCTGAACTATTATGCAGTTTCAGCCCTTGGTGACTACTGTAACTGGAGGATCAGGCAGTCGTCAACTCTTTATTTCTCACATGGGGACAAGCTTCATCTCGCAGCATTTCTCTTTAACTTTGGGTTGTGAAAACGAAAAGCTGAGTCAGACATAATGTACGTTTTCAACCATAGTCTTGGAGAGGCTAAATACTGTTCAGATCCAGGGTTGGAGATCCCTCACCTAGAGGTATTGAATGGAACCGCTTCTGTCTTGATCAGGAAAATATGCCCAAAACCTCCTCAAGCTTTTTCTTACTAAATATTTTATATGAATTACATGTTTCCACTGCTAATGCAGGTCTTGGACCATGATGTGCCAAAGGAAGAACCAATCACCTTCAATTTCCTAGCTAAATTCTATCCAGAAAACGCAGAAGAAGAGCTTGTGCAGGAAATCACACAACATCTGTTCTTCCTTCAGGTTGGTGATGGTGGTCTTTCATTTACAAATTAAGTTTGCATTTTGCTACAAAGTTACCAAAATTTTTAACTCAAATGAAAAAAACATGCTTTGCATTTAGTCAAAAACAAATAAAACTTTTGAGCTAAACCATTCCATTATCAACACATTTTAGTGCTTCTCATCTTAGGCTAGCAATTTTCCTTTTTTGACCCATACCCTTCCAGAGTGGCACTATTTATGTCTTTGAAATTCTATCATCAGGAAGAGCCCATGCTTATTCATTCAGTCTCAGGCTGTTATTAATAAAAATGAGTTTTCCTTTCTTGTTACCATCTTTCATATTGCTTGCATCACAGACGCTTGCTGGAGATGGGATGATAAATAAAGCTAAAATACACTGACAGATCTGATCTAGTCCATGCTTTCAAACCAGGAGGCTCAAAGGTTTTTAGAGCCCTAAGGCAAAAAAGGGAAAAACCAGCAGACAGATGACAAATCAAACAAGATTATTTCCAGAGCAATGAATGTATGGCTTCCTTTCTCTTATTCCCATATACCATGGCCCTTATTAGAAACAAGACAAGGAAAATCAAGGTCCTAATGTTGGGTGAACTGAGGATAACACTTCTGACAATAAAACCGGAACAGCTGTTGTTTCCATATTTTTTACTTTTTTCCATATTTCCAGTTCATTCAATTCATTTACAGGATGACAGTTGGGCAATTCAAATCCAAACTAGGCCTTTTATGTCTAAGTTAAAGTCAGTTAATGTATACATAATGGTTTGGAAACATATTTTTGCATTTACTCATTCATTTTATAATGAACAATATAAACTAATACAGACCCATATGCGAATGTGAGCTCTGTGGTTCTCTTCATGTAACAATATTTGAAATGTACAGATGTTTAAGTTTTTTGTTTATATTTCTGTGATAAGAGAGGCATGCAATATCGACTCTTTATTTATTTATTTATTTTTTCAGTAGAGGCTGGGCTATGTGAGAAACTAACCGTTTATCTTGAAAATGACCGAAAGTTAAAAGGCTGTCTTGCTGTTTAACAGAAATCGATATGGACTGGTTCAAAGCAATAAAAGCTACCTAGTGTTGCTGACCTGTTTTACATAGTACGTTGCCTACTGTCCAGTGTTAGTATGTGTATATATAAATCCATATATGCCAATATATTTAGTCATTTATGTATACTTTGATTTCTTTTGGATGCCTGCTCTTACATGAATTTGTACAGTGAACAATGTGTACATATATCCTAGTTTCCATTAAACTGCTGAACCATTTTTGACTTAAGAAAGAACTTGTCGTTTTGCATTCTGAGTGGTTCTGCAGAATGTTACCTGCTGGGGTCATGGTTTCACTTTGGCCTGTTTAATTCATACATGAAGCTGATCAATAATCTCACTACCAGTGTACAGAGAAGAGGAATCAATGTAGCATGATACAGGAATTCACTCTTTCTTGCATACAAATACTCTGGGGAATTTCTTGGTTGGCTAGGAAGGGTATTTCCCTTAAGGGAATGGGGCTTCATTACAAAATGATGCTGAAGTTTATTAAATTGAAAGTATGTTCTAATTAGGTTTCAGGGGCCATCAGATTAACACAGTATTGCATTTGAGTCATGTCTTTATTTTCTAAATCAAACTCTTTGTTTTCTAAACAAGAACAGTAGTTCTATACTGCAAGTCAGTTCCAGTGATACAGAAAATCTGCAAGCCAAAATAAATCATTCTGTGATATGCCTTCCTCTTTTTAAATGTGTATATATACATTCTTAATAGGCTTGTTGGAAATGTTGGCGTTGAGCTGTAGAGTGGTTTAATGGGATTTTTTTAAAGTGTAAAGTTCAACTAGTTAGCTGAAAGCAGGTTATAAAAGTCTGTCATAATGCATCTGTGGATTTCATTAATGCAGAACCTTTAAGCAACTGCCTGGTTGTCTAACTATTTTGACTTCTTTAAGCACTTCGTCATATCGGTTGGTCAAAACAGCAGTTATATTATTTTAATGGAAAAATAGCAAGAATCTGAAAGTGGGTCAACAGTGAAACTGAGATCAGACATATGTTGATAACTGGATGTAGAGTATAAATTAGGTCTGATTTAAGGTATTCAAATGTTTCACCACTTGGTCATCTCCCAGAAGCTTTAATAGAGATACAGACAATGCACTTTTTTCACATGTGATATGTAATGAAAGGCATCTGAGATTTAATTAAATGCAATCTGTCCAGGAGATACAGAGATGATTTATCCTTAATGCCGCAGCAGGCTGCTCTTAAGTCAGAGTGTTTCACGGCTAAGTGTTAATACCCAACCATTTAGTTTATCCAGAACAAACTAAATTCCACAGGCGTAAATCCCCCAGGGCAGTTTTGTAATACAAAATATCAAGTTGGTTCTCCTAAAACTGTATCAAATCAGTTCCATACCAAGGAAAAGGCATTTATTTAAATGAGGCAGAAGCTGTATCGTTCTGCTCTTCTCCATTAACAAGAGTGTATGTAGCATTTAAAAAGAAAAAGTGCACTTACTGTATAAATTGACAGTTAAGCCGCATATCTTTCAATTGCCAACAAAACAATACTTATACTCAAGGTGATTTAGACAGACATCGTTTCTGCTCAGATTCCGTAATGAGAACCTTTCCTGAGCCATTAAGGGACAACTTAAAACATAAGTTCTCCTTTTGTACAGGCCTCTGAGGCATAAACAAATATTGAAGCGGACTGAAGGTTCAAAATTTCCTAAATGTGGACCACTGCCTTTCAGATTAATTTACTTTCATCAGGGAAGACACCAGAGATGGGTGGGAATTATGCTCTGCAGCAGCCGCTTTAAAATGATTGTATCTTTTGTCAGAAAAGAGTTTATTTTACCCCTCTCCTGTCCATTAGCTTCCTCTTGGGTGATTTTTCCTTTCCCATGGTGCTGTCTGCCATTAAACCACTGGTGCTCTTAGCCTCAAACACGCCAATTGCATTTAAGATACAAAAAGGGACTCAAAATAGTCAGCCAGTTCAAACAGTCTGCGTCTGGCACAGCTTCAAAGTGATTCTCTGGTGGCACGATTTTTTCTAGGGTTTTCATTTTTTGCTGACCATTTTTATGAATATCGGAGATACAATATATGTAAACAATGTTTAAATGAGAAGCTACAGTCAAATCTGGTGTTAGGCACCCCATTGAGGGTTTCCAGTTTTGCATATTTAAAGGGTAGACATTGTGTTAGAAATAATGGATATTAATCAATGCTGTTTATTGAACAAATAAGCTACACTGGAAAAACAGCATTTTGAAAAACCCAGATTTACATGCATTATTTGTATTATGAATTTTGAAGTTATGAATTACCAGAAATGATTTACCCATTAACTGTCAGCTTCAGAGCCGACATGCAGATGTTTTTAATACACAAGCTGACATTACAGATGTTCTTCTGTTTAATATTAGGGTCTTGTCACTAGAACTGTGTAGTGTGTTGAACAGTGCTGAGTAAAACTGGTAGAAAATATAGAAGCTAATGTGTAGGGCAGAAGGAAAGATTCTGAATACCTCTCCAGATCTTTATTGTCTATCTTTTTTTGTGCACCTATAGTAACGAGCGGTACCATCTGACACATTCAGGGACTGCATTTACAGAGTGCTTTGAAATACGAGAGAGCAGTCTAGTGTCATATAAGGTTCTTCTTCAATGCATTATTCCTGACAGCAGGTCTTATAGGTCTGTCAATGCAAAACTAATTCATGTGTCTTTTCAAAGTATTTCTTGCTTATTGTGGTGCATTAGCAAGAATGCTGTTTTTTTGACAGTTTGTCCACCTACTGTTTATACCTATATACCAATTTGATTTTCCCCCATGCTATTTAACAAAGTCCTTCCACTGAAATACAAAAATGTGCTATTACAAATGATGCCATTCAGCAAAGTGACAGTAATTTAGCCTACAAATATGCATAGGGAGGAGTAACCTTGATTTTCTTTCTTATAACAAACTAGTTATGTTTTCAAGCAGAAAAAAATGAAGAGATATTATATAGTCCCCCTGTCTGCAGCTTGTGAAATTGCACTATAAACACTGAATAATGGGTTGTTTGTGCCTTTAGACTCATAGCCATCAAATGCTTTGAAAATTTTCAATCTCATTTAGGTGAAGAAGCAGATACTCGATGAAGAAATCTACTGCCCTCCTGAGGCTTCTGTTCTCCTGGCCTCCTATGCTGTCCAGGCCAAGGTCAGTCTTTCACTCTAGAGCAAGGTCAGGATTCTGAATCAATTAGCTTTTCAATTTGTGTCTGATTCAGAAATGTGTTTTCTTTCCAAATGACAAATGATGCAGCATGCATCATTATAATTACACTTGTAATGTTTTAACCTCAAGCTATTCATGGTAGCAAAACCACTTATGCACCAAAGAGGATTTTAAGACAAAAAACTGCTGTAAGGAACTAGCAGGACAAAAAGTCTGGTGAGCAGATAGACTGCTAAGGTCAAAATCAGTTGATTCAGTTTGTTGTTGATCACACACGAGGAAATGTTTGTTTGGCAGTGTTCCAGAAGAAAATGTGAATTTGAAAATACTGTATTATTATAAAGTCTATATTGTTTTTTTCCAGTCAGTATTGGAAAGAAATGTGAATTGAAACTTTGTTTCCTTTAGTTTGGGATCTTTTTTGATGCATCATGTTTTTATTTAGCCTATTCGTTGCTCTGTAGCATTGAACCGTGTTGCTGTAGGAACGGCATTTTGTCTGATGAATTGAATAAGTGGAGGCAGTTGAGCTATTAAGCACAATAACACTGATCTCAACCCCAGCTATCTAGATATGGCTACACCTGTCACCTGCAGCAGGAGTTACTTTGGCACCACAAGTGGCATCAAATCAACTGGTTTTCCTATCTTGAGTCCTTGGACCTGGAGGATCAGTTTATTGTCAGCAAGGACTCAAACTTGTGATTATCTTATGTCCTTGGCCGACCTAAACAATCATACAGATCACTGACTTACAGTAGTTGCAGTTAAAATCACCCTAATCAGTCTGTCTAGATTTGATTAATCATAATCCTATTTAAAACACTCTAAACTTACGATGAGATCAGTATTCAAGCGGTCAATCATGTCAACGGAACAACAAAAGCCTTTTCTGGTCCGGGCAGTCTGTACACATGTATATATAAATCAATTTCCTTGACCGCAATCAATGGGGTTTGTAACTTCAGAATGCGATCTATTTACTGACGTTTCCTGCTCCTCCGGGGAATCTGTACTTTTTCATTTTTAGATGTGAGCCAAGACTTCCTTCAATTTGAGGCGCAGTGATGTGTGTCACTGCAGTTGAGTAGGAAGCTGCTCAGCATGTGGAAGTTTTTTTCAGAGGAGTCAGAAGAGATCCACTGTTCAGCCTCTGGCTCACAGACAGCAGCAAGGCTCTCGGTTTGTGCATTGGTGTAGACTGTCTGGTATACAAGATGCAAATGTGCTGAAGACTGAACAATACAGGCAGAAACTTGATTTACTGTATCACTTATAGGTTCAGCACTTGTGTTAGCTGGAGTCTAGGGAGGTCTAAAGTTGCATTAAAAAACTGAAATGCATCATAGTTTACCTGTAATCATTTATCTATATAGCACCTACTGAATTAGGTGAAAAATAGTAATTCCCTCTAACTTTATGAGAACGATTTAAGTCTTGCCATTTGAATAAGAACACTTGTTGGTATTATGGTACAAGTAATTTGAATGTTCAGTTCTTATATGGTTGATAATTGTTTATACATCTTAGTTGGCTGGAACAATATTGGTAAACGATTGCTAACAAATGCAGCAGTGTCTTCATCTGGGTATGTGAACCCACAGCCTTCCTGTCTGGAGTTTGGAGTCCTGCTCGCTAGTCAGAATGATGCCCTTGCTGTTACCTCGTCTAATAATTGGCTCCGCCAATCACTCATTGCTTTCCTATGAAGTAAATCTCAGATTACCCTTTATCAGTTTGTTGAGCTGTTAAGCATGGAAATTTACAAACAACGGTCTCAAACCCCATCATGTTTCAGTAATGGAGGGGATGTACTAAGCTGTCAGGCTCAGCTGTGCTCAATTACAGGAAAAATAAATTCAGCTGTGATATTTTTGCATCATTGCAGCTTATAGTTAGGATTGCAGTTGTGTGATTTAATACCGGCAGAAGTATTCCACTGCAGACAAGGTGGCAACTCTAATTCTGGGTCGCACAGTTAGACATGTGAAAACAAATGATTAAAATTCATCTTGTGTGTTGCCATCTGGCAGAGCCATTCCACAGTGTTTCACACATCAGGAAAGAGGCCTAGAAGGCAAAATCCATACAAAAGCATGAAAATAATGGTGGTTACACAACTACATAGGAAACCTGAGCTTTGAAACGGTGACCAGCATCCTATACAAGTTCAAGGTTCCTTGGTGTAATAAACATTATCCACTGGCAGTCTGCAAAATGTCAGGAAAATACATTTCTTTCCATCCCTATCAAACAGTAGCTTGGTTTTCCTTTTATTTAGTTAAAGGAAACAGACGCCTGGTACTCACAGTACTAGCTAACAAAGATGATAACAGAATTACAGAAGACCATATGGCAGTCTGTGCATGAGAGGAGGTCACTCAGCTGGTCTTGCTCAATTAATTGATATTAAAATGGGAAATAATCAGCTGTGTTTCCCAATCCTATCTCAAAGAGAAAGCATGTAGTGTAGAATTTTGAGGTAGTCATTCAAGGGCATATGCCTATAACCATCTGCTGAAAGTATTATGGAGAACTCAAACCACCAATGATGTCTGTCTGAATTGAGAATGACTAGATGAAGCCTGACTGAACCCTTTCCTCACAACTCTGAAGAAAGAAGACAAGCCATTCTACCGAAAAGTCAGAATTTACTTCCTTGCAGTTGTGGCGAATGCTATATTTATTGCATGCAAAATTCATTACCATTTTTATTTTTATTAGTCATCTGAAGTCCTTATGCTTCGCCACACAGAGAAGTCATGCTCACACAGATATTATTCTGAGCACATCCCGGCATGAGTGATTGATCATATTATAAAAATCCCAGACAGCTTGATTTAATGAGACTATTATCTAAAGCCTCAGGAGTTTAATACGTACTTAAAACATTTCATTGTCAGTTTCCTGGGATGGAAGACTGACCGTATTAGTTTTGGATCACCCCCCATGTATCTTGTTGAACTTATCCAGGACCCTTTTACGAAGTAACGTGGTTATGATGTGATGCGGAAGAGTGACTTTGTAATGAAAGGGATTTTGTAGAATGTGTTCTGTGAATGATGATGGGATGACTGTGTCCAAGAATTAAAATAATAGATTTTGTTTATATTGAAACTGACACATAAGGTGTGGTTTTGTCTTTCTTGTTACAGTAGAGCTCATAGTAATCATTATCGCCATCATTCTAATAATGATGCATTATCACCACTGCTAATTAGTTATTATGACTGCCACATCATTTGTCTATAACATTATAAAGTTTGGAGAATTCTCCTAGTTTCTTAATTCCCTTGATGATTATTGAATGGAACTAAAAAGCCCTCTGATTTATTTTGCAGTATGGAGACTATGATCCAAATGTTCACAAGCCTGGGTTTTTAGCTCAAGAAGAGCTGCTACCAAAAAGGGTGAGCTGCCAACTCGGCTAAGTTTCCAACTATCCATCCATTTTCTAACCACTTCTTCCAATTCACCCTGGACAGGATGCTAGTCCATTGCAGGGCAGGCAGACACAAACACAGACACGCACACACTCACACCAGGGCCAGATTTCCCAGAAGTCAATTAACCTACTTGCATGTTTTTGGACTGTGGGATGAAATCTAGTGGAAACCCACGTGACCACAGGGAGAACATACAAACTCAACACAAGTTCAAAGTTTATTTATCAAATGCACATCAATACAGTGTACAGCAGTAATTGCTGTCAATGAAATTGCTCAACAGAGGACTACAATAAAAATTACCTGAGTTAAAAGTTACAGTATAAAATTACATAATAAATAACACAATAAAGATTGAATAAAAAAAAAGACGAAATGAAGTAAACCTCAATATGAATAGAACTGCTTTATATCCAAGGTGTATACAATGTGGTGGAGTGGTGGCTCTGTGGCTAAGGATCTGTGCCTGTAGCTGGAAGGTTGCCGGTTCGTATCCCGCGGCCGGTAGAGAATCCTACTCCGTTGGGCCCCTGAGCCAGGCCCTTCACCCCAACGGCTCCAGGGGCGGCATATAAATGGCTGACCCTACGCTCTGACCCCCAGCTTCTCTCCCTGTCTGTATGTCTCATGGAGAGCAAGTTGGGCTATGTGAAAAAGTCAAATTCCTAATACAAGAAATTGTATATGGCCAATTAAGTGGTCTTATCTTAAATCCCTCAACAAAGTAACATAACTAAACCTACAACAACCACTCACTCAAAACTCTCTACCCCCAAACAGTCAGACACACCCTTATATGTGAAAAGACAAATTCCTAATACAAGAAATTGTATATGGCCAATAAAGTGATCTTAGTACATGTCCATGTGACCCTGACCATTTATCAGTGACCGTTAGGGTGATTTGCTGATATTGACTGCAGCTCGGCTGTTTAGCATCCTGGAAGTACAGGAGAAGCTGTTCCATAATCTGTTGGAATTGAATCGGAGCACCAGCCCTGGCAATACTAACCAATGCGTCACCCAGCCACCCCTATGCACAGTACAGTATGTCTGTTTTCAGTTTAAAATTCTTAATAGACTTGCACACCTTTTCCGCAACAAACTGCTTTAAATGTTGTAGGTAAAAATCTAATTGAAGAGATTACTTTGCATATCAAGGCATTTGTGCTTGTGTTCTATCTTGTGTATCTTGTTTCTGGAACTTTCTTTAAAAACCTGTTTTTGTTTCCTATATGCCAAATTAACCAACTCCAGAGAGTTTCCATTTTACATCAGTAATTACAATTAGAGAATATGCAACAAAATAGGCTTTGTTGTAGTTAATGTACCTTACTATGTTTTTTAAAGCAGATATTTAGAGGAGTATGTTCTGTTGTAGGTTATAAACCTGTACCAGATGACACCTGAGATGTGGGAAGAAAGAATTACTGCCTGTTATGCAGAACACAGAGGAAGAGCAAGGTACAGTTGTGTAGGCATATTGCATGTATGGAATACAGGAACCGTGTCATTTGCAAGTGTGTAAAGTCTCTCATATCAGCAAATTCAGTTTATACCCTCTAGATATTTGTGAGTGGAGGGAAGTAAAACATTTTTACTTTTCAAACAATCACGCTTTCCTTTAAAACCCATTAATCTCATTAATAAAAGTAAGCAGTAAGCACTTGTATACTGGCACTAGTTACAGGAAACAAAACTTAAAACTGCCAGGATTGTACTAGGAACGACTCCCTTCATTATTTCTGCCTTAAGAGTTCCTTAGATTTGTCTTTAACATGACACTCTCTCAAATGGGAAATTACTGCTCAAATAAGATTACTAAACATATTTTAAATGAACTTAAAGTATGTTTAGTTATATTGCATTAACAAATCATGAGTAAATGTGACCAGCAGTGTCTAAAACATGCAAATTGCAATTGAAAGGGAGAGAAAAATAATTGTTAATTAAATTGTACAAATTGTAAAATGGAACGAACATTAATATTTAAAACAGTGATACTGCGGTGACATTCATTTGTCATAATAATCATTCTAAAGGAGGTAGCTTACCCAAAGGGATATAATCTGTAATTGCTGTGCTTGTTTAACAAAATGACCATAAGAGGCATATTAGTTATAGAAAAATGTAAATGTGTTTTAATATTGAAATGAACCTTGTTTGATCTAACATATTTGTGGAGAACAGTGAAAATTGAATACAAAATAACACTTTAAAAGAGAAATGTCTTAGATTAAGCAATGAGATAGGGACTGGGAGACTGCAGAATTAACTGTCCAATTGTTTTAAATGTTGTAAATGTGTGACTTGAGGCACACATGCAGTGTGTTAAGGATGAAATCAGCAGTGAATTAAGCTTCTATATAGCAGTTCTAATTCCTTATCTGAATGCGTAAAAGATTACATTCACTACAAATGACATATGAGCATAAGGGTGGGAATTCATACTCAAGCTTGGTGCACTATATTCTGTTTCTCTTTTTATAAGGGATGAGGCAGAGATGGAGTATTTGAAGATAGCCCAGGACCTAGAGATGTATGGAGTTAACTACTTTTTCATTAGGGTGAGACATTCTTTAACAACATTCACTGATGTATTCTGACAGTAGAGGTCAGAATTGTCATTAAATCTCTTTGTACAATACTGTAAATTTAAGAGGCAGGAGGCTTGTTCTGGGAAATAATAAACATCATATGAATGGCAACATAATGTCTTAGGACCAAATGTTCTTTATCCTCTCAGCTTCTTTTATTGTTTCACTCATGCAGTTTATTGAACTTGATTTAAATATTGGTTTTGCTCCTCACAAAATGTCTTTCTGGGCCCTCTGCTGCTTAGTATTGGTATCATTCTTCTTGGTGAAATACTAAAATTCTGTGGTCTGAATGACCGTTTCTGTGCAGATGATACACAAATCTATAGGATGTCCAAGCTAAACCTGATATTCAGGTAGCTGTTTCAGTACACTCTGATTGTACTTCTAGATGTAGAAGCTTTTGTAAGAATTTTACATACTTTAAATGTACTGTAACATCACTGACGTCATGTAATTGGGTTCCTCCTATCGGGTAGCCATATGTCGGTTAGTAAGTGTAAAAATATTTCAACAAGCAGTGCAATCTGATGAGTGTATTTTAAATGGAATTGAAAACAGTCACCTTCCTCTTTGTTTTAGACCACCTTTGTCCTTGTCTTGATTGTGGAAAATCCTGCTCTGAGTAATGACACCTCATTTATCATTTCTGCATTTTTTTCACAGAACAAAAAGGGAACTGATTTGCTGCTAGGAGTGGATGCTTTGGGTCTTCATATATATGATCCAGAAAACAAGCTCACTCCCAAAATCTCCTTTCCCTGGAATGAAATCCGCAACATTTCCTACAGTGATAAAGAGGTATTATTGCTTTTTTGAAAGATTCGAAAAAAATATGGCCACACACTGCACAATTGCCTGCTGCCATATAGAAAACCAATGAAAAAGACCTTTTCTTCATTTCCTTTCAGTTTGCAATAAAGCCCTTGGACAAGAAGACAGATGTTTTTAAGTTTAACTCTTCAAAATTAAGAGTCAATAAGTTGGTGAGTACTTAAACTATGTGAGGACAAAAATGAATTAGAGCCATGATAGTACAGAGGTACTGTATATTGAATTTCTAGGTGCCGATTATTCTTGGGAGAAGACAGTTGTTTTTAAATGCAAAGTTACTTTTATCATGAAGACATACCTGGTAGTGGTGATGGGAAAATGGTGAGGAATCTCACATTTTGGCATGTGGTAATTGCTAGTAGATCCACATTTTGTAAAACCCAAAAATAGTTAGTACAAAGCAGTGTTTTCTTGTATTAGTTTGTGCACTAGAGGATCCGGATGATAAAATGGATTACCATTCCACAAATGCAGAAATTGTATTATTGACAAATGAATATAATTTATCAACCTTTTAATTTAACAATAATTTAATACCTTTCTACACTTAGATTAGTTATCAGTTTTGGGGTGCCAATATTAAATGTCTGCTAGTCTATTACTATAAATGTGTGTGTTTCTATTAATTCCAATTTATTTTTAACTGTTAAGCTTCTGGTGACTTTTATCCTTGCAGATTCTCCAGCTTTGCATTGGGAACCATGACCTGTTCATGAGAAGGAGAAAAGTGGACTCTCTGGAGGTTCAGCAGATGAAGTCTCAGGCCAGAGAGGAAAAGGCTAGGAAGCAGGTGGGAAAGGGGGTCAGCTCAGTACTGCAAACCACAAGCGGTTCTCTAAGAGTGCATTAGCTCATTATGAAATGTCTTCGTGAGGATTTTGAGGGCATATTTAGAAAGTCAAAGCCTTTTATGAATGAAGGACAGGTGCCGTGACATTTATAAGGCTAATGTATGTATGCATGTGTGTGCACGCAGGAGGTTTATCGTTGCAGGAGCTTGCAGTTCTAGATGTGCCTCAGGACACCTTGAGAAGAAGCTCGCCCAGTTCTGCTGGTACCCTGGACAAGACTTCCATGACTGTTACTTCTGTGGAGTGAACTGTCAGAAGCAGAAAGGCTTACAGAGTGAGAGGATGCTCTTTTCTCTCTCTCTCCTCCAGATGGAGCGCCAGCGGTTGGCCCGCGAGAAGCATCTCAGGGAAGAGGCGGAGAGGGCACGAGACGAGCTGGAGAGGAGGCTGCTCCAGTTGCAGGACGAAGCACAGATGGCCAATGAGGCCCTGGTGAGCTCCCCTCTGTTCAGGAAAAACCAATCTGCCGCTCAGCAATGGCAGTGTGTGAGCGCCATGTTAATGCAGTCCTTAAAGGTGTTTGCAAAATGTTTGCAAGTGATCACATGTACAGAAAACTTAAACTGCATGTTGGTGTGTAAATGTGCTGTGGTTTTGAAGACCAACACACACTGTGGCAGCCAATACAATTTGTTTCTCTGTCAACATGTTAAACAGTTATGAAAGAAGGAGAAACTTGGCTCTGTATGTAATGCTCAATGCATTGTAATGGAAAACCATGCAGAGCTTCCTGATCAGGCAAATGATTTCTGAGGTATAATCATTTGGTCTTTTCTTGCAAATTGAAGTGATTTTGCTCTATTGCTGACCTTTCATATTGATATCCAGTTTCATCAAAGCTGCTGTTATTCCTCAGTTGTTGACATGTCCTGCTCCCTTCAGCTGAGGTCAGAGGAGACTGCGGACCTGCTGGCAGAGAAAGCCCAGATCGCAGAGGAAGAGGCCAAGCTGCTGGCCCAGAAGGCAGCGGAGGCTGAGCAGGAGATGCAGCGGATAAAAGTGACAGCCATTCGCAGTGAGGAGGAGAAGAGGCTGATGGAGCAGAAAATGCTGGAGGCAGAGATGCTGGCTCTCAAAATGGCAGAGGAGTCAGAGAGAAGGTACATAGACAGGAAGGCAGCCTAAAGACCTTTACTTAGAGATACAGCATGATCTTTGCATGGGTTTAGTGACCTCAGTGGGGTGTGAATGGTTGCAGGGCATGTGTTAAGAGATACCTCTGTTTTGTTCAGGGACCATAAACTTATGCTGTTTATATGTATATGTAACACATACAATATACTGCAAGTTCAAATGAACTGTAAATCTGTTTGTAAATTACAAACACTTTTCTCTGTTTCCCATTGGTGTCTCACAGAGCCAAGGAGGCAGAGCAACTGAAGCAGGATCTGCAGGAGGCTCGGGAGTCCGAGCGCCGGGCGAAACACAAGCTGCTGGAAATCACTAGCAAGTCTGCATACACAGTAAGCTCAACACATGCCTCCTGGAAGTCTCCTTCAGTGTGGGCAGGCTGTACATTCAATATCGTTTACAAGGTTAAATCAAACGCCTGTCTACCATGGTCTTTTGAGAGCTAGTTCACTGAAGCCTCAATGCTTGTGGTTAAGTGTTTTAATGTTGGAAGTTGGAGTTTGTTTTCTTCCTTTTGTCTTCCTGTTGTAGCCGGCAAATTCGTCTGCCAATGCCATGCCACCTGACATACCCAGCTTCAACTTCAGCAGCGAGAACCTCACCTTCGATTTCAAAGATACCGACATGAAACGTCTGTCTATGGAGATCGAGAAAGAGAAGTAAGTTTAAGGTCTGGAGCAAGGGATCCCACCTGTGGGTCTTAGGTTTTCATTGTCTTCAGCGGGTTAAGCCATTAGAGAAAAGATGAATTGTCCCAGTAAAGTGGACCATTTTAACTCTTCTGCCAAATGCAGCTCCAAAAAGCAGTGGTGTGTAACATTTGTATATAAAGCTTGTATCAGTAGCTCATTCTTTTTTTTATTTTTCTATACTACTAACTAAGGTCTGCTCCCACATTCTGGTCCTCAACATTAACATTTCTGCAGGCTTTCTAGGTCTCTATAAATTATTAGCTGCGTAAACCCTCAGGAAGAGAATTACATCAGGATAGTGGCAGCTTAATGTGCCCACTTTAACACTCTGGCACAGGTCTTGAGCTGGTAAAGGACTGAAGAGACCTGCAAATCTGCAGGTATTCAAAAGAATTACAGCTGTGAATAGAATGCAGGCAATGCAGTGGTGCTTAACATGTAAGGAAGCTAATCAAAATGGCTTGTTGTTGCTAATTCATTGTTAGTAACTTCATCTCAATACTGTCTTATCTAAAGGCTTATTTAAAGGTTTAACACTGACAGTTCATTTCGCTCACTCACCCAGTGCTTGTTGCCTTTACAGAGTGGAATACATGGAGAAGAGTAAACATTTGCAAGAGCAGCTGAATGAGCTGAAAACGGAGATTGAGTCTTTAAAACTCAAGGAGAGAGAGACTCCCTTAGACATCTTGCACAATGAGAATGCAGAGAAAGGGAACAGCAAGCAGAGCAACTTTAAAAAGGTACTTCAGCAAGTTCATCTCTGAAAACTAGAATACAACATGAAGTGAAATATTTGGAATGTGCTTTTTTAAAAAAATGTACTCTACTGCCATACTTGATTTTTTCATATGCAGTGCATTCTAGTAAAAGTATTTAATGTTTTATAAATGTCGCTTGCTTGTAATCAAGAGGTTTTAAAGGTTTTCATTAGCTAAAGAGCTTTTAAATTCCTGTCACCATAGACGATTTTAAGAAATGGGAATGTAAAATTACCTATCATTTCATTCTTTAAAGTGACATATGAAAGACTAATATATAATAGAATTTTGCTGCATGGATCAATACAAATGCCTAAAGTTACCTGATAGATGGTGTTTGTTTGAGTTTATGCTTTTATTTTGTAGAAACAGATTACAAGGAAGACCACTGTAGACATACCATAAGGAGCTTAGTTTTAATTTATTTTTTGCAATTAAAGTTTGAGTATTAGAGTGAAAATGAAATTAATCAAACATAAATATATAAGCAAAAGAGTTCAGAAAGAGCTGACCTAAAAATATATGGCATTTCTAACACTAAAAGTTAATTTATAAAAATCACATTTAGAGTTCAATTAATTTGTATTGTAACCCAAGGTTATAAAATATTAACAATTATTTTAATATTAAAAAGAGCTTCCGTATTAAAAGTGCTGAGCACAGAATTATGTTTGTGGTATGCTGGGATTTTGCTAGGCTAGCTCTAATAAGATTCAAGCTTCAGGGCCACAGCTAAATTGTACTATGCTTGAGTCGGCCAATATTGAGTGGCAGGAGAACACAGAATATTGAATGGGTATTCAATGCAGGGAATTTTTTACTCTCAGGTCAACATGACCTGTGTCCATCAATTTACAGGAATCCTGGATGTGGTGAAAGCATATGGCATCCAAAAGTGATCTAATGTAACAGCTCTTGTGCATTAGATTAAAGAAATATGCTGTGAAAATGTAAATTAGTTTAATACTAAATAATTAAATCGAAAGGTAACAAATGCCTCATATAACACAGTGCAAATGGAAAAATCTGAGAACGTTTGAGGCCGACTTGAATTTTAGGTACACCCGGTGGTAATTGTGGCACAGTAATGATAGCAGCAGTCCTGAACTGAACCACAGGGATGAGTTTTTCAGGTTGGACCTGAGGGGGATTAATGGTTGATGTAGAAGCTGACTGGAACTGGACTTGTGCCAGGCATGGCGGTAACCAGAGATTTTACACCAGAAGAAGATTATCTCCACATTAATATTTCCTGTTATTAGAGGCTGCAGCTCCTTGCCTAAGTGTCTATGGGGAGCATTGCATTGATCTTATCACCTAGTCAGACTCCTTCACCTCATCATGAACCTGCAGGATACAGTGAAGCTTGCTCTTTGTTTTAAAAAAAAATGTTTTTGACAGGATGAGGAGATATTGCTATGCCATGTGCTCAGCGATAGGTGAATGTGTTCTAAGCCATGCACAAATTAGTATTAAAAATTAGAGAGATTTTCTACCATAAGCATTTTTATTTGGTGCTAAAATGGACAGCATTAAAATAAACTCTGAAAAGTCTCTATGTCCCTGTGGAATCAATGTTTTGTAGCTTTAAGAAATTGAATATTACGAAATGGCAGAGAAATGTAAGTCTGATGAAATATGCAGTTAATTGCTGAAATACCTAATTTAGAGACTATTGATGGCAATTTTTGGCTACCACCCATATCTATAAAATTAGCTGTATACTAGGGCTTAGTGCATTGCCAACAGCTAATGATCTAGGTGTCTGATAGTGCTGTGCAGTGGTATTCATGTTCTTACTCATCTTCTGGGTTGTGTGATTGTATGTTGCATCTGTGGCAGGGCAGAGAAATTTAGAAAAAAAATGTCATTTTTAAGAGTTACTCAGTGAAAATTGGTTTTCTGGGGCCCACCCAAGGGGAACCAGTTTTCCTGCATTTAGCCAGAGTCTAGTATTCTGACATTAGTATTTCAGGCGTTAGCAATTAAGGTTAAATTACTGGGCAGGATGGTTTAGTTTACTCAGCTTGTTTAAAACTAAACATGTAGTCGGATGTCTGCATATTTAAATTGAACATTGAAGTCTTTTTCTTTTAAATATATTGCAGTCTTCTTTTCAGTAAGTGTTTGTTAATTCAGCTATGGTTGAAAAACTTTGAATTTTCTATAAAATGTGTTTTTCAGCAGTAGTTTGTCATTTATTTATGGTTATCTCTGTCTAAAATAGGTGTGTGCATCAGCAGTTACAGAAGAGAAGATGTTATAGGTAGTAAAGTATAGTTAATTTTACAGTAAAAAGAAAATTGGTGAAAGGTGTCAAATTGATTCAGTTAAGAAATCAATTTGATAATAAAGTGCTCGTATGAAATGACACAAAACTCTTACACATCTTCTAAACCCTTTTTTGTATGAGCAAATTTAAGTTTTAATTTTTTAGAGCATAAGTCTCAGAAGTTCTTTAGAATGATTTATAAAGTTCAGGAGTCCAAATGAACTCATTTAAAGCTTTAGAGTAAAAAAATAAATTGGAAATATAAATTAAGTAAATTGCATTATATGAATATTTAATAATCTTAATATCTTAATATATGCACCTTGACCTATAGAGATTAATGAATGGATCATGCACTTAAACCTCTAAGCTTAGAGGAACAATTACACAAACTGTGTCAAATACTGTGACTGCAGATATTGAATTTTGAATAGAATTTTTATTAATTAGCATCACTTACAAGGCTAATCAAGGAAAAGCCCCTATAACCAATCCAAATCTTTTCATCTTCGTGGCAACCAAAGTTGTCTTGCTAAGGTAAAGTTGTCCTTTCAAATCATTGACACAGAAAACCTGACTGTAAAGATAATGCTAGGCAGAACGTGAGTATGAAAAGAAAACTGTTTCATCCCACTGCCCAAATCGATAGAAGATAAAGAGGAGCTGGCACAACGTAGTCCAGTGATTAACAACGAATTACATTTTCAGTAAAGCTGATAGAAAATTGATCAGCTAGGTGCTGTGAAAACTCTTACCAGCATCTTGCAGGTCAGAGTTGCTCTGCCTTATTGATCCCCATAAGAGTCTCTGCCAAGTTGGAGGCAGGCACAAGATAATTATCTTTGCCACAGAATGCCTTGAGCTGAGATCACGGAGTTGATGCTTGGAGCATCGCTTCAGCAAGTTCTCCATCTCTCCAGCTCCTCCTACCGAGCGTGAAATTGAGGTAGATTGGTAAACATGGACTACACAAATCCCTCTCTCTCCCAGAAATCAGATATTTTGATTAACACCACACCACACTTCTACATTCCACAATGGATTTGACGCAAATCATTTTGTTCTGTGTTCTTTATTTACATCTGGACTGCCAGGACAACCTATGAATAAGCAAAATAAATATGCAATGCCTTTAACAGAGTAAAGCTCAGTGCTTTATCGGTACAGTGAGCTGCTATTTCCACGTATCTCTAAAAACTATTTTAGTTGTATGTGCAGTTATCACAATTCTTATATTAAAAATAAATCTAACATAAATTAAACATTGCCCAGGAATGCTACTTTAACCTACAATCTGTAAAAAGCAAGCCATCAGTACTATAAAAATAGTTAAGTCCAACCACTTCTAAAAGTAAATATACTGTAGGTATACCCATGGTCTCAGAGCACTTTGACATTTAAATATTAACTTCAGTTACTGACGTCTAATGTTTAAAAGTATCTTTCACCCAAAATATAAAGAAGGAGTATTGAACTCATTTGTTAGTACCTAATTGATCGAGGAAACTATTCCAGCCATTGCTTGATGCCAGTGTATTCCAAACTCCCATCATGCTTGATGTAAAGAAGTTCCGTTCTGTCCTCAGTTTTAAATGGACTTGTGCGTAGTTTCTATTTGTGTTGTGCTGTTGGTTCCAATTACGGGAACTATCAATGTAATGAAACCACTTTAGTAGAATTTAGATGATAAATCTAGAGGATGGATTTTGTCTTTTAAATATTGATAACGCCAATCCTTGACTGATATATACTTGGTGTGATATTTTTTTTTGTTGGGAAGGAGGAGAAGATGAAAGAATGTGTCAGTGATCTGAAAGCTTTCCCGCAAGTTCTGCAAAATAGTTAACATCCTGCACACTAATGGGCTTGCAGGCTGAAATAAGCTTTCCTGTGCACAAGTCATTTGTGCAAAAACAGAAGAAAACCTCCTTTGTTCTCCAGAAGAAGCTCTGTAGTTTTTCCCGGTGTTCTAAAAAAGTACAAAGCAAAATGGAAGTATACATTAATATTTTATCAGCCTTGAGCAAATATATTTTTTAAAAACTAGGCCTATTTAGAAGCAAGTAAAACTGAGTAAATGTCAAAGCATATACTTGTTCCAGCAGCAGGCCTGAGGTTAAAGCTTTGTTTTGACATTTGAGATATTCAAATTTAGTCCATATGGTCTTAATTCTTATGTTATTTGCAGGTCTTTCATTTTCATTTAATTTTAATTGTCTTCCAGCTTACTTTGCAGAGCACAAAATCCAGGGTTGCCTTCTTCGAAGAGCTCTAAATGCCTAGAGGGATTTCTTTCCCTTCCTGGACAAGACAGAAGTCGCGACTCCTAAAACTCTTCAGGCAGAGATGTGACAGGATGGAATACAATCTAATGGTACCTCTAAATACAGAAGGAAAGACATTGACCAAATTTAGAGCCTTGTTTACATGGGCTTGGATTGTATACTCACTACAACAGTAAAGATTGCAGTATCTCTAGGATTACCAAGACTTAAAATGATTTCAAGTGTATCATGAAATTAATAGGAATGAAATCCTTTGAATGCCATGTGAAGCTTCTGCATGAAACTGACATGAAGGAAGGATGTTAATCTGTGCTTGCTCAGTTTTTACATACTGTATCTATTGAAAAATACTTTTTTAAAGTGTTTATAATGACATGAAGTTTGACTTTTATAGTATTATGAATTGGATCTGACAGTTTGTGATGGTTTAAAAAACATGTATAACCTTGTGTTTAATGGTTACAAAATGGACAGGAAAGATTTAAAACGCTGTTTGCAAAATGCAGTTTCTGTGTAAATTGAATTAATGGATTGATGGTGATATTTGGAAACATCATTAAAAATGGATACATAACAAAAATGCCCCTTTCTTTAAAAAAATCATATTGGTCAATAGGAGGAAAAGGAAAAATGACTTACATTGAGGTTTGTTATTTTAGAAGTCTTTTGTATCTTTGCACAGATATCTGATATCAATCTTTATGTGGACCATAAAGAGGAAACAGAGACATTTAACATGTAAACAATGCAGCCTTTTAAGCTTTATTTAATTTGCATTATTTTTTTAAATAGAACATTAGGTGCACATGTACAAAGAGGCTTATTCTGTATGATTCCCCCGAAGCACCATTTCTACAATGCTCTGATGAATTCAGAAGAAAACAAATTACAAAGAATTAGCCGCCGAAAAACATTTCCATGCATGAGGCTCCTCCATCCAGAATCCAAAGAGCAAATGCAATGGGCTGTGAGCTGCTGAATCCCCACTTTCTGTTTATTTCCCAACATAATGAAGAAAAGATTAGTGTAGAAGATTCACACTTCTGCTTGAAGAGAATACCCCTGCTGAACCTGAAATGCTAGCAGGCAGGCTAGTCAGAGTGAAACAGTCTAGGAAAAGGTTGAGCCATATGTGGACAATTCTCAGTATAGCTGTTAATTAAAGTGTGCATTTCGTACAGTATATGTTCTGCATTTGTTTCATGTGCAGGAGTTAACCATGGAACTATAGATTAAGGGTCTCTTCTTCTTGCTACTTTAGTCCTTTGCAGACCAAGCCTTTTAAAATTTGTCAGGGACAAAGCTGTGGAAAATCATACATTTTTATAAAGAGCATGTTGTGGCTTATTCATTTTCAGACAACAGAATTTTCACGGTGTCTTTTTGTAACTCTTGCAGATTCCGTGACCCCAACACACAATGTTTTTTAACTTTATATGCAGGAATATTAGTTCTATTAATCTCTGCAAAATATATATTTTGCATTTCAGACATTTTTAATGAAATGAAATAAGTAGTCAGACTCCATTCAGATTGATATTTTGACACCGAATAAGCATAAGAGTGAGAAAAGAATATTCCAAAGGTAATCGTCATAATTCATCTGGAATGAAACAAACAGCAGGTGGCAGTCTTTTACCTATGGAGTACTGAATGTGTTATATAAATATATTAAATATTCCCCCCCCAATCCTCTTTCCTGTAAACAAATACTTAAATACCAAAAATTATGAATATTTTGTAAATGAGAGATGGATGTGTTTTTTCAGTAGCATGGGAACATTAAAAAATTTATTTATGCAGCAATCACATGTGTATTCTTTAAGGAACACTTGTTTCCATTCTTGGTAAGCATATTTATCAATAGCTCATTTGTTGCTTCATACACTCAAATCCTTGTATAATAAAATATAGCATCTGAGGAAATAAAACAAGAATCCTACATAAAATATTAATCCTAATCAGATATATTTTAAGTCATGCTGCCATCTATTTTATTGTATACATTAATATAATAGTATATTACCTAAAGTGATGCAGTGAAAATAAAACATTACTGCAGTATTGTACAAGATAGTAATAAACCCTCATGCAATGCAGCAGACATACAGATGAGTCCCACAAAGCAAGGCAAGCAAACCTATAGTGTATATTGACCTTTTACCCACGAAGTGTTGAGTCCAATGCCTTGCTTTTGTTCTAAAAAGCAGGGTCTATCCTTTGTTTTTGCTGACAGATGTAAGACCAAAGTGACTGTGACTTGTGTGGTCTTGGATTCATTAATCAATGGGCGCAAAGCAATATTTTCTTGCGGTGAACTTTCTGACCCTCTAGGTAATGAGAAACTCCATCTGCCATAGATATTCAGCACCTGCATCTTTCATGAATTGGAATCTTCATTCACATTAAAAGGTAAGCTCTTCTCCAAATTTATGAAGAGGTTTCCTGTCCCTTCTAAAACTTGATACCCATTTCCTCTCCTATCTTTGTGGAATACCAGTGTTTATCTGAGCCCAGAATTTTGAGAATAAATAGTGAAACCCTTATGATATAGTGATTTTGATCTGATTTTATATAGTGAAGATTATAGGAACCACACCAGGAAATAGTGTAAAATAGTATTTAGGTGTTTGCGAGCATTTACGTGAAATCCAGTAACTGTACTTCCACTGGACAAAGGAGAAACACATAGAGGTTTAGAAAGGCATTTATGTTTAGGATTATGCAAGTGAAAATATTTAAGATCTTCACATATATGAACAGTAATCACAACCGCAAACTTTATAAGGTAAATAATGAGAAAAGTGGCATTATGTTGCATTATTATGCTTTTTTCTCATTTATGATATAGTATTAAATAGAGCTAAATCAGGCATAACATATTTAAGCTCCTTCATTTTAATGTTTTTGACCTTACCTGTGAATGATGATGAAAAATCGTTGTCTTTCTTGATCTTTTTTTTCTGGAAAGAAAACCACATTATTCTTATTTCATTTTGTTGTGTGTTGTCGTTTATATGGCGCCAATTCAGTGTAATGCCTTGAAGGCTTTCTTTTCTGTCTAGTTTTCAGGCAAGTTTCAGACATACTGATTTGCTCATTTTTGCAGAATTCTTAGAAACAACAGCAGGTGGTTTGTCCATCGACAGCTAATCAAATCAAGGTAGATGAGGAGGGGAAGCGAGACCACTCATTCAGGTGAGGTAAAGAAACATTCTTCTTCAAATTTGGACATGCTATTCACTGAAGTGCTTTACTATGCAGTGTTACACTTTCTAAATCCCATTGTGTGAATGAAAGAAGATGAGATTTATGCATCCCACTGACTTGCCTGCAGACACCTTTAATAGAGTTCAGTGTAATTAGGGATAAATGAAAAGCCCCAGTGGGTGGGATGCAGTCAGCATGCTTGTATTGAGTCTCAGCACCACTGCCTCAGTCATGCAATACTTTTGCTTTGAATACTAATGACTCTGGTGCTTTTAAGTTACCATGCTTTAAAAAGGTCTATATACTCAATTCTTGTTTTTGCTTGTGGGTTAGCTATGTGGAAAACAGTGCTGTTAACAAATGTTAACACAGGAAAACTTTGTTTTGTATAGAGAACTACCCACACACTGGCCAGAGAAAAATCAGTGTAATGATGGCAGCTGAAAATTGCATTAGGTCCATTTAGGCAGGGGTATACGTTTTTAAATGTTCTGTGAATATTTACTCTGGAATATACCACTAAGATTAAACACTGCATTTGCAAGCCTGCTTAAGTTAATCAGTTGCCAGTGAGGCATTGATAGTAAAAGCTTGAATGTACTGCAGCCTCTCCAGAGAACTTTAGAAAGCCAGTTGGACATTTACGGCTTAAGAATCAATGAGAATAATAAAGGTTATTTTGAAATGTATTTGGAAACAGTCAAAGTCACCTAAGGAGCTCACACAACAGAAAGCTGTTGCTTCTTCTCCCAGGGGGTATCCAGTCAAAGGCTTATTGAAATTTATGTGGGCGACTCCTTTCTCCTATTCCATGACCAGACGCATTACATTAATGTCACCTGCAATGAGTTACAATAATGTGCAACCTTCAAGTGACTCTGACCAACGAGCGAGGGGATTGGTACAGTAGCTCATGTAAACAAGGTTTTTTTCATTTTAGGCAGGGATTAGAAATGAGCTGAGGAAATAGGCTTGTTGGCAGCAACGAGAATTCACAGCGCGTGTCCTGGATGGCCATGGTGTCTATTGGTTTTCATTCCAGTAGGACTCTTAAAGATCTGAATTAGCTGATTATTCACTCGGTTGCACCAGTTTAACAGTGCTCTTCAGCATCTAGTGGTTCAGGGACATGGAAAACACATTGGCCCTCCAGGACCAGGACTGGGGACTTCAATCTAATTCACTAGCATGTGTGTGTGCTAGTGATTTTGTTTGAAGAGACTCTGTTCTTTAGAACACTCTGTCTTAAAATAAAATGCTTACAATCACTATTCATGGTGATTGTTAAGAAAATTAACATCATAAACATGAATGACACAGGGTATCCTTTCACTAATCTGATGTTACACGCTAGGCAGAAATTACAACACATTCTTGCAAATGGGTCAGCTTCCAAAGGGTTGACTGGCAATTAGTCTGAGCTGCAATACACATTATCTCAGCCTACAGCCTGTAAGTGAGTGAAGATAAGGCAGCCTACAGGATATACTGCAAATGAAGGATTAACTGCAGGGTACCTTCTATGCTATATAGTCCTGTGGGTTTAAATTGCTTTCTCTCCAGTTGAGGCTACTTTTCCAATGCCTTTTTAAAAATGTTAATCAGTTTTCATCTGAGGCTGAAAAGTGCATTTTGCAGACAGGAGAAAGCTGCACAGTGCTACAGTGAATTATATCTTCAGCTTACCCCTCCTCTCTGCTCTCCATGTAAATTCAGTATGACATCGGTTTTTGTTCTCCGAGAGACAAATGCAAGTAAAACTTGGCCTTAATCAGTCCAGATGAGTTGCTGGAATGCTGTAACAGTCATTAAGAAAATAAATTGGTAATGTCTTGTTGCCTCTGATGACCGTCTAGCACAAGAACGCCCTTCGAGCCTTGATCATAACTGGCTGGCCTACAATTATAATGATTGTCCTGGAAAAGGAACATCTGTTGAGCTGACTGACTGTGGAAACCATTTTAGGACATCCATCCAGCCATTCATCGGTTCAACCACTTATCCATCCAAATTAATTTTCACTTTTTTCAGATTGATCAAAAAAGAAACTAAACTTGTACCGACAGGAGGGCTTTTTGTGCTGTGCTAATTCACAGCTATGTCGCCTGTTTTTATATACTGTATTTAAGCATGTTTTAGCCCATAAAATTGACTTTACATCCTGACGGGTATAAATGGATAACTGTTGGTACTGGTATCTTATTTTCTAAAATGTCTAAAAGCATTCTGGGTAATATGCTAATTAGTTTAGGTATGGGCGACGGAAAAGGATGATGTGATGTATGCACAATATGCAATACTGTATGATGATGTAACTAACATGGGTTACAAAGTACTGTCCAGCGTAAGAAAACGTGTACCATTTACAGATATACTGTAAGTCTAATT